AAATGAGGAAGCTCGTCCATGCAACTTTACGAATGAATACGCGTTCGCTTACACTTCCACTTAAAACACTTACATCTACCTATGTGATTCGAAGTAGCAGCAGAAATGTGGCCGCCCTTATTAATCTTGTAAAGCATCGTAGTCTGCACTGTGGCTTCTCACCCAGTATTTCTTCGACATGTTTGATTGTGAACTTGTGTGTATTGTAAATTACTCAGAAGTTACTTACGAAAAGTTTTTCTGCGTCTCATCATTCCCACATTATTTGAAGCAGTTACCATCTTAATTGAACGTGAATAAACTAGAGTGAGGTCAGCGATCTTCTGTTCAAAGATGGCGAGTCACAAGCTTGTACAGGCCCCGTAAAATCCAATTGCCCACGCGTCGCTTTGAACACCAATGCACTGCGCGGCTGGAAACGTTTGGTCCCGAAGCGCTACAGGCTTTTTGCGAGTGACAATGAGCGCGCACCCTCTCCACACATATTTTGTCATTTGAAGGAAGCTTTCGTCAAGATATACCTTGCATTGACGAGGACAACATGAAAGTTGAAGAAAGATTTTTTGGAATATAGTGAACGCCGAAATTCGTTCGCGACGACCGCTCGCTTACGCTGGTGTTCAAGGCACGGCGCGAGCAATTAGGTTTTACGGCGCCTATAGGTAAAATGAAAAGTTTCTGAGGTTCTGAAAAGGTTTACCCTTTAGGATTGGAGAGGAGCAAGAGTGATGAAAAATGCGATATTGCTAAAAACAGAAATAGCAGTTGTTGTTTACATTACTTTACTTTCACTTTCCTGTCAACAACCTTTGATAAGGTAGATACCAAGCTGCAGCGGCAAATTGAAAACGGGTACATATTGCCTACGCGTTTTTTTTTTCTTAACCGTGATTCCAAATCTACTCTCCTTTTCTCGGAACAACCTTTTAGGAGAAGTCATGAGTGTTTAGTTTAAATTTACGAAACTCCAAGTAGCAAAAATTGGCAAAAAGCTGTTCATTGCGAATTTTCAGCAGTTGTTCCTTCCTTTCAGTCAAAATACTCAAAATAAATTTATCTCCCACTTTCAAGTGGTTTTGCGCGTTTCGCTGATTATGTCAATTACCTATTCGGAAAATTTGAACATTCAAGTACTACACTTTCGAAAGGCTACCCTGCAGAAATAAACAACAGATTTGGCAGCATTCAAAATGCGTGTGGTCTCAGCATTCATGCGCACACTTGCTGTACTTTATCCATCACTAGAAACAAAGGATACGAACTTGCAATTTTTTTCCAAAACGATGATGAGGTAATAGAGTATGATCCTGTTTTGCCTCTGCCCCGGGACAGGTAGAATATAAACAAAACGATGATGAGGTAATAACCCTATACATAAGCCTTTGAGCGATAGTTTTCAAGAAATTTCATAATTAGTGTAAAAAGAACAAAAGTGACGTTTTCGTAGCGGCTTATCTCATTTCTTCCTCACAATTAGTTTCTAGCACTGGGAATGAAATAGAGCAAATGCGCATAAGCATGAACAAACTAAAGCTTTAGCTAGTTAGAGCTTTCCAGAGATTTTTTACGCAATGTTCTGAATATTTTTCGATTGTGGGTCTCTGAGAGTGTTTAGATTTTGAGTTGATCTGGGACTAACTTGTCAAAGTTTGGACATCACATTGTAAAGCTTGCTTTGCTTTATCAAGTAAACACCAAAGCTTTTTTAAGAGTCAAGAAAAATGGGTACTGAGATGATGAGTGAAAATGGACAGAACTTATGGGACAACCCATAATATCGAATGTCTGTTGTAGAGAGTAAATGCATGAGCAATTGGATTTCCACAATTCGCAATAAAGATTCGCTTTCTTGGGCACCAGTTTTGTAGAATCTGGCTTCAAATTTCTTGGTGATCGAGTTCCTACGGATGTGTGAATGGCCATTTTTCAGAATTTGATTTGCTTTTCAAAAGTTTAAGCGCTAGTTTAAAGAATTCGAAATTCCCAGAATTTTGTTTAGCTGTGAAAGTTGACGACATAATGATTTGAGCTGCAGCGTTGACGTTCAAAATAAGCAATTTATCCTTAAGTCGCCTTTTGATATGAAAAACAAATGTATTTCACCGCATTCGACAGATACAATACCGCTCACATTTTTTGAAAAATAGACGCGAATGTATGGACATGTCCATACATCAGCGTCGCGTGGCCATATCTCTCTTCAGAGTGGACGAATTCTGAATCCAAAGCCACCATTCGATTCCATTCGATTCAGCTCGGCGCGGAGAATCTTCTGATATATTGGAAGTGGGGGTACGATGTCTTCGATATTCCGTTTCCAGTTTTTTCAATTTGTTCTGCGGAGGTCCTTTCGCGAATATGTGAAGCAACGCCTACCCAACATAGAAGACTTTACTGAGTACTATTCGATAATAGTGTTCTTGTAGATTATTGTGCGCTAAAAAATAGGCTCAGAATTCTTTCCGAAGGAGATAGAAGCGTTGGTGAATTTTGGAAAAACCACGCGTTTTTAAATTCTACTCGTCATAACTTCCTTCGGAATAAGTATATTTTGAATCCGAAAGCAGCGCGTTGCTCAGTTCATCAAGGCGAATCTTCCTATATACAGCATGTCCTTGATATCTCGATTTCAGTATTCTCGAATCTTTCTGAGGACGTCTCGCGAAGGTGTAAAGCAGCGAGCATTGTCCCGAGTACATTCCAGCAAAGATCTTTCGATAGCACTTTTTCTGTAGATTATGATGTACTGGATAGTAGCCGCAGGTTTCTTTTCAAAGGATTTAGAACGGCTGGTGAATTGTGGAAAAATCTTGTCGTCCCAAATTCTACTCGCCATATCCGCAGGATACGAAACTATCTGGCTAAGCAGATGTGAGTTTCGAATTCAGCAGGTTGAATAACTTTTACGAGCAAGTTTTCCGACATGTTCGGGTTATTTCATTTTTTCTCGTTTTAGGCTCCGGAAGCTCGCCGATGGATTTTGGTCAAAATGTTGATGCTCTTGAATTGTAAGGAAACTTCGCTTATAGAGGTTTTCGAACACGCTCTATACGAAAATCGTAGTCTTTGAGTATTACAGGGTCTTTTTGGAGAGATACGGCGAGGGTGACTGTAACTGCATCACGAAAGTCCGTAACTTTGGCCGCACTTCTCGCGTATCTGTCAGGAACCTTGCCTGCTTGCTTTTCTCAGTCAAAGTTACTAGGAATTGTACTATCGAATGGTGCATTACTCAGGCTCCAGTCTGTGAAATTCGCCGAGTTACGAGCCTACGAAAACACGTCCCCGTGAATTTTGCCCAAAATGTAAAAATCGCATATTTCTTCGTTGTACAAGCGCTCACGGAGAAATTTCGAAGAAATATGCGATTTTTACATTTTGGGCAAAATTCACGGGGACGTGTTTTCGTAGGCTCGTAACTCGGCGAATTTTACAGACTGGAGCCTGAGTAATGCACCAATCGATAGTACAATTCCTTGTAACTTTGACTGAGAAAAGCAAGCAGGCAAGGTCCTGACTACGCGAGAAGTGCGGCCAAAGTTACGGACTTTCGTGATGCAGTTACAGTCACCTCGCCGTATCTCCCCAAAAAGACCTGTAATCCTTAAAGACCATGATTTTCGTAAAGAGCGTGTTCGAAAAGCTCTATAAGCGAAGTTTCCTTACAATTCAAGAGCATCAACATTTTGACCAAAATCCATTGGCGAGCTTCCGGAGCGTAAAACGAGAAAAAATGGAATAACCCGAACATATCGGAAAACTTGCTCGTAGAGGTTATGCAACCTGCTGATTTCGAAACTCACATCTGCTTACAGCCTGCCCCAATCGGGATCAGGCCGAACCGTCGGCTGAATTTGCGCGCTCGCAGCGCTAGGGGATTGCGCTGCATACGCGCGCTGTCGCAGAGAGTGAGGAGATCTAGGAGAGAGCAGACTAGCTAGCCGCAGATGTGGCGCGAAACCCTCGCGGCGCGGACTCCCGCCATGCCGATTTTGGCCTGGTTAGGATTGGGGCAGACTGTAGCCAGATAGTTTCGTATCCTGCGGATATGGCGAGTGGAATTTGGGACGACAAGATTTTTTCACAATTCACCAGTCGTTCTATTTCCTTTGAAAAGAAACATGCGGCTACTATTTAACACATCATAATCTACAGAAAAAGTGCTATCGAAAGATCCTTGCTGGAATGTACTCGGGACAATGCTCGCTGCTTTACACCTTCGCGAAAAGACGTCCTTAGAAAGATTCAAGAATACTGAAATCGAGATATCAAGGACATGCTGTATATAGGAAGATTCGCCTTGATGAACTGAGCAACGCGCTGCTTTCGGATTCAAAATATACTTATTCCGAAGGAAGTTATGACGAGTAGAATTTAAAAACGCGTGGTTTTTCCAAAATTCACCAACGCTTCTATCTCCTTCGGAAAGAATTCTGAGCCTATTTTTTAGCGCACAATAATCTACAAGAACACTATTATCGAATAGTACTCAGTAAAGTCTTCTATGTTGGGTAGGCGTTGCTTCACATATTCGCGAAAGGACCTCCGCAGAACAAATTGAAAAAACTGGAAACGGAATATCGAAGATCGTACTCCCACTTCCGATATACCAGAAGATTCTCCGCGCCGAGCTGAATCGAATGGTGGCTTTGAATTCAGAATTTGTCCACTCTGAATAGAGATATGGCCACGCGACGCTGATGTATGGACATGTCCATACATGTATGGACATGTACGGACATGTACGGACATGTCCATACATGTATGGACATGTCCGTACATGTCCATACATGTCCATACATTCGCGTCTATTTTTCAAAAAATGTGAGCGGTATTGTACATTGTCTGCAATCCTCAGTACGCAGTTGACGTAATGTATGCAGTTTTCAAAAATAACAGCCATAGGCGGCTGTCATGCTCTCAAGTACTAAAAGCGATAACTGCGGGACTTAAATAAATTAGTCAAACGGCGAAAAGACAGAAACAAAATTGGTTTTCAGATTTCGCCGGGTCAGGAGCATTTGTGGTCTTATCATATTACACAGCACAAACCTTGGTGAGCGTTCTATCCAGATGCAATGCTTAGAACTTCTGCCGAAATTCGTACAGGTACTGCTACTTCTTCTCTACGTGAATAGGAGCATGACTAAAAAATACACTGGACTTGGTGTACGTCTATGTATGAGGTATCAGCTTGCAGAAAATATTCGTGCGATCAGGTTAGTGCAAGTAGCTAGCCAGGAGAAGAAACAAACATTCTTCGGAGTTTTTGTTCGCATCATAATTACATCAGTATTATTATACAAATATAGGTAGTGATTTTTATCTCTAGGGTCTTCCTACCAATGATCGTATTTGACACGTTGATATCGCTTCTATGCGCAACAGCAGACTACTTGCAATTCAATTTCGTTTTTCAACCGAAGTTATGCCAGCAGGATCCCTACTATTTACCAGTTTATATCTCAGTTGTCTTGGTAATGATTACTTTATTCTACAGAAAGCTAAACTGGAAACAGAAGCTGGAAAAATTTAGACATCGTCGCTGCTAGAACTCTGTGAAGCAGTCGTCATCTTTATCAGAAGCCCAACAGTCAGATTCACCCGTGTACGAAACAAAATAGCAGGTGGGAAATGTAAGTTAGTTATGTGTTCATCTGAAGTGCCCTTGTTAGGACGATTGCTTTGACTGTCACAGGAATGAGAACGAAGAGATCGACATTCTTTAATTTATTTATTTTTTGGTGCACCCTGAGTGTATAATAAAATACACAAATGTATGAGTGTATAATAATACAAATAAACAAATAAAAAATTTGTCTACCCATAAAACAAAGTAAATTGTTTGCTGTAAGCTGACGATTATACCACTGCCCAAAATTTGAAAGTGAGGAGATTTCGTGATATGCCAAAATTTAGACGCATAATGCGCACTTTGGAAGCAAGGTGCTTATCTGGCTTGCGCTTCTCGACCTAGCGATTTTTCTTACTCGCAGGAAAGCTAAAAAAACAAGATTAGATTGCAGGGAAGCCAGAAAACAAGATTAGATTGTTACGCTGAAAATTTGAAAGGTAATGGATGCTAGCTAGTATGGCAGGGATTATGCCTAAAATGAAACTGGAAAGTAGCAAAAGCTAGTAGCGGGTATTTAGTGCAGATAACTCATGGGCTGTACTACGCTGCGGTAAGTTCCTTCGGATGGATAAGTTTCCACACCCGCTCGCGTCACCGCACTGCTGCAATGTACAGATATTCAGTACACAGATAAATCAAATAGGAAAGGGTAAAAAATAAGCAGGAAAAAATTGGCTGTTTCTGGAAAGTTGAAGCAAATCTCTCATGCATTTTATGCATTTATGACGGATGCAGTAGAATAACTTTTCCCAGAGAGATGAGGAGATTGTGACTTTCCGAAAACTTTTGGAATATTTTAGCAAAAGAAACTATAATAGCTGTGCTCGCCAGTCTAATAGACTAGGAGGCTGGGTACGGCACTGCTATTTTTTCCACCCTTTAGCTTGCTTTTGAAGGTGCATTCTTAATAAAACTGCAGCACGCTTTCTACTTATCGCATCGGCTTAATGCGTATTTTATTTTCATCATGTAAGTCGAACTAACATTCATGAAGCTATATAATTCTATTGTAGATAACACATCGGTCCTTCGATGTTGACGAAGAAGCACTAGCTGTTAAATATCTCATTCCATTTATTGGTTGCAAAGACCATCAATAATTAACTTACTTTTTAGATACGCCTAGCGTTGTAAACGTTTTCGGATCGGACTTGATTTTCGAGCAGACGTATCGCAATCACTTCGATGATCTGAGCAAGATATGGGACAAACCAAGAAGCCGTAATTCCTAGCCTGCTACTCAGATGATGCTTGTAAAGTAATACTTTAAGATCGTTTGCTGGCTAACGCGGGGCATGGGTTCCATCTCTGTAGATACAACTCATTATTGACATTCGTAATATCCAGCAGTCCTCTTGCAAGCTAAGTCGTTATTCTTTAGTTTGTATGAAGTCTGGGCTTGAAGCACATGATGTTCTGTTGTTATTCGTGCTTTGTGTAAAACTAACAATTACATTGTTTGATTTTTTTAGTGATACGCCTCGAGCGTATCTAATGAAAATGAAAATGAAAAATGATTGATAAAGAGTAAGAAAACAGGTAGTAATCTTTGTATAGTACTTAAGAAACTATCGTACAGTGAAGCACTGTCAGAGGAGTAAACAAAAGATCAGTGATACTCTGCTACCAATTCAGATTCCTTTCCCGTCAAATAATAAAATGAATCTATTAGGGTGATCGGAAAGTGATGGGACACCTAGACAATCAATGCAGCCCCGAATAGGAAAATTAATTGGATGTTCCAAGTTTTGGCAGATTCTAGTACACTACAAAACCTTCTCATCGAGCTCTGTAGATACAGGGCTCCTAAATTGCAGAGTCGTTTGCACCAGCGGTCGCGCGATCGCGTCGCGCCCGGGCATCAATGGCGCCGCCTCGATCGATGGCGCCGGCGCCGGCAAAATTCCCGGGCGCGATGCGGTCGCGCGACCGCTGGTGCAAACGACTCTGCAATTTAGGAGCCCTGTAATTACTGTCACGTAGCGTTACTTTCCTAAGCGCTTGAAATTACAACTGCCACCTGAAATACTTCGAACTTTGATCAGCATCGCCGCAGTAAAACAGTGAGCGTAACTAGTATATGTGAGGCGTTTTGTTAAGCATTTCGCACATGCGCGAACCGCGCACTCCATGTTTACATAACGAGTAAATAGGCAAACATTGCAGCAACAGAGTGACATCAGATAAGACGAAGACGAACTATCAAGATAAGAGAAAGAAATGAAAACCCTTGAGAGATGATGGACTCCTTGGAAAGCTTGTGTGTTTTCCATCAGGCAATGCCATTTTTATTACATACTAGATGGCTACCCGGCTCCGCCCGGTTCTGTCATTATTTTATTCGTAATCAGCATGCTCGATTACCCCCCTGTACCAACTCCCAGCCCCGTAGCTCAAATTTTGCAAAAAATCGATAAAATCGATATCGATCGATGACGAAAAGTAGCCTATGACACCCGCCCGGCCCCGAAGTGTATGTGGGCAAAGTTTGGTCCGGATCGGTTCAGAAATGGAATTTTCTATTCGGAACATACGTACACACAGACAGACATACAGACAGACAGACATACAAACAGACATTCAGCTTTATATATAAGATTTTATGTGAATGATGTTCATATACAATAGTAGAAATATATCTAAGGACCGCAGGAAGCCTTTGAGGTGCATTTGTACCTTTCTCTTATTCTTACTCGATGTGGTTTCTTAAGTTCTTTTCCAAACTCTCTTAGTCTTGCCTTGGTTCTGTAGGTAGCGATTCACACTATTATTTACTCGGTATCGGCCATAATGACTCATCGCCGCTGATCGACGGCTCAAGTATGACCTTTTGTAGCTCATTCATCTTAGTTGGAGAGGTGTTTTGTCCAATCGCAAGGTTTGTCACCTTGCTACTAAATAGTTGTTGGGAATTGACTTTGCTAATGCCAGCGAATATCATTCACTTTGCCTAAGATGTTCTCATCATTCTTAGTACTAGCTGCTCTGCGGAATTATGCAGACCCTTACATATATCTGTGCTGCAATGGGTAAGGGAACTGTCGCCAAATCCACGATAGTCTGATAATCTCAGTGCTTTTCAAACAAAGATAGCATTGGTAATAGAAGACAAGTTATTTCTCTCATCGAGGTAATCGAATAAGCCCACCCTTGAAAATCAGCATCTATCCATATGTATGCAATTTCCCCAATTTTCCACATTTTCAAAAAAATTGTGGGGCAAAACATGTTTTCTTGAAAATTTGCGCCATATGACCTATTCAAATAACCTGCCTTTTTCATTCGAAATGATGAAGGATAGCCGCATAGCTAAGTAGTCATTAGAATGAGCTTGGAAAACCTTTTCGGAAAGGTATGTCGTGTCTAGGGACTTTGAGGTACAGCAGCACCAATTTGGATGGCTTTGAGAAAAAATTCTTGACTTCCACAGGCGCTGTTCGCATGATTTTGGGAGAAGAGCTGCAAAGTGCTGTAAGGATAACATGCGGAGGTCACTTTACACTCGTCTACATTACTGCTTGTTTGCCACTAAACAGTAAGAAAACCTCCGAAATTGTGAAAAGATCAAGGTGCCCCATTATTTCCGTCACCCTAATAACACGACGTATCAGGTCAATGAAAAACCCATGGTCTACTTTCTGCCGATTCTTTCGCTCCAATTCTCCAGATGACATCTCTAGGCAAGTAATATGAATCTCGTATTTATGAACGACTTGGCACCTTAGCCTCGCACTTTTCCACACGGCTTGATTTTTTTTGCTGTACTAAACAACTGAAACTCAGCCACAAGGTAGCCAACGTAATAACTTTCAGATTCCACACATGTCATGTGCGAAGGATGCTTTCGCTTGCATTTGGAAACAAGTTGTATCTTTTCAAGTAATTTCTGATGATTTCTCAAGTTACAGTAGCGCTCATGACTGTGGAAACCAGCGGCCGACGCTGGACAAAATCGCGCTGCGAAGCCGTATCTCGGTTCAGAGTGACAGATTCCGACTACATAAAACTTCAACCCAGCTCCTGGTATATAGGGTGTTCAAAATGTATAAATTATCTGATTTTTGATAACTTTATTGTTTTGATATCTTTCGTCTTCAGGTACCATTCTGTAGAGCTGGCTTCAATTTGATTCAAAGTATAGAGCAAATTATCGACCGCTATTCATCACTGAGGGATGACAGTAGGAGTTTCCGGCAAATAGCAAAAATCGTCTGACAATTTTGTCTCAAAATGACTAGAAAATTGTGTAACAGAGTTTCCATGCATGTTGATTTCGCTACACAACATTTCAAGAGCTTATTGAGCGTGCTCAATAGTGCAAACACATTTCTGATGGAAATTAGAAAAGCTTGTTGTTACGGTATACCTAAGGTCCTGGTCAGACTTCACGCGACTTAATCGTCGCGATCTAATCGCCAAGATTTCCATTCATTTTCATTTCACATTCAAAAAGTTCGGGCTGGAAAAGTATCACAACCGAAATGCAAGTTGATCGGCATGGAATGATGTTGTAACAGTTGTCTCGTCGCGATTCAGTCGCGACGATCAAATCGCGTGAAGTTTGCCCGGGGCCTAAGATAACTTATTGAGAAAAATCACTTGCAGATTATATTCAATCCGCAACTTCGACTAACATAGTTGAAAGCTTTTCGTTTGTTTCGTTTTCGTTCTGAGGGGGAATATGGCTGCCAATGGAAAAAATTGTTTTGGACGTTCTGACCGTTCCTACAGTAATGTAGAGCAATTGGTGAATAGCTCCATACTGTAAATCTAAGTTGAAGTCACCTCTGCAGAATGGCACCTAAAGTTAGACGAAAGACATAATTCAAGAAAGTTAATGACAATATAACAGTATGCACATTTTTCGGAACACCCGTACGTATAAGTTACGCAGTCAGTTATTTGCCAGTTCACGAATCTTCTCACAGGTCTTGTCAGATCTCTCTTACAAGGCTAGTTGATCAAAGTGCTGATTGCACCGCGTACATGCACTGACTGCTGTTGATGAACGCCTACCGTATTAACTATTTTAATCAGACAGGCACTGACAGATGCGCGGCGTCGAGCTAAATTAAATGGTATCGGATTCCTCAAAACAAAACCCTGGAGATGTCTACCAAAATTCAGAGCGGATTGCATGAACAAACAATATAAAGTTTATCAACAGACAACAGCGATTGTACAACGTAACAAATGTATTATCATAACTTTGACAGATTTTATCAGACATTCTCGTCCCCTTTAGAATAGAATCCTGCTTGCGTAGAGTTTATCGAGCCTTTCGCTTTTGATTTTGGTCCCCAGTTCCTACCCTAAGCAGAAGCATTTTACGGTACTGCAATTGGTAATGCAAGTTGCAAACCTTATTACACTGGAAGCGAACCATCTGATCATTTTTGGTTTGTTGCGTAGCTAGCGGATGGAGTTTGAAATCAATCTCATTCCTGAAAATGATTCGCAAATATTATGTACAAGGAAAGAGGAGCATGCATGACTGGCCGACCTAATGGGATCACTTAGGATTTTACGACCAGGAGCCTTCACATCGTGTCGTTCGGCGGTTACATTTGCTTCCTTCGCCTGTAGACAACAGCACTTTATGGTAATTGTGATTTTGCTTCTCTAAATCGTGCTTGAATTTCCGGAAACAGCCCCAGCTAAACATTTCTTGAGTTCCCTTGCGCAAATACGTACTTCACGAAATTATTGTCGTTACGGCCCCTGTTGCGAACTTCATAATGGTCAAAATTCTGACCATTTCCAAGTCCTGCTTCCACTTCTGCATGAATTGATTGATTTTACAAATACTGCTAAAGCAGATCATAAATTCTCTGTCGTTCCGCATGTGAGCATGATTGATCGAAATTATTCTTCGCTGGCTCAACATGCAAAAAGGATGATTTTTCAAGCAATACTCATGTTCTCAAGGTCTAGGGCTGCGCTAAGACAGCTAATCGAAGCTCAAAATGCTTTTTTCTCGCTTGGAAAAGTCTTCAGTGCAAAAAACTTATTATGCTGTATTAAAAGATCTGTGATATTTTCGTATTCAATGGTTTTCGTTTCCAAGATCATTTCAACTAATAGGTTATCAATTTCTCATATAAGAAAGGCCTGCTATTCAATCAAAGCCTGAGCGGCTCTTCAGCAAAGAAACCTCTACAAGGGGAATTTCAAAACTGCAGGAGATTAACACGTTGACGACAGCGTGACATGGTGGGTCATGCAATGACTGCCACGTGGAACAATGTGACCCACATGGTGGGTCACGCCTTAAATTTTGTTAAAATGACTGCTATCTTGCACTACAATCGTTTTAAAAGCTCTCTTACGCTCTGACCCTAGAAAATACTTTTGCGTTTCTTACCCGCTTCATAGAATTACTGTAGATATACTGTGGTTGACGATCTGCATTATTTTAGCTGAAAATTTTTGACTTATCCGTGAAAGGCAGTGTCCCACGAGGCGGACAACCAAAAATGCGCGTTGTCGTCAACGTGTAAAATGAGATTTGATGCCGAAACTTAAACATTTTCATTTGCCCAAAAAGTGAACATCTGTCCAGGAAATCCTACGGATAACTTGCTCAGTTCTCACCCAAACAGAAGCATATGTACAGTTGCTACAATTTTCCAATAGAAAATAGAAACAAAAGGACAGAACGACGAGAACCCAGTGATGCACTTTTTCGAAATTTTTCAAAATTTGAAATTCCTCGCAAAATAAAGCACAAGGCTGAAAATTCGTTGTCATACGTAGGTTTATACTAGATCTGCCTTGTAGATACAGTCCAACGTGGCTTCGACGACAACATGCAGATTTTCACTTTCTCGATTTCTAGCATGGAAAAGTAGAGCAATGTATGTGGAAGTGTAATGTAAAAACTATATGCTTTAGCGAGTGAGAGGTCTGTGGGATTTTTAAAAACAAAAGATCCGATTTTCTTTTGAGCAAACTCCCACTGAGAGTTCAAAAAAGGCTTCTTGGGGTAAAGAATCAAATTTCGAAAAGACTTGCGTTACAAACCTGATATAACAGCGGCGGTATGCATCACCCGTTCGAGTAAAGGTTCCTATTCAGGACATAACCCAATCAGACCTAGGCTCCACGCTCGCACTGTGGGTGCCCGACCGTGCAAATGCCCCACAGGCGATAGCGGGTAAATCAGCATGTGGCTAATTTTCCGATCTCGACTGGCTATGAAATTGTGTGATCCATAGCGCGTCTAATTAGGTACCTCAGAGCTGTGATAGATCGAATATTTCATTCACTAAACGACGATTAAGACTTGACTATTGTTCTGTTGCACAAGACTTTTTTAACTTAACAATTCATTGATTTGACTTTGAGGTTTGCAAGAAATTCAGAACCCGATCTAAAGAGATCGGGCTCTGCTACACTTCCGAATTGATTTCCTAGGACTCTTCGCAAAGCTTCGAAGCCAAGAAAGGCGTAATTAGTACCAACGTCAAGCTAATTTCAAATTTGTATGACTCTTTCTGAAAAACCTGATTAAGTTAGGTGCATTCACTTTCAGCTTGGGAGACTGATACATACGCCCCGGAAAGAGAAAATCATGAGCTTTCTAGCGACGCTTAGAGCAAAAATCGTTATAGGCATATGGCGCTACCAGGTGCTGGTGAAAATCTTCAAATTGCACTTTCCGGTCGTTTTGGTCGTGTTATCATCAACTTTTTCTGAAAAGAGCTTCGTGATGATCGGATGTTCTAGACCATATTAGTTCATTTCAGTATATATAAATATCTGCGGTGTTTGAAACAACAACCATTATTGGGGTATGACGCCGATAGAGGTGCTAGAGAAAAGCATAAAATTGTCGTTTTTCTTTTTCAAATTCGGTCTCATGAATGCTGAATAAACTACTACTCGTTTGTGAGTCCAGTGTCAACAAAGTAGAATGTTTGAACAGAATCACCAAAAAAATCCAGATTTTGTAAAGCTTGTTTAAGTGCTTGTAAGTTCGACAACGGCAGCACATCTTCTTGTGTGACAAAATTCGGGTGGAAGAAACATCTCTTTAAAATAAATAAATAAATCAAAGTGGACGCACCGCAAAGCGACAGATATCCCATAAAAACTGCGTTGGAGCATTGGTCTTCAGCGCGCGAGGATTGCAGTGAGATCCCGATACCTTAAACAGAATGAAGGCTTGAATGTGGATGAAAAAGCAACCAAAACTACTATTCACCTCGTATCCGGCATTGAGAATGGCCGATTTCACGCTCACTGCTTTGGGCACGGAGCATTTGACTACGTTGAAAAGTTGATCATGCTCGTAATACAGTGGCACCTCAAGCTCCTAAGAGACGAAATCAGATGCCGTTTGCAGCAACCTAGAAAATTAGAAAATAACCTCAGCCACATTTGTGAGAACACCCAAGAGACGATTATGGGTGCCCAGCCTCTCTTCCTCGGAAGTTTCTTTGAGACTGAAACGAAAGTACGTCATGCGGGAAAAATACGGAAGTGGAAAAGAAAAGATAACTGTAGGAGAAAAGAGTAATGAGAGAGGGGAAAGGTATCAGACAAGAAAAATTTTTTTCTTTGATTTCAGGCAAGCTTGCCTAAAATGTTCAATTTTCCAGAAGCTATTCTATGAACCACCTAGCTAGGATTCCTTCCACAAATCGTCGGTTGTGTATAGGACCAATGTATATGGGGCCCACATGATGAACGGAGTGACCGCAATGAGTGCATCTGTTGTCTGCTCCTAGAAACATCCAGCATATCACTTCTGCGAGTTTGAAAGAGTACTCTCACTATAAAACGCATGCTGCGCAAGGTTTTCGGCTTTGTTTCACTTCACTTAATGTCATGCTAAATTAGTCAAACGTTCATCACTTAATACCAGCATAAGCATTATCCGCCATCATCCAGAAAATCCCAACTACGACAGTTGGCAGTTGTATGTGACGCGCACATAAGCTTGCGCAAATACAGCATTAATTAGGCTAAAAAGGTCACGCCCAAGAAAAGAGTCAAAAAACGAAAAAGAAGAATGAGCTCGTGTATGGTAGTCAAGGAAACCAACCCATCATAGTTTGCCGAAAGATACTCGCGCAATACTTCAAACTCTTCCCATCTTCCACCTTCCTCAACACTGGCAGCACCTCCATTGAATGGCATCCAGAGCATGCGATAACGTTCCCGACCTTACTAAAGATGTATTGTAAACAAAGTCAAATTGGTAATACTGAGTTTCCAGTCACTTACGTTCCAGATTCTTTCGTCAACCTGGCACCGGTATGGAGTCGCACAAACACTCTAACGTAGAAATCTACGCTGATAGATAGAAGCGGTTCGATATAACGCGAGTAGCGATTAGCATGAGAATCTATAGAGCGCAAAAGTATTCGAAGCGCCTGAATAAAATGTCTTGAAGTGAAGATGATGTTTAGCAGACTGGCTGTTCTACCATTTCATGACAGCATTTCAATCGTACCGTAGTCGAACCGTACTTATTATAACATGTTTCTGGGGTATTACCGCAAAGCACAGCCATATCGGTACAAGTGACCATGAGGATGCCTAGGAATGCAGAATTTGAACATGATAATAAGAAAAGAAAAAGATCATGCTTAGAAAACCCTAAACAAAATTGTAGTAATAATCACCGTCATCTGCTACGCACTGTACTGCCGAATCCAGGAAGACGGAAGCAGATCCATACGGATCCAAGTCGACAGCATGAAACCGTTTATCAATATTACGATGTTGCATCATTGTAACGCTGAAAACACGATAAGCATACTCTTAAACGAAACAAGTATAAAACCCACACTGCATCACCAAAGTTGGCGCGAACTTTGCCTTCCACTCCGTTAAGTGCGATATTCTCTTCGATGGACTGTACAGCATTCTCGGAAAAATCGTTGGCCAAGACAAAATCGACGTCATCAACCTAAATTTTGCGAACTATTAGCAGTGAGCATTGTTGCTAAAAATGAAGCAAGAATCAATCACCACTTGTGCAAGATTCGTGAATGTAAGCAAAATCTGATTTGTTTTTTCCTTATCGGAAACTCATTGAGAGGCTCTAGCTAGGATTTTGCCCAAGCGAAAGCACATATGTCTATCTTCAGACCCGGAAATTCGGCCGAGTAATTCTATTCTAATCCTCAACCAGTAACGTACTCCACGATATGTTGGTGAGATATTTACTGTGCCTCGCGAATCACGGTATTTAGGATCTTTCAGAACTGCAACTTCCTTTAGAATTTCTTTCAATTTGAGCCTTTACTTGACAACTATCTGTCAAATGAGGGGATGAATGGAGTAGTGGTATGAGGCGCCGCAATGACCAGATCGGACACAGGTTCGATCTCCGCCCCCAGGGCAACCAAGTCCTCTACCCTCCGGGGCCGGTAAATTGGTACCAAAGTAATCTGCGAGGATAGAAGCACTGACTTGGTAAACCGCTGGCCCCGCAAGTCACTGTAATAGGTTCGCGAGTACAATTGCCTCTTCGATCACGACGTAGTATGCATTCCGCGCATTCCCGCAGAGGGTATTGAACACGACGAATACTTTATCCTTTACTGTTTCTGTGATATCTGTTAGTAAAGGCTCAAATTGAAAGAAACATGCGGAATGCAAACAGTTGCAGAACAAGATCTACCCTTTCATATTTGGTTGCTGGTGGAGGCGAAATGAACATTGCGAGGAGAATGAAAGTTTCCAAAGACAATCGCAGTGAAGTGTATGGAAAATGGCGGAAATTTTCACCTCCTGAGAAAACCGCAAAGCGCGTAGTCCACTAGCAGATAAAGCGTCCAGTATTCTGATGGGACCGCTTTGTAAGCTCGTTTCCTTGATCTTCATTTTCTTCGCGTTCGGCTCTCCTTCACCATCTCCCGCTCCATTAGAATGAGCTTCTCTGCGTAATCGTACAAACTGCCGCAGAACTGACACTCTGCAACAGTGTAATCGATGTCTTCTAGAATTCACCTAGATTGAATATGCAACTCACGTCAGATCCCTATTGAACTCTTGCACAGGATTGTAGAAAACAGGACCATGGAATCCAATCTTCGCTTTTCCTTCCTTTACGACTACGAATTCACCACTTTTGGGGACAGATGCGGGACCTGGCTGTTGTTCACCCATCAAAATGCTTGCCCGCCACTGAAAGCGTGCGTTTAATACTCAGTTTTCTTCTGCGACAGCACATACAATCCTACGAAGTGACGATAGGAGTTTGGATGTCAGTTTTCGACGTTGGCTGCTGCAGGTTCGGTGGCGACTGGACGCCTATCTGTTGTTACGCAAGCTCACAATCGCCCGCGACAAAATTCGCTTGAAATTATGTTGCATTTCATAGCGCGCTCCAGCACAAATATGACGCACGTGTCCAGTTTGAAATTTGTTTCTGACGAATTTTGCGCCTCCCATGCGGTCTGTACCGTGGAAATATGCTCGTATATCTCGTTTTCAGATTGGATGCAGGGGCGGTGTAACTCATAAAAACGGTGACTTTGAGTAACTTATAAAAAGGTACAATGCCGGGCAAACATGATAAAGTGATGCCAGAGAGCGGCGACGACGGAAGCAGCAGCGGATCGGAGGTAAACCTTACGTCCTTCATGTTTTCGGTTGTTTTCCTGCGTCAAACTTATGTTAGCTGTTGCTTGTGATATAATCATTTTTGGTCGACTTCGCTGCACTAGAAGTGCTTGTAGCTAAGAGCTCGCGAACAGACGTTTTGACAAGAGTTCTTCCTTACTAAATGAGATTCTTGAATCTATATGCTTTCAACTGAGTACATTGATTACGCGCTTAATAAGTCTTGGATTGTTTAAGATCTGTGAGAGCTTTCGACTATGGTCGAAGCTTTGAGCAAAGATGTTCTACAAAAACAACCTCAGAATATGGTTGCTAGTGAAGCGTAAACAAATTTCTTAGTGTGTTGTCCAGCAGATTCTTCGCCATCCTCTACTCGAAAGCAGCACCACTCATTTCTGAAATTTCTAGCTTACATCCAGGTCTTGCTCTGATACTTCTAACTTTTCCTTTCAGGTCTCTATAGGTGAAGAAGCCGACGAAGCGAACCGTCTTACGGCGGAGAGCGACGACAGCGACGAAGAAGAAACTGAATCGAGTGGTGGTTGGTATATCAGCCCATTTTGGCACATTATAACGAGTATCGATGCTGTAGATGACGAAGAAAGCTCGGAGAGTGATTCCTCCAATAGTGGCGATGATAGCAGCAGTGAAGAGAGTGGATCCTCGGATTCACTCTGGGGTGCTCTCGATGATGATGTCAATAAGGAAACACAAGAAGCTAATGTAATCTGAAAATGTGTACCTAAACATCGAAGTTTAGTAAATTACATTTAGGAAGCGTCCGCTCTGCAAGAATTTCAAAGCGCACTGGATTATCTAGTTGAGGGGAAGAGTGCTACAGCTTCAAAAATTCTCAACAGGCTTCTGAACAATCCTCTTGTGAAAGTGTTTCGAACCGAAGTCTTTGATTGGGAAACGGAGATTGATGAAAGGTGATTGCCCATTGCATTCCAGTTTATGTAACAAGTGAAATCTGTCTTATCCAATGCTGCTTATAATCAACGTAATTTGTTTAATGTGAGCTTAGGCTTTCCAAAATGGCTCGTCTATATGTTGGGATTCACAAAAATTTGGCAAAGCTCAAGACAGGAAATGCTGTCGAGCACTTCTTGCAAGTAGGTTGTTTACTCATGCTTATAGTCGAGTCATTTGTAATTAATATGTGCAGTGCATGGTCTAGATACGATCTATAACCCACCAAACTGCGAAATTCTTTTTGTCTCACAAATGTTTTTTTGCTGCGTTCAAGGTTCTTTAGGCCTCGGACAGAGTTCACGCGATTTCATGATGGCGATTTATCGCGACAAGACAACTGTTACGAGTTCATTGCCTGCCGATTTACTTATCTCGGTTATGATTGTTAGTCACGATTAGTCATGTTGGAAAATTATCACAACCGAAATGCAAGGAGATCGGCCTGCAATGATATTATTACAGTTGTCTGTCGCGATGAACCGCGACGATGAAATCGCGTGAACTTTGCCCGAGGCCTTAGGTGTGACAGCTCTTATCTCTCATCTCATGTTTTAATAGAGCGATCACGATATTCCTCACAACCTCTTGAGTGCGCTTTTCTTTTGTTCCATTTATCATTTTTGCATTCTCATCTTTGGATGTACTGAAACATGCGAAAAGTAGATGGGAGCATACTGTTTACAATGAACGGATCCGCTCAAACGCAGCAATTTACAACTTAATTGCATGCTCGAAACACAAGAAAGCCAAAAACTCATCAACGAAAGATAAAAGACTCGTACATTGCGCGCTGCTAATGCGCGCATTGTGCTAGAAATGGCTTGACTACGTATCACATGTCATTGCTTATTCCAGATCCTTTCCATTGCTCCCAAGAATCCTGAAATCTGGTTGAAACTTGGTGCTAATTGCTTAGCAAAAGGCGACGTTGATTTTGCGAAGTTCGCTTTCGAACATGCGGAGGGCAATGTCGCAGTCGATGCGTTGCTCAGCGCTTTGTATCTATCGAGAAATTACCATGGTTTGTATGATTTAGGCTTGTAATAAGTCTTATAATAGATATGCTTCAGCTTGCTTACGATTAGCACATAAATGTTTGGATATGGGCATCTGCGAGAAAAAATCTCTGTTTCTCAAGGAACTTATTCGATCAGTTAATTGTCATTTTAGGTGAGCTTTTTGGATTTATGAGACAAGTGGTTGTTTTCTTGTTAGGCCTTGGCCAGACTTCGCTCAGCGCCCAAAAGCGCTCAAAAACGCCCAGAAGCGCGCAAAAGCGCCCAGCTTTCTCTGGTGTCTCTTCACTTTCTCGTGTGAGGGGAGATGAGAGAGAGTGAGGAGAGGTTAGAGAAATTTGGGCGCTTTTGCGCGCTTTTGGGCGCTTTTGCGCGCTTTTGAGCTAAGTCTGGCCAGGGCCTTAGGTTTCATATTTTGTGTTGCTGCAAAAACAGCGGGCATCTGCAGCTTGAGTTTTGGTTATTGCTGTCGATTGTCATCTAGTTTTCAGTGACTTTTGTGACAATGTTTTTGGCGAACACAGAAGATACGACAAGGTCAAGACACTGGATGAAAAAACTAGAAAGAAGGTAAGGCATCATGGTATGCGTTTGTTTGCAATTATTTCTCTAGAACGTTTTTTGAGAAATTGGAAACAAACGTCTCATTTTTTTTGCACTTTCGAATGACGCCTTTAAACTTCGAGTTATTAAAATTTGTGCAGTTCTACCTGTTCATTACAGATGGCTGATCGGCTTGCCGAGTTGGAAGAAAAAATCAACGCTATCCAAAATGAAACAAGTTCGGCTGTGCCTGATCCTATAGAGATTACCGTTGACGCTGAACAAACGTCTGTTTTTTGCATCAAATTGCGTAACTTTTATAGATGAAAATGCTATTGGAGTTCTTTTAGAGTAGCAGACATTGGAGCACTATTCTGTGATCTGTTTGATAGAATAGAAGCCTACTCCTCTGTACGTTTACTCTTTGATACCATTGAGTAGTTTTGCTATGCTGTCATTCACATTTTCAATTTTACTCACAGTCAAAACTCTTCTTAAGCTCTCATTGCAACAAGTTACTTTTATTCAATGGGATGATCGGAGAATTTTGCTGGAAGCACAAAGTGTGCTTGAGAGTGTTTTCGACATAATTGAGACGGTGGAGTATTTGTTGAACCAGGTGAATTATTTGTGGATTACGTGCCTATGTTGTTCATGCTTAGATGTGTTTAGACCGCTTCACATACGGGGAGGCTCCGACAGCGTTCCAACAGTCTTTTTGAAGCTAGTGATTGCTTCGTGCGCAGGTCTATGCGCAAAGCCATGGAGATACCGCTCGAGGAGGAGGATACAGCTGAGGAGCCTGCTGCGGATATTCGTCACCTAGATGGAACATTACCAGCTGTTGAGGTTTGCATCTGTGACCAAGAGGCTCGCTTTCTCAGTAGTCGCTACGTCTCAGTTACAAGCATTGTCAAAATTCGAGACGATGCTTTCATTTTTTTCAAACATTTTTGGTTCTTTACGTTTCTATGCAATTTCGAGAATGATTTGAAAGTTTCATATTGTGTTCTCGTCCTTTGCAGTTGGCAAGTTGCTTGGGATTTGCGGTGAAGTATATCCAGCCCCTCAAAGAGATATTGATGAAGAGACCTTCTCGTACTCCTTCACCAGAGCTCTCCTCGAAATATATAGACACTGATTTGCTGCTGTTCCTGTTGATGACCAGTGTCAAAGAAGGATCTTGGACAATGTTTGAGTTATTCGGTCCGTGTTTTTTCTTCACGTTTCTCTCACATTATTAGGAACTTTCAGAAATATTCCTTTGCCTCATTGCCGACTTTTCTCCTGCGTGCGGAGCCATCCCATCCAGTTTATTGGAGGTGGTGGCTCAGTGCTATCGTAGATTCAATCTGCTATCAACTGATCTCTGTCATGAAAAATATATTCGGCTGCACGTGTTGATGGACGAACTTGGTACATTACGCCACTACGTTTTCTACATGTCTATCCTGTATCTGGTGATTTGAGGTGAGGTACAGGCTCGGGATTATTGTATACAATGGCACTGTGCTGAGAAGTGGGATGACAAGGAACTCTTACAGCGTTTCATGTGGAATCATGCCAAAGTAATCACTGATGACACTATAAAGTAGGTGGGTGAACTTGATTGGCTCGCACAAATATACGATTCTAGGCTCTCGTTTTTAAAATGTCTTCACAGCTCGCTTGAGGAGGATGAGTTTATATTCACTGCTAAAGGTAAATTTCGTGTTCTCTGCTTCTTCATGCTCTCATCAGTAGGTGATTGAAGGTTGGTTTGGAAAAGACGATGTACAAGATATGATCGATAAACTTGAGAAGAGCAATCGAATCATCTCTTTGTCGCAGCTACGAAGTTGTTCTCGTTTCGAAGAGGTCGGTGTGCATGCTTTTTCAAGAATTCTTATAAACATCCTCCAGGTCATCTCAATAATAACACGAGATGTCGATTTCAACACTTTGGAGGACGAAGACCTATATGTAATGGTAGATTACTTATTGGACGCTTACAACAAAGTTAAAAATCATGATTCTGCAGTTGAATTTGCATCGAGGTTGTTAATTTACTTGTGTCTGTGTTGCGATATATAGAATCCTTTCAATTTGTTTTTTTAGAGTATTTCAACTATACTTGTCGTACAAGCAGCTGCCAACCGATCGTTTGAACGCAACTTTTCGTGCTATTGAAAACACCTGCTGGAGCAAAGTTGCCGATAAGAACTGTGAAAAGATCGGTTACTTCCTTTGTCGCTTGCTCTCTATAGAAGAGTTTCGCGTGAATTGGAATATTTGGAAGGTTCTATACGAGATTGTACGCCATTTGAGAGGTACGTACTTCTTTGATGGCTATTTGCATATAGCAGCTCCCATGCTTCCTAGGAGATGTCTCTGTTGCCTATATCAAGACATTGGATCCAGTGAAGAATGATGAATGTATGCCGAGCTTAGCTTTAGATGTGCTTGTGAAGGCACACGAAAAACTTGGAGAAGCGAAAGTATGTGGTCGTGAGAAGGTATGTCGGGTTGCGCTATAACAATCTATAGTTACTCAATTACTTTGAAAAATTAGTGAATGTTGGGGCAAAGTGAACATCTGCGCTTACGTTCGGATGCTACGATGTTTTCATGGTGTTTTGTTAGGGCATTGTAGAGCGTTTAAGTTAAAGCCTCTATCATTACTATACCATAAATGACACAGCTTCATATCGTGTTTCTTCTCAAAGACAGTGTCTAGGCATGTACGGAACATGGCTAACATTATGGTTATAGTGCAGAAGGCACTTTTTGTGTGGGGCATGCAATTGTCTTGGCAGAGCAAAACATAACCTCTGAAAAAAAGCGCCTATCGACTTTTTGGCAAAATAATCAATTTTATCCAACTTTATCATGCTACCTCTGTTATAGGGAGCCTTTCTTCTGTTTTACATGCGACAGCTTCACAAGTGTATCACCAATATGGACGTTATGACCGTAATGCAACAAGATGAGTATGCTTGGTTGTGGTCTAACGTTTCGGAGGAGATAGCACAATGTCTTTATTGCTCATTTGGGTAAGAAATCATCCTTTTGTAAGTTCTTCTCGTACGTGCATTTTAGGCGTTACTCAAAACGACGAAGAGCACTTGAAGATCATGATTGCAATGTATCCTGTTCGGAGGTACCTAATATCATGACAATGACATTGGAGCTCGCTATGCCTCACCCCTTGCCTCAGTATGATGATAAGGTATATTGAAAGGCAAGCAATGCTTCTAGTCTCTTTCATAGTTTTCACTTAGGAACGTTTGGGCCATGACATAGTGGATCTGATCTTGAATAAGTTCCCTTCTGCTCTCAATTATTCCAATGAAAGGGGGCAAATGCTACATAATTTCAATCTATGGATGCGTCAAGCTTCGAAAGAGAATGCAAAAAACAGGTATGTTTGCGCACTACTCACGTCGCAAGTTTTTCGTATAATAGTCCCATGGGTTGAAAATCATGTCTCTATTTTATATGCTAATGCATGCTTGAGGAAACTTGCCTCGTACTTCATAAGATTGACTTACTGAGCAGACGTACAGCTCTTTCAGCTGTTTCACGTTTATCTCAACGTCATTATGATTTCATCTTATTACTGTTGTTGCAAAGTGATCTCCCCTTTATGGAGCATGGAATATGAATTTTAGGAATATGATCTTAGCGCTGTTTAGCCTGTCTCTCTATAGGGTCATTGCTTTGTAATGTGTACTGCAGCTATCTAAAATGGGCATATTTTTGTGAGGTTGCTTCTCGAAGGATTCTGGTCTCGATACAGTTTCAGACTGGAGTGGCCTTCAGTGAAGGGTGAATCATATGTGCAGGCCTCAATTTGGTACCTTATGGCTTTACATCACTACCGTCAGGGTAACCACGAAGAAATTGAGAAGTTCGCTAAGGTACTCTCTGCTCTGTCAAAGCTTGTCCTGTTTCATTTTCTTGTTCAGCTGTTCCTAACAAGTGGACACGCTACTCTGGATAGTCGAGTGACAGCTGGGGCATGGGCCGTTTTGGGATACAGCAGCGTATACCGCATCTTTCAGGTTTCTTTTCTTTCTAATGAACATCGAGAATCAGATCCAGAAACTCTCTGTGCTTAGATGGACGATGACTTATTGTATTTGGAGTGGCCATGGCATGTTCTACCGTTCAAAGTCTCGGTACTAGTTGACAGCAGGATAGGTGTTGTCTTCTTCCAGTTGGCGAATACTCTGTATCAAGTCGCTACACGTCTGTCTCGTTACTTTTTGACAGTAGGTATCAATTTTCATCTGTTCTGCGTCCCTGAATGTAAAGCTTTTCAGCTTCCATCAGACGACTGGAGATTACGACATGCGGACACGTTGCTGAAGGACCTGCGGCTAAGATCACTCTCCTTGTTCAAAGAGGCGCTCTCGAAGGTCTTTGTGACACGTTGATGGAGCGGTGAGGCAAATGCTACTCAAATCTCTCTTTTAGGCTCAAGGAGACTCAAGCATCTGTGAGTATCAGTGGTTAGCCTATTTTTTCATCGCAAAATTACAAGCGAAGTTGAACGGCGATGTCATCAGAGTAAGATTTGTGGTCACTTACCTGGTCTCTTCGAATGTTTTTGAGTTGTCTTTTAGGTTGTTGATGCTTTCTATGAAGCGGCTTGTTCATGTGAGCTTTCTGAGTTCTTTTATCCGATCAAAATCAATGTGAAGAAACAACAGAATATTGAACCAGTAGAACTGCACTATCAAATTCACAGTACTGTTTGGAAATTCTTGTGTAAAGCGTGAGTAATTGACTTTTCCTATGCTTTTCTGCAGTTCTTTAGAGTATCTATTATTTTCCTGTTGCTTCTGACTAGTGGTAGAGGCGGGGGAAGAGTTGATCTCGCCACTACCGCTGTTGTCGCTATGGTCGGTCTGCTGCAGAGACAACAGCGACAGCGACTGCAGGCGATATCCATTTTTCTAAGTCAATATATTCCAATTTTGGATCTTAATCGACAAACAAGCATAGATTTTCTCCCATCCGATAATCGAAAAGCAGCAGCTAATCATGTGATCTCCTTCACCGCTACTCGAGTAGTCTACTCACTTCAGAATGTTTAATAAAAGGACGGGCAAGATTTTTCACTTGGGTTAACTAACTAACACTTTTTCAGTCCCTCACCATCGCTAGAAATTCTGGTTACTCTGCTGGCTTATTTACGAGCGGTGCAAAACCACAAGGTTGGTTTTTTTTTATGATTATGTGCACTGTTCTTTCTTTGGAAGAAATTCGAATTTGTACTAGATGTCATACATAGCATATCTTCAACTATTTTTTAACTATTTACCCACGTTGCTCGATCACCATGCATCATATCGCAGTTGTAGTTTACATCCAAAATCACTGTTGATTTGAACCACGTTAGTTTTCCAATCACACATTAGCAGTAAACTATTCATACTATGAGGCGGATTTTCTCTCCAAATTGAGTTCGCCATACCATACCGTATCTAGGTGGTGCGAAGCTATTTCTCCTTGTTCTCAATACATCCCGACATCTACGCGACAATCATCGATATGACTTTGAAATGTGATGTTCGAAGAAATGATGATGATGTTACAACAGTCGTAAGTTTTTGTCATTGCTTACTTACTTTGTTGTTAGGTTAGTTAGTAGCCATGTGTTGGCGAGGTTTGTCGGATGTCTTAGTTAGGGCTTCCGCAGCTTAGTAGACACTTGTCAAGTTCTTACTTAGATGTCTTGGGGCACATCCATGCAAATTTGGTCGCCACGTTTGAGAATTTGCTAGTAGGTAGTAGATCCATACCATGCGCTTTCAAGCTTGAGAGAAGCGCCACTCTAGTCAACAGATCGCAATGGCTCACACAAAAACGTTTCTATATTAAAGTACTGCATATCTTTGGGGGCACATATGTAAGACTCTGAATGTACCAAGCACGCTCAGTTGGTGTCCACTCTGAATCGCGCATTCATTGATATCTTGCTAACTCGCAACAAATCAGTTGAAATTATGTGAGGTATGTCAAAATTTAGCTGTAGGTCCTCAAGATAAAAGCATGCTGGAACATATGGTGACCAAACTTGCATGAATGCCCTTTGAAGGCAGTGGCTCGGGAAGATTGCGATTACGAGCACTTCATTCCTCTTTGGCCTTCTGGATGCACTGAGTCAGGGCTGTAGTTGGGAAGACGAGAAAGTGCTTTTCATGGCTCCTGAGCCAGTCGCTTTTTGTGGCGGGAGTCCCTCGCCCAGCCCTCTTAGCAATCTCCAAGCTCGAAAATGCCGATAGAGCACTTTTTTTCTTTCAAAGCACAGTCTCGGACTCAGCGGATCCAGAAGGCCATGTAGGTTCGAAAAGCTGACACATTTTATCACAGCCACTGCCTTTGAGCTTCAAAAATGAGAACGCCCGAATTCTAATGCTTTCATAAGTTGTGAGCCTAAGCTAGTTTTGTGAAGCTGCAGGCTGCTACCGCATGACGCGAGCAGTACTTCATTTTTCAGATATTTGATAAAAGATCTCGTTTAATCATGCATTTATATGATTCATTACACATCAGTTTTGTGCGCAGGATTTCCTTTTTTATTTGATGTAAAGCATTTGCCATAAGGACGCGAATTTTTTCACGCAACTTAAGCGTAAATTCTCTAATAGTATAAAAGAAGGTAATTTGCATAGTGGCTTTTGAGTGATTAATGTATTCCTAGTCTGTCAGAGTCGTCAGGGTAAAAAAATGGGGCTCATCTATTTTGCTCAGAAGAGCGTGAGCTTTGCAGGTCAATGACATCGCGAATCGCGCTGATCTGATCGACGAAATTTGGAACCTGTGTCATCGCGGTTTTGAGGTGAGGTTATGGTTTTCATTTTCTTGTCGAAAAAGTGCATACACTCTTTGTGGGAGAGGGGGGGGGGGAGACAAGGAGGGAAGCGGACGTGACGAAAGTTGCCTTCCTTTCGTCAAGGACGGCGGCGTTAGTTGCGCGCTCGAAAAATTCAAGGGAGGCCATCTGTATCTCGGGAACTCATGCTTCGGTCCCGTCCGATACGCAGTAATTCAGGTTCGAATAGTGTAATTATAGGTAGGCTTAATTTTATCTTAACTGCGTTTTTTGAACTGTTTATCTTCAAGATTAATTTTATGTTACGTACTTGCAAAACGCTTCTACTTCTTATACCATAAACGAGGCAGAGCGAAGTGTGTGTGGGATTGGCGTTCTGACCTTTTCTAAAACATTTAGCCTAATATCTTCCAGCAAGCCTGTTTTTAGGTAGTATGCGACCGCTTTCCACACATGAAGTCTTACTACCGATTGGCAGAAATGGAGCTAAGTCGGGGAAATGTTGAAATAGCCTACAATCATCTGACTAGGCACATCTTCCGACGAAAGAAGCGCGATGAGTCGTTGTTTGATGTTAGTTCTTGCTTATCCCCTTCTTTGAACTTACAGTTTGAAGGCTTTTTTTTTTCAGAGTGTCGTAGAGATAACATCCCAAGATATCGACCGTTCAGGATCGTTTCCATATCACGTAGAGAGAGCTTTAGAACTGATGATGAGTTTGGCATACCAACTCAAGGATGCTTCCATCCTCATTGGCATAATTACCACGCTTATTGCCAATATGGAGAGTAGAAGCGAGTGAGTTTGCTATTGGCTCAATGTTGCTATACTCAAGTTCTCTAATTTGTAGAATGTACATATTGAAAGAGAGGCAAGGAGCGTTGCTGGTGCATGCAGCTAATCGACTCCATATATTGGTCATGGAGTCATCTTCACCAAAAGTGATGCGCTCTGAGATGTATAGAGCATGGCAGGTAGTAAACAGGTTAGTGCAAGCCTTTTTTTTTTGAATGCGAGTAGACTGCAGTAATTGTTACCTTTGCATAGTTTTAATATCTTTATGCTACCTAAGTTCATAAGTAGTGATCAAAATTTTAAAAAAAGCGGAGTTTTGGCTGGATCGGCATCAGCAATCCTCGAAAATTCAAGTGTTCAAAGTTGCTTTCTTAGTTCATTAGATAGTGCCAATATAATGTACAAATGAGCTTTTAAGATGTAAACACCTGGCTGCAAGAACTGTGGAAGTTCGGTTGCAGGCATTGATACAGCATATGTTTGGCTCAGTCAGTGATTTTGTTGCTGAACAGTCTCTGTGCCAGGACAATAGAAGGAAACAAGTGAGGGTGAGTAGATGTCTTTGATAGTCCGAACGAAGACAAATCGATTGTTTAGAAAAGAAAATTGAATGCATACGATCTGAGCGGTTCTGAAACAAATTCTATATTTCTGGTACCCGGCGCAGTTCCTTCCAACTTTGCACAGAATCCTTCAACAAATGGTGAAGCTTTAAAATTGATGCGATTAGCATTACAGTCGTGAATTACTATTACTTCGATGACTTTCATGTTGTAGTAGTTTGTCAGTTGCATTTGTTGAATGCACTAAATGATCTCGGTTCTGCTGCTCGTTTTTGTGATGTCATCATTGTCCATAAAGAGTTCTTGGTTTCATTTCTCGGTATTGCTACAGCTGTACCCGCGTACTGTACGTGCACTATATCTTAGTATGTCATAAGTAGTCTGCATACTGCTTTTAGTTCATGTTGTCACAGACGGTGCTGCATCAGCATGGATTGCATAGTGGCCGCTGCCACTGGTGCGCTGAAAGGTAAGTTAAAAACACTGCATCGATGACATTCTTATGCACTTTCTTACAGGAATTAACTTACGCGAGAATTCCTTTACAAACCTCTTGCCGATCAAGAACTTGACCCCAAAACAAGATGAGATAACTAGCATGGTTTGGTCAGGAACGAAGCAGGTATATCGCAAACTTTTCACATTGTTGTTCCCCACTAAGCTCAAGTAATGCACTTGCATGATTTCCAGTCAGATGTTTTGGCGGCACTTCTTGATCGCTCGTTGAAACTGTATGACACCCAGACAAACTCTTTTGATGCCAAATTCAGCATATCTGGAGGAGAGGGTGCTGTACAAGGTTTACACTGCTTGGAAAAGTAAGCTGTTGATTTAGTCATTTTTGAGCGGGCTTTTCTAAAATATTATAGTGCTTCCACACTGCTTAAAAAGTTAGATTTTGATTTGGTAATAACCCTAATGCGGAATGTATTGCGAGAATGAGTAGCTCCAATGAGCTTTTATGTTTTTGAATAACATGATGACACTTAAGACTCCTTTTAGCGGTAAAATTGCATCGTGCGTAGAATCCGGAATGGTCAATGTTTGGAGCGAATCTGGAGAAAGCTGCAAAGATTGGGAGGCGGGCGAAGGAGTCAAAGTAATGAGAGGTATTGAAGAGGATCAAGCTGTGTACTTTTTTGCTTTACATTGTTTGGTTGAGGTTCATCTACGCGAAATGAATTGCTTACGGGTGGGATAAAACATTTAATAAAAACTTGGGACATTGAGACGGGGAAGCGTGTTTGGTCAGCTCGAAACGTGAGTTTATGCAACATTGGTGCTTTATTACGAAAGCATAATTTTATCTATAGGTACCTTTGGATTTCCTTGGCTTAGAAGTGCCCATAATGTGTACGGACGCTAGATTCATGGATGACAGTGGCACTATCTTGGAAGCTACAAAACTTCATGAGGTAACTCAATTTTGCAATGGTTTGCTGCAGCTTGCAACGGTTTGCTCTATTCCTCTGCGCTCGTAGATCTCTGTAAAGAGGTGCAAATTTTTCTCACAAATCGCCTTAACATTAGTTTGCCCTCTAAAATTATCCTATCCTATCGTATCCTTCTTGGAATAGAGTATGAAGTCCCTTTGAAACTATAGCGCGAATCTACTATCTTTACCTGCTCTAATCATTAACGAAAGTAAGGTGTTTTATACTCAAATTGATTTACCTCTAGAAGAGACTACAAAGTCTTCTCTGGTTTTTAGATGCGGCTATATGATCCCCGTGCTCAGCGACGTCCCGTAAAGAAGATTCCATTTATGGATGTGCCAATCACGGCAGTCAGTCGCTGTTACAAGGATAACCATGTGTTAGCAGCCAATTCCATTGGCGAAATGGGACTGTTTGACTTACGGAGCAAAAGTGAGTTGTCTAAACTGAGGTGGAGTTGTATCTTGGGCGAGACAATTCAGCAAAAATTTTGGATCTATCTTTGCTGACTAAACCGCGTTTCTATTAGTCCATACTCAATTCTGCAACTCGCTCAACGTCAGAAAGTAGGAGGAACTATTTGTAGAATGGATATATCTTTCGGATATATGAACTGATCACATTTGTGGTTTTGAAGGGAAGTAGACGAATTCTGAATCTAAGGGCACCAATTGACTCAGCGACGGTCAAATCTTATGCATCCTTTTAGATTCTTACCCATGCAGTTACTCATGAGTAACTGCATGGGTAAGAATCAATGAGTAAACACACTGAGTAGCCTGCCGTAAGCATAAATTTCAAAAGATTCATGGAATCTGACCATCTAATTTGCAGCAACCGCTGCGAACAGGAACTTTCCGAGTCAAACAGTGCCCTTGGACTAACAAGGAAAGGATACTTGGTGACCGTGGCCTTTTGAAATGAAACGTATGCCAGTAAATGCGTCTTGAAGCGCTGATTCCAAATCTGTTTTCATTATCTGCTGTGCGCTGCTCTGAAAGAAGTTATGAACATCTTTTGTCACCAAAATTTGCGCTGTTTTTGATGCAAAATTCACCAATATCGTTAAAATGTTCGCTTACGCACTACACAAGAGCGTACAATTAAAGTAAAGCTTTATGTTAAGCTCAGGAAAACCGTCACCGATACATCAGAGTCTAAATGACTTGGATACTGACAATTTTCACTGCCTAAATCTCGCAAAATCAATCCGGAAAAAAGTCCATAACTTTGTCCAGCGAGTCGCACAGCAGATAGCGAACATAGATTTAGAATCAGCGTTTCAGGGCGCATCTACTGGTATACAACTCATTGCAAAAGGCCACGGTCATTAAGTATCCTTCCCTCGTAAGAACTTGTCCACTCTTAATCAAAATATGGGAAGTAAGGGTTACTTACCGATTTAGCTAAACTCCAGTGAAGTCCGGTGACTTTTTTTTGACGAGTTATCAGCGGTACTATAGTCTTACATGCATTCCAATTCTTACTTTCATCCGTTCTAGTCCATCCTGTCTGCAAGTATAAAGGTCAAGCCGGGGCTATCCGCTCCATAGATGCACATCCAACTGCTCCGTATGTGGCGACCTGCGGCATTGACAGATTTGTTCGAGTTCATGATATTGACACAAAGAAGCTTGCTCACAAGGTAGTACTAGTTGTTTCGATTACGTTACGAGAGCTGCGTCATTGTAGATATACTGCAAAACCCGCTTAAATCGTGTGCTCATCACATCTGAATTGCCAAGCCTTTTGACGGTTTTGGAAGGAAACGATGAACAGGAATGGGAAGAGTTAAAGGTTGTCATTCATCGCGTTGTGTGTATCTTGCTGAGTGAACCGTGACATTTAAGAAAGAGATGAACTGTGATAGCGATTCGGCAGAAGGCTCATCTGATGATGGCGCATCAGCTGATGAGGAAATATGGGAGAAACTGGATGTAAGTGGTGATTCTTCAGTGAAGAGTCGTCGATCTCGCATTCTCCAAAGAAAGCGAAAGGAGGATGAAGAGCTGGCCGAGGCGGTAGGCTTCAGCGCCGTGCATTGCCTTGACTCTTCCTTTAGAAGGTCTTTGCTGATCATGCACTTGTTCAGAATGGTGATGACGAAGAGCCTGCCTCAAAAAAGAAAAAAGTTCGCAAGCCAAAGAAGAGAAAAGAAAATAACGCTGACGAGGTGAGGCAATAGTATTTGCGATTGCTTCATGTTTTCGAGATCTTGTTTCGAGGTCCCGAAAGCTTTTGTTCATCAGTCACCGATCACCTTTCGAAATCCGACATGTCCAAACTCAAATAAAAGCTTTTCCTCTTGTAGATTTGTCATGGTAATTTTCCTCTTTCAAATGAGGAGTCTCTCCCTCAGGTCAGGCTAACAGGATTGCGTCGCTAAGGTTATACACAAGATAAGAAGGGAAAATTCGATTCGTTCAGTCTCGCTAAGCGATAGTGAATGACAAAAGAATGACAAAGTGTCGTTAGTGCGGCAGCGGAAGTCCAGGAAACTCAGACTCACAGTAATTACAAAAATAGTATGGACGATTACTGAGAAAGGCGTAGAAAAACTTTCTTGAAGTCTACATCCTTTAATAGTGCGAAATAGATTCAAAACGAATTGGTCAGTTTCCAGCAAAACCGTCCTTTTCAACTACTGGTAACTTCTAAGGGCTAGTAAGCCAAAGCATTTGGTCTGAATTTTTTTTCTTTGAAAACTTCCGCTACTGCACAGCCGATGCCTGGAGATTATGTTCATCTTATCACATGAAAAATATCATCCAAACCCTTTTTAAATGAGATGCGAGTGCAATTTCTTGTCTTTCTTTTCATTCCACAACGAACACGGCTTTTTCGGCCTTAGAGCACGCGAAATTGGACTTCCCACCATTTCCACCTTACCCGCATGCGACGACAAAAGTTAGATCTGGGTTCATGTTCCGAAAATTGTGCTTGAAACATAAAATCAAGATAGGGATCAATAAATCTTGATTATTTGCCCAGGTCAATGAAGAAAAACGCAAGAAAGCTAAGATAGTACAGGGCATCAAACGACACGACGAAATTAAAGAAGAGGTGTGTTACTTTCTCTCACAATTTTTTTTGAAATAGCGAATCCTAGGTTGACTCAGATGAAGAACCTCCGAAACGAATGCGAAAAATCGGAAAAGCCGTTGTATGTTCTTCGTGAATATGTTTACTTCAGGGTGCCTTCATACCGCGCCGGCGGCCGCCGCTAGCAGCCCGTAGCAGCCGCCAGCAGCCCGTATCCGCCGCTGGCCGCTTTTGTCACAGAAGCCAAAATCACCAAATTCTTACCACTTTGAGTGCGCCCGCCCACCTCTCACGCTTCTTTCTTTTTGCGGCTAATGTGCAGTCCCACTTTCACCATTGCAGAGTTATTGAAGATAAGCATCGACCAAGGATATGATTGAAACAGAACACGCATAAAAAATAACACTGCAGAAATTTGACGCATCCAAAGTCGAAATATGGTTCAATTGCGAGAGGGAAACTGAGCACCAATGGGATAACCAATGCACGACAACAAGATTATAACAATAATGGACGCAAATATTATATATGAGATCGAATTGCGACAAGAGGCAGAAAAAAGCGCGGGGGACGGAAAGCGTGGTCGGTTGCACTTGAAATAGTAAGAATTTGACGATTTTGCGCTTCTATGACAAAAGCGGCCAGCGGCGGCTGCTACGGGCTGCTAGCGGCGGCTGCCGGCGCGGTATGAAGGCACCCTCATTTCACTGGCTGCCGTCTTTTTTTTGAGAACTTGAATGTGCTGTGATCTCTTTGTTATATCGTTGATGCTGTTGTTGTTGTTGCTCTGTTGCACAAAGTTTGTTGCTTCCTTATTGTTCGGCTTTGTTACATTGTTGTAATCTCTAAATCCTCATCAAATCTCTTGCTTATCTATTGATTTATTTGCTGCAAATTATCTATCCGTTGTTACTGTAGAGCTTATATATAAATAGGATTTTTTTTGATATGAAGTGAGTGCCGGGCTCCGCCCGGCACTCAAAACACTATGATAAAGCTCTCTTCCGTACCCCTATACAACCTTTCCCTTTGCCCACGTCTACATGCCAATTCCCTATTCCCGCTGTTCTAAAAATCAGCATGTTCGATTACCCTCCTGTGCCAACTCCCAGCCCCACAGCTCAAACTTTGCAAAAAAGTCGATAAAGTCGATAAAAGTAATGGATGATTAAAAACTAATATTGTTTTCGTAATCAGCATGGTCGATTACCCCCTGTGCCAGTTTGGTCCGGATCATCGAAATTTTATTTTTGGACCGACACCCAGCCCCGCAGGTTAAACTTCGAAAAAAACGATGAAATCGATATCGATTACAACGGAAAGTAGCCTATGACACCCGATCGGCCCGGAAGTGTATGTATGCAAAGTTTGGTCCGGATCGGTCCAAAAATAAAATTTTCTATTCGGAACATATAGGCTGTATACCAGCCAGCATCGGTCCCGCGCCAGTATGCCCTGCGACGACGCACCGTCGCATGCGACGTGCCTTAACGCGTAGCATAGTTCGCACGCGTCACACCGCACCGTCGCAAGCTGCCGCAGGCGCGATGTCGCATAACCGATGCTGGTTGGTACAGCATATACGTGCAGACATACAGACAAACAGACATTCAGCTTTATATATAAGAAGATGTACCTGCAGGCTGATCGCGAAAAAATGATACGGTGGTGCAACTCTAGCTTGCCACGACACTTCCTCCCAACGCTATTTCGTGATCTTGTTTGAAAGAGCGTTAGGCCTAAGGCATACCTTCAGCGATCCAATCGTCACGATCTTCGATCGCTGCGACCAGACTGCCTGGGCGACCGTTCATTGCGTCAAAATCGCCCATCGCTTGACTCTTGGGCATACCCGTAGCGATTTTGTGAACGCTCACGCACCATACCGCATTATACGCGTTTTGGAGAACTTGCGCTAAATTTTCTGAAGTGCATTTACTCGAGAGGATTCGAGCAGAATGTGGCGCCATATGCTTTAAGAGAACATTACATCATACAAGGAAGGATACGGATTCACACACATCCCAGTATTTACCAACGTCTACTGGCGCAATTTTAGTAGTTACATCTGCGATGAAATCGACTAGTTTATAAAATTTTGAGTTCTCTCTCGGTAACTGGTAGGCACATAGGTTAGCTTTGTTGTAAAATCATTCTTCTGTCTTTGTAGAAAACTCTGAGTAGGTTATTTCAATAACAAGTGCTGGGCGAGCTCTTGTCTGCCAATCTGCGAGCGATTATACAAATCATTCATTCTCTGAATAAAAGACACCAGCAAGCTTTGCGTACATTTAATTAACAAGTTTACAAGTGAGGTTCTTGATGAGACATGTTCAAGCTCTTAAAACAACGCGAGTTCGATCATGTTTATGCACGAATTCCCAATAGTGACTTACCAAATCGCGTTAATAATAAGAAGTAAAGCTTTTTAATGTAATGTGTAAATGTAACCAAAAACTCCGTTTCGTTCCTGCCCTTAGACGGAGTAAAAGTATTTACAGACCTTCCCCGGAACTCCTCAGTAAGGAAGGAAGGTCTGTAAAACCTATTTTCAATAATAAGAAGTAAATTTATTGAGTAGTGTAAACTATGTGTATGAACTTTTTTGAAAAATTTTTAAGTTTTTTTCTTTTTTCTAAAAATTGTTAAGATATTGTATCAAAACTGTGATAGTAATAGAATTACTTACTTTTAAAAGAATATACTTAAATATAGAATATTTATCCTATAATATAAGAGCTCCACTATATATATATATGAGCTCCACTATACATAACCACATAACTTTTGATAATATTCAAAATGAAGTATACCATGTTTAATGTGTTTATAAAAGAAATGATAATGGAATGTATTGAACATGAATCATTCTCAGTGTATAGTTTGAGATACATAGTACAGTTTGTTCTATTCGTAAAGACTTTTGAAAATTTTGATATTATTATTATTGTGTAGATTATATTTATATAATATGAAATCGTTTCTGTGTAAACACTTGTAAACACTAGACAAAATTGTGTCTTTGTCATATCCGTTTGATTCCAAACATTCTTTTAGTTGTAAAATCTTTTCAAGAAAATCTGAGAACGCGCTATTAACTTATAAAGGGACGTACGCGAAGCGTGCTCGTGTCTCTTAATCAGGTAGTGAATGATATATGTCTGAGCGACCGTTGCACATCTACTCTATCCACTTCGGAAATTATAGCAGGAACAATCGAGATTTGGTCACTACTTGTAATCAATAAACAAGAACAGAGAAGATTAATACATTGCGAGAACAGTAAATGTTAACAGAGAGGGTGTGGTGACATGTGGGAAGCATTCCATACTATATGACTCGCATGTGTTGTTTTCAAGGATTAATAGTATGGAATGTTACATGACCTACCTTCTCTCATGCAGAGAGGAAGCGCTTGTGTGAGATGGAATAGTCCTAAACAAAATTCGCATTTGCAAAAAAATACAAAACTTCATAATAAAGAAGAAGCTACTCGAGCGATTCGCTCATCGCTGGGTCGGACCTAGCGACGGCGACATCGCTGAGTTCCAGCGATGTCGCGACGATTTCCCTGCTGAGGTATGCCCGCCTAAAAATGGCCCGCGATCCTTCGCGGCGTCAATCTAACCCCGACGCGGCGGACCACACAGTTGGAAGCGCCTGCGCTGCGAATTCGGAACATATGTCCAAGTTGGAATTTGCGACGCGACTGGGATCGCGGGAGGTATGCCTTAGGCCTTAGGCATAGGGAGGAAGGGGGTGTTTCCACTACTAGTGGAGCGTTCCAGGGCACCGTTCACCCAATTGAATGATCAGATTCTGATGTTGTATAACGCCAATGCGGAGCACCTAGCTGAGTATTCGCCTAAGCCTGCTGCAAAAGGCGGTTTGCGAAGAGATAATATTGCTCCAGAAGGTATAAGCGGCATAGGCGGCATCGCCCACTGGGTGGTCTGAAGATAATAAGTTCAAGATTGGGCTTCAGTATAGATAGGAGTGTCGAAATTTAATAATCAAAACGAACGTCGGATCTGTGATAATCCAAAGTATAGGAAGGTATTTTCGCTGCATTTGATGCAGTTTTTCATGCTCTTCCAAATGGTTTTTTATGTTGCAGTTCAACAATTGAGCCGTCGGAAAATTACCATTTGATTCAACTGGCTTGGCTTCGGGAAGGCGGGGCTTCGTGACTTGATTAAGGCTAAGTAATGATTACAGAACAAGCGCACGAGAGAGACGCAGACTCGTCGCGGGCGCAAGGCAGAGGTGCGATAGGTGAAGCCGGGCCCCCAAAAGTAAAGGTGGTTCCTGCTATCACCGGCCGCAAAAGTGAAGGTGGTAGTGCCGGACATTCACCTCCCAAAAATGTCGATCGGGGGGGGGGGCGAGCACAGGACGGACTTTGGGTTTGGGTTTTTTGTTTTTTTTGGTTTGGGTTTTTTCGGGCTTTTGGGTTTTGATTTTTTTCGCTGAAACTGAAAAAAGGAAATTAAGCAAAACGAGCGCAAAAGAAAGTATTGAGAGCATATTCTATGTAGTTTACTTTTAGGAAGTCGACGTCGCCTACTGCGAGCACCTGGAGGCCATCACCGGCTTTTACACATATACGCCTCAGCACTTTCTATGATAGAGCAAAGCTTCATGATGACTTCGGATAACTGAAGAGCTCCAACCCAACGGTCCTCTTTAGGGCCAATAACCGTGATCCAACGGCCCTCTCTAGGGCCACAAATACGATGAGTAAGTGAGCGTTAGCCCAGTGGAAACGGCTTAGAGTAATACAGCTGTCGTCATACCCTCGATACACAGAGCCACGTACTCTGGTAACCTTCACTTTGAGGGCTATGAGGGGACACAACCTTCACCTGGAAAAAAACAGAAGTCATCCGGGGCGAAGCCCCGGATGTTATCATCTTGACTATTTCGGAACGAATGCTAATGAAGCAAATATGGGGAATAATATCGTTAGTTCATCTCAGCGAAACCGAGAATTTGCGTTTTATAGCCTTTTTGCGTTGAAAGGAAGGTTTCTGTGGAATTTTCGCCAGAATTCAAGACGAAATTTCTCTGTTAACCTCTCATTTGACCAAAATTGAGTATCAGAAGTTTAGAAAAGCTGTTGGAGTTATATTAAAAGAGAAACTGCGCTTAAATCTATCGCAGATGGTCGCGCATGAGAACGCTGGTCTATCTCGCTAATGAGTGGCTTTCAAAGCTTGGGACGTTGTCAGTTCTCCTCGCCGTGTCATGACGATCAGAATGATGTATAATGTTGCAGGGTTTCGTTGAGACCCCGCAGAGATCTACGACCAGAGCCAAATGCCCCGTCGGCTCTGGTCTGTCTCCGCTGCTCGTCTGCTCCGCGCGCTGCGCGCTACCTCGCTACCCCAAACGCGGGGCGCGGGGCATTTGGCTCTGGTACCCTTTTCTTCGCTGTTTCGAACCCAATTTTAGCAAGCTATATATCATTTTGAAGCTCTTAATCTCTATTTTCACGCTGACAATATCCCAGAACCACATCCTTTGATTTGATCGGGGAATTCGGCAAAAACCTTGTTTTTGAAAATCTCTTGTTTTTCTTCTAGTTTAACTCTTTTCACGCGGTTTTTTCGTGCATTCTATAGATCTTGCTTCTGCTCATAATGCAGACAACCACCCAGCCCTTACTTCTTCGATTATGGTAGAATTTTTTGCGAAAAATCGTAAAAAGTGCGTTTTTCTTTACCTTATTCTGTTTCAGTGCTTTTGCAGCGATTTTTTTCCACCTTGGGCGATTGTTGCTCAGAACAATAAGCGCAACAATCCAGACAACGTCCCTGGAAACAGGAACGTCAATGCTGGGGTAAAAATTCAAAGGACGCATCAAAAATCAAAACCCCGTGTTGCGAATTGCTGGTCCTGGAGCGAAAACTTGCACCTTGAAAAGCCGCCAACTGAAAGATTTCAAACCTTTTTTGCAGCGTTTTTATCCGGTTTTCAGCCGTTTCTTTTGCTTTTTATATCCGTTTTACGTCATTTTCTCATCTCTGATCTTCTTTGGACAACCTTCACTATTTTTGACGTCAGATGTTCAAACAACCTTCACTTTTGACGCCCTGTCTCTAGACTATCGAAGGTATGGCTGTCGTAACACCAAATACGAAGCAGTTTATTATAGATGACACAGGCTGCAGTATAGGAATATGACCATGAGTATCATAAGCCCTCGGCTGGTGACGACGGCTACGACGACGGGGCAAACGTCCGCCCGGGGATGAGGGGAGCGCCACCGCTCGGGAGCTGGGATCGAAACCTCACTACTTGAAGATGCTGACGCGGCCACGCCCTGAAATAGATGATTCAGCGCTGGCTTACTGTAGGCTTAGATGTTAAGATAAAATTCCGGCGCGTAGCGCTGCTCTTACAAGTACAACTGCATAAATATTTTGAATAAACGTGTTAATGAAATAGTGTATCTCTTAGTGATACTCAGCTAGACTTTATGTGACTTTATGTTTTATCAAGTACATTTTGTTATGACGTACTGTGAAGAAAGTAGGTCGATCCAGGCACTAACCGCCGAGAACCAGAATTTCGAATGATAAAATCATGCGATGATTCCATTGTTATAAATCTGCTGGTTGAAGGCGTCAGCAATTGCGACTTCATAGGTTTTGAAGGGTAAGTGTTGTTCTACCAGACAGTGAAAGGAACAGTTTGGTTTGAGGAGTGGCCGCCGAGAACGAGAATTTTGAAAAATCACGCGATTTTAGGTTGCTTAATCACACCTGACATTTACACTTTTACAAATCCGGACTTTGAAGGTGTGTAATGTTGCAAATTCATAGGTTCTGTAGAGAAAGGTTTGCCCTATTAGAAAATGTCTTAACTGTACCGATCCATTGAAACATCGCCGAGATCCAGGCTTTTTAAAAACAGGTAAAAAACCGTTTTTCAGCTCATAACTTCTTCACAACTGCATGAATCATGTTGCGACTTCATAGGTTAGATTCTCCTTTTCAAGAGCTTTCAAATGATATATAATATGTGGGGGATTCAATGTTTCTTGCAGCTCTAACCCGGGGTGGAGTACTTCTCTTCACTAATTCTCCACCCCGCCCATTTCAATATATTGGCTGGAGGCCGCCAGTGGAGAATTAGTGAAGAGAAGTACTCCACCCCCGGGCACATGCCGTGGGAGGCGTGAATCCCCCACATACTATATATCACTAGCTGGCTTACCCGGCCCTTACCAGTCGCAACATGATTCATGCAGTTCTGAAGAAGTTATGAGCTGAAAAACGGTTTTTTACCTGTTTTTCAAAAGCCTGGATCTCGGCGATGTTTCAATAGATCGGAACAGTTAAGACACATTCTAATAGGGCAAACCTTTCTCTACAGAACCTATGAAGTAGCAACATCACACACCTTCAAAGTCCGGATTTGTAAAAGTGTGAATGTCAGCTGTCATTAAGCAACCTAGAATCGCGTGATTTTTCAAAATTCTCGCTCTCGGCGGCTACTCCTCAGATCAAACTGTTTTTTTCACTATCTGGTAGAACAACACTTACCCTTCAAAACCTATGAAGTCGCAATTGCTGGCGCCTTCAACCAGCAGATTTATAACAATGGAATCATCGCATGATTTTATCATTCGAAATTCTGGTTCTCGGCGGTTAGTGCCTGGATCGACCTACTTTCTTCACAGTACGTCATAACAAAATGTACTTGATAAAACACATAAAGTCTGGCTGAGTATCACTCACAAATACACTATTTTATTAGCACGTTTATTTAAAATATTTATGCAGTTGTACTCATCGTATTTGTGGCCCTAAAGAGGGCCGCTGGGTCACAGTTATTGGCCCCAAAGAGGTGGGTTAGCCCGTTGGGTTAGAGCTCTTCAGTTATCCGAAGTCATCGTGAAGCTTTGCTCTATCGTAGAAAGTGCTGAGGCGTACCTATATGCGTCCATGCCGGTGATGGCCTCCAGGTGCTCGCAGTGGGCGACGGCGACTTCCTAAAAGTAAACTACATAGAATATGCTCTTAATACTTTCTTTTGCGTTCGTTTTGCTTAATTCTCTTTTTTTCAGTTTCAGCAAAAAAAAATTCAAAACCCAAAAGTGAAGGTGATCACCCTGTACCAGCTCAAAAGTGAAGGTAGGCGGAGAATCGGCTCCGACTATCGCACCTCTGCGCAAGAGGCCTCAATCAACTCACAAATCTTCGCCTTCCCGAAGCCAAGCTAGTTGAATCAAAGGTCACCAAAAACCACAACCCATGGTTTTATCAAGGTCAAATTTCACTATTTATTGAATTTTTATGCTGTTTCCCCGAAGAAATCCAAGTAACAGTTAGATAGATGAAACCCTATGGAAAACAATCATTCTTCTCACTCTAACGCGCTATTATTTTTTAGTAGAACTTATAACAACATTTTATTTCGGCAGACCTATATCAGACGCAGACTCGTCAAACGCCAACGAATTCTCGATTTTTTTACTATTAAATGGGAATGATGCTTGGCAGTAATACAAAACAAATGGGCTTTCAGGGAATCGAGATATCAAATTTCGAACTTTCCGCGTGGGCCACCTTTAAAAACATGAATTTTGGATTTTATCCTCCAAGACTTTACGAATCAAAAAAAAACATCCTTCTGAAAAAGGAGAAAATGGTGCACTGAATAACGCTCGAGTTGCCGGTTTATGTTCTATGAGGTTCAAGCTGATCATATATGGAAAACTCACGAAAAAAAAATAATTTTGAAATTGTTGGAAAGCAAGATGGAAAGAGAAAGACTTGTTTTCTATCTCATAAGGTTTGCTCTATTATCCGTTACTTGGACTTCTTCGGGGGATCAGCAAATTTTACCTTGTTACAAACCATGGGTTGTGGTTTTGGTAATTTACTGAGAGCTCAATTGTTGACCAGCAGTATGTATAAAGGCGGAATGCTACAAGACCTTCAATTAGGTTGTTCTGCGGAATGTGGCGCTTGTTAGAAAGGCTAGAATACCTTCGGAACGACTTAATGAGCCCATTTGGACGTACTATGTTTAGACTACCCGCGTTGATGGGAGTTGCCGCCTGGGCCGCTTCCACGCCTCGCATTCCACTTTTTGCAGGGATTTGTGCGATTAATGAATTAGGGGCCCACTATTATACAGCATCGAATCAACAGAATCAATTTAGGTAGGCGGTGCCCTTATGTGGCTCTATCACTCGCTCTCATGTAACATCTGGGATTCTCAAGAGTAGAAAATCTGACATCTCTATATTGACATGTAGGTGCCTCTAATGGGTCCACTGAGCCATAGCCATCGAAAGATTACCCCTGACGCGTCACTCAACATTTCATTAACAAGGAAAGTGTTTTCAGTCGAAGTGGCCTTTCCAAATGAGATCTGAAGCATTTTGGAGAGTATCAAACATTGATTCCAGATTTTTTTCCGGTACCTGCTTGCATTTCTGGACGCTTTGAGCGTTTTTTTTTTCGAAAATCGAAAGCGGAACTGTAATAAAAAAAAATTCAGAGCTGCTTGAACGAGCCATTCTTAAATGATTGGAAAGACTGTAGACAATATCTCTGACTCTAATAAAAGAACCTGTGAGATTTCAACGGCGAAGCCTTGGCGGCTAAGGTTCACAAATGGTTTGTGACTGTGTCCGAATTGAAATAAGTAATTCAAAAACATGATTGACAATATGATTCTCCTCACTATTGTCAGCTGCTAATGACCGAAGTGTAAAGGACAACCGAAACGGGTCTCAATTCTTAAATAATTTTTACAAAGTTATGGTACTATTACCGCGCAGCTAGAAACATTTCTTACAGATAGACAAGTTCGAACTGTTTTCGTAGCATTCTGACAGTTTTGAAAGCCGAACGAAGATAGGCGTCATATACGATTTTTTGTCCTTGAGAAATTCGAGACCTCATTCAAGACTGAAACCTTACTTCGAATGAGTTACAAGGCTGTTTTGGTTTTGATATCAATGTTTTGAACAATTGTTTTCATTCTTATCATTTACAACGAAAATGTGAAATCTCAGGTAGGTTCTCATTTTATTTTATTCGCTTTTTGGGATGTACCGATCTGTAATAGGTGCAATCCCTACATTGACATCAAACATCCTACCTAATCGTTCCCGTTTGAGCAAGGAATGACAGTGCTCCAAGTACGTTTACTGTGAAAGGATTACCACCATTAGAGGTCAAAATCGGCAGAGAAGGCTACTTCGATGGATTTATCTCATCAGCTCAAGGTGAGAACGTTTTTACAAGTTTTAAGTACAGGTGCCAGTTCAAGGTGTTGGAGAAATGTGGTTAATATCATCATTTGACGAAAGAAACGCCATTGTTGCAGCCACAAGCCTTTTTCAGCCTCGACCACTAAAGTCAATCCAAAGAGGTATGAACACTTTTGCAGTACTGCTCTGATTAGTTATTGATCAAGGCTTGCTGATTCTCTCCAGATTCCAAATTAAAAATAACCAGAAATATGAAGCCGCGCTACCTATAATGCATTGACCATAGTAATCATACCATAAACAAGGCACTAACAACACTTATGAGCTGCCAGTTTTGAAATTGACCAATTGACCATATTTACAAGGGCTTGAGTGTTCAGCAGTCTGACAAAGAAATAATAAGTCACATTCTGAGGCTTCACCAACCGATTCTCAAATGGTTAGCAGCATGACGAGATGATTCAACTCTGAATACATTCACCGTAGTACTCCAAGTGCGGGGTGTTCTTTTCGTCAGACTCGAACTCCTTGCTCACAATGTCCCTCATATAATTTCTCGCTTGATGCTCCGTCACTGGTGACCATGCGTTAGAATATTTATTGTCGATTCGTTGACCGCATGGATTCTCAACGTTCCGGACCACGCGCGGCTGAAATATTTCAAGAGTACGATTTGTATCACCTGTATCACCTGTATCCCCGTTGATCATCGTGTTGCACGAGCGGGTACCAGTGATGCCTCCATTCGTCCCTGTCTCGGGCGATTGTTGACCAATGTTTACGTATCGCACCAGGAACACGTGGAACGCTCTGAAGGACTTCATTAAAGGACTTCGTGAACATACTCAGACACTTTTTCCGACGGCCCGCGCGCTTTCATTAGCCTACCGTGCGAGCGGCGCGCCTAGATTTGTGGGCGTGGCATCGTTTCCGACGGGCGGCGCGCCATCGAAAACTGCCGTGCGAGCGGCGCGCCTTGCCTTCGACGGGCGGCGCGCCATCTTGAGTGACCGGGCGAGCGGCGCGCCATCAACAAACATGTAAGAACAACGAACATGTAACTTAACAAGACGCGTAAGCATCATTTTGAATTCGTTGTTAGCCGTTTGAGGTTGCATTTGTTATCGCATCTTGGTTGCTTGTCCGTTTTGCCGGCTAATCGTCTCCATTCTTTGTAAGTTTTTTTTGGTTCACATTTTACAGTCATTGTCATTCATGTGCTCCCTATCCCGTAGCATCTTAGCGTCCGTATTACGTCCGCTATTCGGCTATCCGGGCCCCAAAATGTATTGTCATGGATTTCGCTCAAACTTGGTCCAGAGGGGTTATCTGACGTGCTGATCACGATTATCACCCTTTTTCCGCAGGAAAGCGCCTCCCTGCAGGGCTACGGTAGGTATACGGTAGGGGTCAAAATCATAGATTTGCCCGAAACTTGCCCCAGAGGGATTCTTCGGCCCGCTGATGCTAAATATCACATTGATTTTAAATCGTAACGTCATTTTCTCGGATTACGGTAGCTACACGTTAACGGGTTCAAAACGTAGTTCTGCCTGAAACGGGTGTACGGCGATTCGGACGATCGTGAAGCTTTGCACACACGACCACCGCCGTGCGCTACACACTCTGCCGCGGCTTCTGCCTGAGCAAAGCACATGGGAAAGATACATTTGTAGATTTGTGATTTCGACCCCTACCGTAACTATGCAGGGAGACGTTTTCGTACGGAGTGGTTTTTTTTTGATGCCATCACCAGAGTTGTTTGCTATGTTTTTTCTTGATGTTACAGTATCTTGAAAGATGTATCGTGCCGCGGTCAGTCTCAAGCGTAAATCTGGAGGACCACGAACGTATGCGAAGCCTAGACCTGTTTTTCCACCATGTCTCACTGGGTATGTTTGTTATCTGGTTTTATTACCTTTAGTAGTTTCATTTTCAGTAGAGAGATCCTTTTGTGAAAAATATTGTCGAAGGCGAAGGGGCATTCTCAGATATCCAGATGGATTTGGAAGTTCTACAAGGTTCATAGCTTTTGCTTTTTTTCCTTTCTGTTATGTTTCCTAGACTTTGTTTTTTCAGGTAAACGTGTACGAAAGACGCAAGTTTCATGTTGACTCCCCTACGAGGAGTTCAGCCTCTTCCGTTGCCTAGATCACTTCATGAATGTGTTGAGAACGGAATCTTCCACATTGACAGGGCAACCCGTCTAATTTTGTCGAAGAAGCATCGCCAATAGTTTAACGAAGCGGTCTACTACGTGAGTACGAGTACATTGATTTTGATAAAAACATACAAATTTTTTCTAGGAGTTTATCAGATCCAATATCGTACTACGCGCTAAAGTCACTTACGGCAGTTTGAATCGCATGGTAGGATCGGACATCCACTGGCTATGGCATATTGCTAATCGCATGACAGTACGGCTGCACATTTCGGGATGTCATATATTCCGTTTTTTTGCTCAATCAGGTCATTCTTACCGGTATATAAAAGTGCTTTCTCAGTATCAGCATGGCTGCTGTGCTTTACGTGTTTTCAACAGGGTGCTTAGCGTAAAAGGTATTGATGATATTATAGTTGTTGCCTGTTGTGTTCTGCTTTTGATTCTGTATTGTCGTTCTGTAAGCCTTTGGATAATAAATCTACCATCATCATACTTGTATACATATTTGGCAATAAATCTGACGCTATGAGGTCGTATTTCAATGACAAAATATGAATTTTATCAAAGGAATGCTATTTGTATCACAATAGGGTCCTACAACGCTTTCGAAGGAGCGGGCGAGCGGCGCGCCTTCAGCGAGCGAGCCGCGTACCTTCATTCCACGGGCGGCAAGAGGCATGAGCGCTCGCACGCTCAAGGCGCGCGGGCCGTCGGAAAAAGTGTCTGAGTATCTGACCATCGCGTCGGCGGTCTTCCTCGTTCGCGTTTGACGTCCAGTGGTATCCAATCTGTTACAGCTCTCGTCCACCGGTTGTCGTCGAAACGCATTACGTGCCCGGCCCATCTTATATTGTACTGCTTGGCGTACGCGGCAGCGTCCCTGATCTTCGATCGTTGACGTAGGGTAGAACTTCGTAATCCTTGCCTCACTTGCGTGAGTCGATTCACTCCTAGCATCACTCTCTCAACAGCTCGTTCGATGACGCTAACCGCGTGTTCATCCTGCTTTCTCATTGTCCATGTTTCTGAAGCGTACGTCAAAGCAGGAAGAACCGTCGAGTTGAAAAGGTGGGCGCGGAGCCGGATGTTCTTGGTCTTCTTCACTACGTCCTCAATTGTCTTATATGCTCCCCATGCTGCACGTTTCCTCCTGCTCAGTTCCGGAGCTAGATCGTTCATCATATTGAGTTCACGACCTAGGTAGGTGTAGCTTGAGCATTCGGTGATGTTCGTCCCGTTGAGCATGAAAGGAGCATCAGGCACTCTTCCGTTCCTCATGAACATCGTCTTCGTTAGATTCAGCCGTAGACCGATCTTTCCACACACTTCGTCAAATTGGGCCAGCATTTGTTCCGCCTGCGTATGCTTGGTGTTATCAATACGATGTCATCAGCAAAGCGAAGGTGGTGTAGCTGCCGGCCGTCGACTTTCACTCCCATGTTGTCCCATTCCAACTTACGCATGACGTTCTCCAGAGCGGCACTGAATAGTTTCGGCGATATAGTATCGCCGTGTCGCACGCCTCTCTTCACGTCAATGATGATGTCCTTGTAGAATGGCGTTATGGTGGTTGTGAAGTCGTTATAGAGCTCACGAATTATCTTGATGTAATGAGTCGGAATACCTTGATTGCTCAAGGCATCGATGACGGCTTCAGTCTCAACCGAGTCAAAGGCCTTCTTCAAGTCGATGAAGGTGAGACAGAGCGGCATCTTATACTCTCGTGACACTTCAATGAGCCTTGACCCGTGTGTATGTGGTCGATCGTGCTGAATCCTCTTCGAAACCCAGCTTGCTCGCATGGATGTCCTTCGTCCAACTCTCTTCCGATCCTGTTGAGAATGACTCGCGTAAAGAGTTTGTAGACTACAGACAACAAGCAGATAGGGCGATAATTGCCGATGTCGCAGGGATCTCCCTTCTTGTACAGCAACACGGTTTTGCTGGTCTTCCATTGCCTTGGAACCTTGCCTTCCGTCAGGTACCGCGTGAAGAGCCTTGCCAAAGTCTTGATGAGAACTGGCGAAAGATTCTTCAGATGTTCTGGCTTAATCCTGTCGGGACCGGGTGCTGTACGGTTTTTCATCGACATGATAGCATGACGAATCTCGGAAGGAAGAACAGACGGTGCGACATACTCGTCCTCCTTGAGATGGCATGGTGGAAGGTGGACGTGGCTCGCAAAAAGATCCGAGTAGAAGTCGTGGATGACCTTCTCCATTGATCTTAGGGAAGCAGTTATGGTTCCGTCAGGACGACGAAGTGCGGTCATCTTTGTCTTGAAGTTGACGAAGCTTCGGCGGGCGTTGCGTATACTTCTTCCAGCCTCCGCGGCGTCAAACATCACTGCTACTCTTCTCTCCTTAAGGTCTTCTTTTATCGCTTCTCTGCATCGCTTCGCAAGCTCGGACGTCAGTCGGTAGTTGCCTGTGGCTCGTGCGCGTCCACGTTGGCGTATCAGCTCCAAAGTCCTCGTGGTGAAACGCCTTCTCGTACTTCTTAGACTCTGAGCTTCCTTGGCACAACCGTGGAGATGTTGTACGAACCGTTCGTATTCTTCGTCGATGTTGTCCATCACGGTATCTCGCCATGAGCCGGATATCGAAGAAAACAGATCCCAGTTGGTGGTATTCATGGGACGATGTTTCCTGAACTTGACGGCTCTCTCTCCATTCCGCGGAAAGTAGAATTTGGCGCGCAGGAGACGATGGTCTGATCCCGTGTAGAACTTCGGAACAACAGCGACATCCTTCAGGCAGTACCTTCTGTTGACGATGATGTGGTCAATCTCGTTATGGTACTCTCCACCGGGCGATTCCCAGGTCCAGCGTAGGGAAGAGGGCTTTTGGAACTGTGAGTTTCCATGGATAGTCCTCGTCGTCATGATAAACTCGGACAGTCTCTCCCCTTGTTCGTTCCACTGCAAACCATGGGTTCCGATGTGAAGTTCCTCAGTCGACCTTCTAGTTCCGGTCTTCGCGTTGAAATCACCGACGATGATCTTGTAGAAGGTATGATCTTCTCTGTAGAACTTCTCCAAGTCCATATAAAATTCCTCGAGTTCGTCCTCGTCGTAGCTGGATGTTGGGGCGTACGCAATGAAGAGGTCAAGGTAGGGATTGATCCACATCTTGATATTCGCAAACGTCCGATTCGAGTTGTAAGTTGTTCGAACGAATCGATGTTCATGGCCAAACTCGTGTTGACAAGGATTCCCACTCCACCTACTCCTCGACTGTCGCATGTTCCTAGAAACAGTCCTTCTCCAGTCTCAAATGTGGCGTTCAGCGGGTGGTGCCTCCTTGTCTCGGTCAGTCCGATGACGTCGTACTTAATCTTCCTTGCTTGCATCATGAGATCTTCGATAGATGCGTCCGATGCCAGCGTCCTCGCGTTGTAAGTACAGATCGTCATCATAGTCCGTCTCGTTTTCGGCAGCCTAGATCGCCTTTCAAACCTTGTCCCCACTGGCGCTGCCTTACCAGTGGCTCTTCCAAGATTAAAGGAGCTTTCCATATTATCACTGTGTCGAACAAGAATTTACTCGCAGGGATAGCTTGTTGGGCTCAAAACCCCCGCGAGGGACGATCGGAGCTTATTTGTTGGAGGCGACTCCGAACTCGCCTCCCCACACACCTACCCGGGAAATTAGGACGCAAGCTTTTAGTGGAGGCAGGGAGTCCGTCCCCCGGCTCCGCTTGCTTATCAGAGCAGGCGCGGGGTCGCTTTTGGTCGGCGATTATCCCCCTATCCGCCACCTGGGGACGCCCCACGTAGCCTCGCGACTAACCGGCTGTGATCCCTCTATGAGGGAGAACCGTGGGTACGATTTGTACAAGGCGAATATCTATATATAGGCGAATATCGCGTTCACGAACCGATGATGATTGTGGGATGCATCCGAGATATTTTTGTGCTTTGGCGCCATAATAGGTGTCACCAGCTCAGATGAGAACATTACAGCCTAGAAGAATCCATCCCTAGCTTTCATCATCGGAAGACCCAGATGGCTACTGCCCACATCATCTGTTGGATAATGGTCATAAGTTCAATGAAACAGCCCTAGGAAACAATTAGAGAAAAGCATACAGACTCATTTTTGCTATGCATCGTCCTTCGATCGAGCTAAGAACTCACAATGCTATGCAAAGAAGACATTCCGAACTTTTCACAATCATTTTAGGCCATCAAAAAATGGGAGCATATTTTTGAATATATGTACATGATGGGCTGAGTGTAACTACCATCCTACCTGGTAAAAGTTTCTCTGAATAGAGTTTCCACCCAATTGTATGGAAAAGGTGATGGAAGAAGCTCGACATAAAAAGCGCTCTCTCAGTGATGTGTCCCGTCTACATTCGCAATAACTGTCAAAAAGGGTTTGAACCTAATTGAGGGATACACAGATAAAAGCCAAGTTGCAGCTCAGTTGAAAATAGAGGGATAGAGATTACTAATTACAATTAATAAGAAATTTATCACATTCAATGGAAAATTCGGTCTCATTGCTTGTGACTGAGGCCTGGTTCTTTATAGCTAGCTTAGCTATAGTCACTACAAAGGTTTAATCTAAACTGAATCTTCATAGGTACACTGGCAGTCATTGGTTTACAGTATGGAAATTCTCCGAAAACGTGGACTAGAGTAATTGTTGAGGGCAGACCCGATCCAACGCACGCAAAGGTACGTAGGTTAGTATTCTTTTAGCCAGTTTCCAAAAAAACATCGAAGGTGTATCTCGTCGACTATGGTATGCGGCAACTTGTGAACGCAAGAAGTTTGTATGAAATGCCTATCGAGATGATGCGAGTTCCACGTGAGTCAAAAAGTGCAAATACTTCCCTCAAGGGTTTTCTTTCAGCCCAGGCGTTCCCCGTCATTCCGAAGATCTCACAGCCTCCCGATCTTGGTCCCGGAGAATGGCAAAAATTGAAGAATGTCCGCATAACTGTTCATATGAGTAAGCGGACATTCTGTGCCAAAGTTTATTGGTTTGAAAATTGAGCTTTCATAGGGGGTGTAAAAGATGGCAAATTTGTGTGCGACCAGATGACTGTCTATGATGCTTCCACACGTACGGACGTCGACTTCGGCGCAGCTTTGCGGAGTAATATTCAGCTAGAATTGTAAGTTACTGATTATATCAGTGCCAATGAACAGTCGTAGTGTTCGTTTGCGCTAGAGCTACATTTGAAATGAATTGACTGGCCATAGTTACCGTGGATTCAGATTGGATCAACTCGCTAAACTTGCGTGAGACTACAGGGCCGTTTTTGCGATAACCAGCAAGGCACACGGCCTTTTCCGACAAACAAGAAAAATATTCTCCAAGTCCGGAATTGGCCCCTGGTACTTTCGCTGCTTGCTGTTACATTATACTGAGGGCAAAAGCCAGCCATCACATTCATTGTCGTCCTGCCTGCAGTTTAGTGAAGGGATCCCATAAAGATTGGATCCGGTCAATGGTCAACTATAGCCGTTAGAAAACCTAAAGACATCTGGATTTATGCTATCAACTACAAATCTTCCATGAATTTTATCTCTAAACATACCGGTTAAGGGCAAACGTTACGCTACCACCATCAGTAACAGCAGAGAAGAGCTTCCTCCTTGCTCCGGAATCTCGAATAGATCTACGTAACGCGGCAGGATTACCAATGCGACTAGAGCACCGTGGTAGGGTTACCAAGCTTTCCAACCGTTAATGTATATGTATCATCTTTTCAAGACTTCTCCGTTGTGCTCGTCTGCGTGTTTGGAATTCTCATGGTGGTGGCTTCAATAATGATAGTTATCGGATTTACGTACAAGCGCATTCAAGTAGATCGCGAACGTCGACGTCGACGTCATGGCGCACCTGCAGATTATCCGTGAGTTGACAAATACGTAGATTTCTTTTTGAAAACCAATCATCACGAGTTTAGAAATCCTGACGCGATACCATCATGGCCAAATGGTAACGACAATCTGCAACCGCAAGTTGCGTCTATGCCCGTAAGGAATTCTGGGAGTTTTTTTAAGTTATACAGTTTGTGTCCTTTCTTCCCATGGGTACCGCGCAATGCAGCCCAATCAGGGCCCGGCACGCGTTGGTTTGGAGCACTTTTGGAAACGAAGTCCCTATGTATTCGCGAAAATTTACGAAGTCCCCTTTGACGTAAAAGTCGGTAGGGAAACTCTTGTTGAATCAACATAACAAAACATGACGATAAAAAAACGAAAAAAGCTAGTTTTGAAGTACTTAATATAACAAAAAAGCAAAAGAAAACATTCTGGGTCGAATCAGTTCTTCAATATGGTACCACTTTAGTGTTCAGAACGTTGAAAACCTCTTAGGCCAAACAAATCTGTGACCTCAACAATCTGGCGATGCATTTTTTGCCACATAGTAGTTCTAAGAACACCGCATGTGATTGGAGCGCGATATCTATCAATGCTTTGGTTTTCACTATTTTTGGCTCAAAAAAAGAGGAGAAGCAATGGCTTGATTCGCTCCCTTCGCTATATCAAAAAGGTCCAAAACTTATGTGAACTCTCCGATATTTATGCTCCGAACCAAAACGTTGGTTTGGTGTTGGTCTAGAAACCAACAAATTCGGGAACGGGTATTAGGACACATATTAGGACAAGTTTTCGAAACTTCTTACATAATGTTGTTTGGAGTAATATATTGTATATACATAGGCTTAAATTCGGCGTCATGTGATTGTTTGTGCTGTAAACAAGCCGCCTGTTTGTTTGGGTCTCACGTTTGAAAATGGCGCGCTTGCCAAAGAACACGTTCAACTCGTAAAACCTGACATGTTTGTCGTTTTTTTTGATGCTTCGCCCAGGACCTAATACGATGTTCCCGTTGCTTCTAACCTTAAAAACGAAGTCCAGTTTGACCTCGAACCAGGGTCAAGCTGTTGATGCGATCCGGGACCCTCATTTACGACCCCCCCCCTTCCCCCTCCCACACTCTCCCATTTATCCCCTTTACCTCCCCTGCCCACATTCCTTGCGGTAACCTGCATAAACAAATGTCAATCTCAAAAAACACCTGCGTGAGAACTTCAATGAGGTTTCGGAGGCAGAATTTCTAGGCCATTGGGTGCGTCCAGCATCTGTACACATGCGCACCTTCAATAATATTTGAGAATCTGCAAGTTTTTTTTTTGAATTTTCAGGCATACTTCAGACCAGCAAATTCGATTCCCGTAGGCGACACAAATTTTTGCACGAAGAAAAAAATGACATTCTTGAACTACAAAAGATGTTTTCGACTAAGAAGCTTACTTTCTACCTCTTGCCACAGTTTTCCCCGCGAATAAAACCGCTTGAGCGCCGTCCAGAACGACGTCAAAAACGTGCATGAGCACGGTAGTTTGAAAATTCGTAACTAAGGCCAGGAAAAGAGTGAGAGGCTGCAAAGCACAGGTTCTGTAGTATAGTGTCCAGACTATCCATCGAAAAAGTTCCAGCTCTTGAGGAGCAGTTAGCTTGAAAAAGTTCAGATGCGACTCTCACAAATTTAGATGCGATCCCAAAAAGCAAAAACTGGGATTTTTGAGCTTAAAATTTTGTAACTTACCAGAGAAGTTATAAAACAGCCTGCAATTTTTATGAGGGAAAGTAGGAGGATGGGCCTCATATTACAGCAGAATTGCAGCCAACAAGCTTCAATAGCTCCGAAGAAATTTAGATGCGACCCAGATACGACCCCCCTTTCCTGATTTTTTGCTACCATACATAAAATTATAAGAAAATCCACAGTTGACAAAATCACACCAGATTTTGCACTGATGTAGCGGAGCATCTCCAGATAGATCATATGGGCCCGTGAAAAACATTACAAAAAGATTTAGAAATTTATGATGGTCTCAGCTGGTAAAGATATTCGCTTTTGTCGAGTGTGTGAAACTTCAGGAGGGCTTCAGAAGCAAGATTTCTAGGGCAATCGGTACATTTAGCATTTTTATCAAAGCATACATCCTTCAAAAGTGTTTTGGGCTCTTGTAAATTTTTTTTGAGAATTTCCACAAATTTTTTATCTTTTTTATTCTAATTTCCACTTTTTTATAGATTTATTGTAAAGAACATAACTAATTATCTGCTTTTTGATTCCCTTTTAAGCTTAAGATATTTTAGCCTAACTACCTTCTCTTACGACCCCCCCCCCTCTACCTTAGGTACCCTCTTTACGACCCCCCGTTGCGACAGTCGCATCTCAAGCTTGACCCTGCCTCGAACCGTCTCTGCAGGGCCCTGAGCCCAAATGGTGTCTTTGACGTGTTAGTACAGGAGGACCAAGGAGAATGTTTTGAGAGACGTGCCAAAGGCGGCGCAAACGCACGAGAGAGTACAAAGCGGAGTACCTATGAGAAGAACCGGAACAAACCATGCCAACAATCATTTTGATGGAAGACATACATCAGTCATTCCCAATTTTTTTACCACAGAATTTTCTTCTGCCACAGGCTATCTGATAGACGCCACCATTTCAGCCAATCTCATTACCACCAGACACAACAGAAGCGGCAACTGCAGAAAATACAAAAGCAGTGGAGAATATGACGACGAAGCCCCCATGCGATGATCGTAAGGTGATAATCGTACAGTGCCTTGAATAAGGTCGTATAACCCACAATATTTAAGGAAATTTCTGTGCTTGTTTTGTCAGAGCAGGCGATAGCTGCCATTGCCGCGCTGATGGGTATCTCTTCGGCAATGGCCGACAGAGAATTTTCAAGGTAGAACTTAACTTTGTGTAAGCTCTAATCCGCTTGTTCTAATGTTCAGAACAATTGCAATTCCCTCAGAAAAAGAGAAGTCGGTAGATGATATGTCACGTAGGTAAGACCGAATATTTCACGAGTTTGAAAACCATGGGAAAAAATCATAGTGTACCTCATAAATCAAGTTTGCAAACCTTAGAAAAGCCTATAAAACTAGTGCCTAAGGCTTGAGGACCTGACGATAGAGGTATAGCGGGTGCTGGCGAATCGCTGATGTCTGCGCTGCCTTTAGCTGCTTGTGGCTGCTGTGCTGGGTACGCTTTGGGTGCAAGAACAAGTAGCTTTACCCATTACTATGCTTAGCTTAGGCCATTAGGAAAGTAAGTCTGGAGAACTACCAAAATTGAATATTATGTTTATATGAGGTTTATAATAGGCAACTTGTCCTCATCAAAAATTTTTCTCTATAACAAGCATAAAATGGCAAACTAAGTGATGCATATACTGAGAAAACTATAATCATCTGACAAATTTTCCAAGAGAGTGTCTCATTAGAACCTTGATGTGTGCTTGAGGCAACAACTGAACTATCTAGGTCATAGCTGCCATTAATCTATTGAGATGTACTGGTAACATCCCACTCATTTGCTAAAACCCTCAAGCTTTTCATAGTTACTTTGATTTGATTATATGCTTCTGAAGTCCTGTTCAGTTGTTCTTCATTCGTCGACTTTGTCAATTTTTGACTGATTTTCTTATCGACGCATTTGCATTTTGACCTTGCAAATTTGTCATGGTTCAGTATCGCAACAAGTGCTCTAGAAATTCTTCAGAATTTCAAAAATATGTCAAAAAGGGACAAATCCGAGCAAAATCAGCGTTAGCGCATGAAGCATCTGAGAGAAGCTCAACAAATGCGAGTTTCATATCGCGTAGCAGCGAGGAACAGCTACGAGCAGCAAGCAGCACGTAGAGCAGCGCAGCATCGCTAGCTATGGTGGGTCTGTTCGGCGTTGGCTGCAGCAGCTAGAAGCAGCAGCGTCGCCTGGCGTCAATCGATATGCACAAAAGGCGTTGCTGCTGGCAGCATCTTATCCGCAGCTATAGCCACCCATCGTCAGGCTTCATACATACCTGACGATGGGTAGCTATAGCTGACGATGTGTCGCTGCTAGCAGCAACGCTTCTCATACGTATCGATTGCAGCCAAGCGACGCTGCTGCTCCTAGCTGCTGCAGCCAACGCGAAACAGACCCGTTATAGCTAGCGATGCTGCGCTGCTTCTAGCTGCTCCCTGCTGGTCGTTGCTGCTCCTCGCTGCTACGCGATATGAAGCTCACTTTTTGTGAGCTTTTCTCAGCTGCTCCATGCTGCTACCAGCTGATTTCACTCGGATTTGCCCCTATCTACTATTTTTTTGTGTTTCCAAAGGATTTCCAGAGTATTTATTGCGATAAGTGAACTGTGAAAATTTTGCGAGACGATTAAAAATACAAGTATATAGGTGAACAAATCAGTCTGAACGAGATAAATCCATAAGACCTCTGGAATCAAAATAATATGAATAGAGTACAATGAACAGTCAGAGGCAGATATCTATCAAGGAAAATATTAGGATGTCGCTGGCCCACTTATACAATACGGCGGTGGATAGACCTAGTTTAATTGTTGCCTTAAGCACACTAGGGGTCATGTGTGATATTCAAATTAACATCTGTCAAACTGTATCAATTTCTTTAGTAAATGAAGCATCTGTGCGCTGTGTGCTTATTACAAACAAAATATGATAGTAATAATAGTGAGCTATATTTCATGATTCATGATCTCCAGCGATGAAATTCACTCAATTCATTTCTCCGCTGATCTGAATCAGTGGGAGGGCTAATAATTCGCTCTCGCACCTAAAATGCACCCATGCCAGCAGCTACCGGCAGCTACAAGCAGCGTAGACAGCAGCGATTCGCCAATACCCGCCATACCTCTATCGTCAGGTATGTATGAAGCCTCAGGTATATCTCAAACCTAACTCCGAAATCTTGGATATTCAGCATACCGGCCAGGTTGGGTGCAGGAACAAGCGAAATTTCCTCAATAAGAGCCTCGTCATCAGAAGACATACCTGCATTTTTGACAAGCACGCCGATGCAGATTTCAAGTCAGGAATCTCCAAAACAGGAACGTACTGCGGAGGGTTCATCCTCGCACGATTCCTCATCATTGGGCGATGAATTCACCAAAGCAATCACAACTTATGACGTGCAAAGAATTTTAAAGGAACGCGCAATAGTGCGCTACCAGTAAGTTGTCCGTATGCTTTTGAAACCTAGCGCCTTGATTAAATAACATTTATCTGAAAGTCTTGGAAGATGTCTATACCGGTAAACTTATTAGTTCTGAAAGGCGCTAGAAATGATCAGCTTTGAACAAAAATTTATTGTCCTGAGAAAACATCAATTCGTTTAGTTACCCAAAAGAGCTCAACAGCACATCTCTCTCAAGCTTCTATAGTGCTGCAAGCACGTAGTTTGATGAAGAAGACAAATGTCAGACTAAGAGTGCAACTTCATTCTGCTCTTTAAAATCTCGCAACTCTTGTTCTTATTGTTTGTAACATCAAAATCTATTTAATAAATTCTTTTCTGAGCGGCGCAGAAGTTGACAAAGGAATCGTTTATGGAAAAAGCGTCAATCACAAAGCAATGAGGAATGATACGTGAAAAATGAGGACCAGAAGTAGATAGTTTACACTCTGTTTATGGACGGAGACTAACCAGTAAGTAGTGTGACATTGCAAAGCACCAGATTTGGGTCAGTTTCTAACTGACGAGTTAGAAGCGAGCATAGGATTTACAAACACAGATTATGCACCCCATACATATCTACACGTTTGAAGACCAAAGCGAATGGATTGTGTTCCGAACGGAAAGGTATATCAAAACTGTTGAAAGGCAAACTGAAGAAAATTGAGGGAAGAATTGAGGAAAGCAGGTTACAAAAAACAAGGAATAAAGTGGGCAGCATTGCAGCAAACCGAGGACAGATGAACGCATTTTCGAACTGGATGTTGAAGTCATCACCTGGCACGATTCATACACATCAATGCCCAGCTGTAGCACTAAGAGTCGAATGCATAGAAAAGTGCTTCACAGACTGCTAATTTATTGACTTGGCACAGATGGTGAAATCAAAATCAAATAATCCAAAAGCTTTCCGGCGGACTAATGGTAAACGGGTGGCGGTCAAGATGAACGATAGCATGTGCCAGCCGCCAGCTGGGTACCGTACGCGGTGCGCTGATCGCTCCGCCCCCTTCTTAATTAGCCTAGGAATGCGCTGCAGCTATTGGAAAATTCTCTAATACTTCGCTCATGCTTCTTCAGTTGGTTGCAATTTGGGTAAGAGTAGATTTTCAAAATTTCACTTAAATTGAAAATCAGTTTTCAGATCATTTTTCATTATAAAATTAGTTCGCAAGCTCTTTCTAATGTATTTCAATTATTTGTTCCTAGTAGGCTTGTCCAAAATGATTTTACATTGCAAGCATGAGGAAATTGTTTCGAAAATGCTTGGAAAAGTGTTTTTTTTTATTCACATCTTTTACCATATTGAATATGCTTCGTTGTGCACTCTCAAGTTTAGTTCAAAAAGAAGTCAGCTTATCGAGAAATACTATTATTATTGCTGAAATGACCAACACCATCATCTCTTTTATCGGAAAAGTAAGTTTTAAATCCCTGACCATAGCTAAAAACAGATTTCATTGCGACGAGATTTCAAAACAAGCATTATAGGTGAATTTTGTTTCAAGCAAACTAACTCGTTTTGCAAATATGCGGTCATACACAAATTTTCCAGATTTCAGGAAAATCATACTACACTTATAAATTTTCGAATCTGCTTTAAATATCGAAATTCTTTTATTTTGCTTCCAAAAACTGCTATCCTCAATATAAATCGATCTGTGACACAGTCGAAATTACGTGTGAACTAGTCGTAAGGTGTGAGGTCACTCAAACAATCATGCCTGAGGTGTTCTAGATTGATTTCATACTCCAGAGTTAAATATCCAGGAGTCACTCGGTCATTCATAGGTGAATCAGCAAATCTCTCGAATATCACGACCAACACATCAGCTGTTCTTTGATTGCCAAAAAATCAAAACAAGATTCCGTAAATAGTCAAGCTTCATCCCAGCTTGCAACAAGCTTATATTTCACTATCAAAAGTTATTTTTAATTGACGGTATCGACCGAGAAACTCGTCCGCCGGAGTAGGGCGGAACTTCGAGCGAACACGTTATTGCCAGTTCATGACCCCGCGCGCTGCTGTTACCAGCTATCGTTCATCTTGACATATACCCATGGTAAATGGGAGAAAAGAGTTGAAAAAATCTCCCAGCATAAACTTTTGCGATAAGGGATGCAACATCTCGATTCAGTCTTGTAAACGAATGATAGATTGATAAGAACAAAAAGAGCAAGGCAAGCAAACAGAGAGTATAAATAAAGGAAAGAAAGAACTAGATACACATTTTTGGTCCTGCAAATTAAAGCGCGGTAGGCGATGCATTGTGGGTGATAAGTGAAAGAGGAAAAGACTTGATGTGTGTTTGCCACTGCGAACTACACTGGAAATACCGAACACGATCGTATGTGAAACCGTCAACGCTGACTGTAACGGAAGTAGTAATGACGCTTGTAATATAGCTTCAAAAAAATTGCAAACCTGTCAAATCGTTGTGCTTACTCGCACCACTGCAGAGTAAACGTGATACTGCTGCCACTTGGACTGGCGGATTGTCTGCCTCAGATTTCTAAAAAGTTCATTACACAAATGCCATTAAAATACAGCTTGGTTGCACGCATTGTGTATACCTGTCCTTTCTTCATGCCTAGCTTTTGAAGCATTTTTTCTTTCCTCTTTTCCTTCACAAAAGACAGCGACAACAGAGGCTGATTGCAAGCCCTATCATGAAAATGGTGTTCAAAGAATTTTTCTTTCTTCAAAAACATGAATTACCGTGTGATGACAAGTGTGCGGAATGTTGCTTTCATAGATCCCTTACCATCTTTTTTGGAGTTTGGCGTAGAGGTCGCATTCGCTGCGTTGAAGTTCTCCTAAAAGCTTTGCTAGAATTACCACACTATATAACAGCCTGACGACAAAGACACGAATGTAGGACAATTCACTAAACGATAGTAAGAAATGAAGATTTTTCATTCCGAATGCTGATGTTAGGTTGACATACGGCTAATGCTTTATTTTTTTCTCAAGTTTTTCACTTAACAAACACTAGGAATTTTCTGATTTACTTTAGCCTGATGATTTACCGAATAAGGTGGATTACACTATCACCAAAAGCTCCTCCCCCTTTGATGATCAATAATCAACCGGGGGGCACGCGGAAAGCGACAATGCCCGCAAAATGCAAACATTGTAAAATCGCTCTTACTAACTTTTAGAAATTTTACTTGTGGCATCGAGCCATTATCTACCCCCACCCCCACCCCCCTACCTTAAAGGCAGTGTCTAAGCAAAAAGTCGTTTTCGAGATTTTGCGCTTACCTGGGCCTATTCGCTATGCTGAATCCAAAAATCAACACTGGAGAGCGCGAAAACGGCGAAAAAAGGCTCTAAGGGAGGAGGGAAATCGCAGGTGGGCGGGGCCGTTCACACCGTGACGTCACTCTCCCAGGCTTTAGGAGCGATCTTCTTGGTTCCGATTTTATGTCATGCGTTTCGCGGTTAGCTGGTAGTGATGTTAGGGTGACTAGAGGAAGCAAGAAGATCGCTCCTGAAGCTGGGAGAGTGACGCCACTATGTGAACAGCCCCGCCCACCTGCAATTTCCCTCCTCCGTTGAAGCCCTTTTTCGCCGTTTTCGCGCTTTCCAGTGTTGATTTTCGGATTCAGCATGGAAAATAGGCCCAGGTAAGCACAAAATCTCAAAATCGACTTTTTGCTTGGACACTGCCTTTAACGCTGTGTCACTTTAGCACCGAAGAGTCACAAAATTTGGGGATTGTCGCCTCCCGCATCACACCATGATCAACCAATTAATCATCATAAGCGAACTCGGTGCTTTCATTAAAGGCAGCGTCCACCCAGAATTTGGCCCCCCATGTTTTCGTCATTCTGTGGCCTTTCCGTGGCCCTGATTACAGTCCCAAACTTCAAACTCTCTAAAATTCACAAAAAAAAACCGATTCTTGGGGACCTGGTCTTGAGGGCGCGGACGAGTTTCGAATTGCTCGTCCCCGTCGGCAGGCCAGCGGGAAGGAGCTGCAACTGCATGGGTGCAGTTGCATTGCATTGTGCAGTCTGCAGCTTCTGCTCACTCCTTGTCAATACGTGTTGGGAGGCACGTATTGACAAGGTAGTGAGCAGTCCCTGGTGGGCGGAGTCTGATATCAAACTCCGCCCAGCCAGGGACTTTCAGGCCCCTTATCTCCATTCAGAGACAATGTCAGAAGACCGGACCAACGCAGATGCCCCTTTTCTGGGGCCTACATTCAGCATCGACACTAATCGGAGGGGGTTAGGTTTAGCTGGACCGCCTTTAAGTAAAGCAATTGTTTTGGAAAAGTGAAAAAGATGAAATGGGTGAAAAGATCATGACAAGTGACATCCGAAGACATACTTAGGCAACTTTTTGCTGCCAGCATAAGTAAACGCGGTAATTGCTTTAGAAGTTTTGGAAAAACAAAAAATTGCGGGATGAAGAGCCAAATGCGGCGTGTGATATTCCAACCGAATGAGTTCATGATTCTCTGTGAATATACAGTGCAAATGTATAGATATTTTGAAAATGTAAAGACAACTCACATTTGACTGATCACGGCCAAGCCAGTACTCTACATGCATCTCATGCGCATCAGTACGGATATGCGGGCTGTTTGGTGGTGAGCTGCTTAGGCCTGAAGAATCAGTATAAACGAAACAGCTGTAGGAAGCTATTTTCAATCATGCGTCTTGACTTGGTCCACTAATGAGACAATATACTAGAAAGGACTGACCCCACCCCTTCTATGTTCTGTGACAATTTGACAGTAAGCCGCTGAATTTATTATTGTCACTTCACGCATTCATCAAATCCAAACGACAGAAAATTCTAGGCTGGATATGCTGCAGCTTTACTACTTGAATCTGTCGTTTCCAAGCCACATCCTCCAACTAGTATTTGGCAAATTTTCCTCTGTTCTCAAGCTGCACCGACGTGAGAATGTTCCAGTCGTTCGAAAAAGTCGCAGTCGTGAATCGGAGGGCTTGTGCTACTCGTCATGCTGTTTCTCTGCTTTTCAATCTTTGTAATGAAAAAGAAACCGTTTTCTTATTAAAACTACAGGGCCTAGTGAAAATCAGTATTCAAACTTCAAAGACCACAACTGAGATACCCAGGAATTAGAAATATCAAAAAAAGGTGTAGCGAAAGCTGTTTGGATAAATCAAACATTCCCAAAAGATTACACCCTAAGTCCGGCGAAATTATGCTGTCTCTAAATGCAATGATGCTTCAAAAGACTCCAGCATAGCTGTCGGAGGGAAATGGTTTTTTGGGCGCTAGGATGTACGTCTTGATCAAGTCATAAGCCAGGAGAGGCGGATGCGGCAGCTAAAACTGTGAAGGGCGTTGGAAGCATAGCTACCGTTATACTAAACATCAAACATCAATTAGTAATGTATGGTGGCGATTCTTACTTAGATAAAAGTAGAGGGAAGCGTAACCAGAATCGATTATACTGTGCTTAACAACGACGAGATTACCTTGTACTCTTTTCAAAAGCGACTCAATTCAATCAATTCAACCCGCACATAAAAATGCCAAAAATAAAGAGCCGAAAAGAAAGGATTATTTAGATTACGACAAATATGGAATCCGATATTTCCAACCTGCAAAAGAGTACATCTTATATATAAAGCTGAATGTCTGTATGTCTGTATGTCTGTCTGTATGTCTGTACGTATGTGCGGAATAGAAATTTTTATTTCTGAACCGATTTGGACCAAACTTGGCACACATATACTTCGGGGCAGGGAGCGTGTCATAGGCTACTTTTCGTTATCGATCGATATCGATTTTATCGATTTTTTGCAAAATTTGAGCTACGGGGCTGGGAGTTGGCACAGGGGGTAATCGAGCATGCTGATTACGAATATAATAATGACAGGGCCGGGCGGAGCCGGGTTTGCCAGCTAGTTTCATATAATGTGAATCGTGTCAAGCAGTCAAATTTAGTACAAAATCTAAAGCATAGTCAAAATATATCAGAAAGAGAGCCTGTAAAGAAGTGAGCTCTCGAATACGATATGCTACCGACAGTAAACTTGAAATAAAATGGTGTGAAAGAAAAATTCGCACATTCACGCTAGTGGATTTGAAGTGGAACAGATACTGTAAAAAGTGAAAGATAAGGTATGAGAAAAGTGGGAAAAATTAGAGAAAAAAACTTTGTTAAAAAATTCAATACTTGCCTGCAGAGCATTCACGCTCGCGTTCTCGGGAGAGAGCAACATCTTTTTCGTAATCCAAAGCGCGTGGAGATGAATAAGCAGACGCTGTATCTTCATCCTCGCTACTGTGACCGACTCGCACTTCGGTGAGAAACGGTACAAAAACGCGGCCTGCATCAGCCTAAACATGCTCATGCTCCTAAGAACGTGTAAAAGCTTACTGACTATGCTGTACTACTTCGAAGAAACGATTTTTCGATGACCTGATGCGCCACGCTAGATAGACAAACTCCAAATATATAATGCAAGTAATTTAAAAGTACATTTGCAACATGTCAAATAAGCAATACGAGCTTACCTCTTGACCCCTCTCGGTCATTTGCAGCAATGCTTCACCAATGGGCAGATTCAAGCAAGTGCCTCCGCTTTTCAGCCACGCATTCATTTTGTCAATGATAGACTGCTTCTCCGCATAACTGATCTCCGGCCACCTCTCCCATATGTCTCGACATAGTTGGTCAAGTGTTACGTCCAGTCCTTAAATGTTATCCACTTCTGGTTGCTAGCGTTGCGTCACCAAAAAAAACAGAACCTTCGATGAGTTTCGCGATGAGAGAATGAGGTGCGGGGATCACAGCAAATCGAAGATAATGCAACCAATTACTTGAAGACTTGTGATGTAGACATTCAACATATGCTCGTAGGATCTAGAAAGAATCTTTGCATTTACCAGATTAGCACCACTTTTATAAGTTACCTGCCCCATAAATCTGTCGCCTCCTATGACTCCAACCCAAGTTATGGGAGGATTAGACGAGTTAGAGTTACAACTGAATAAGAAAAACTGAGACTAGAAAACACAAGATTCAGAGATGCAAAAATAAACCCACAAGCTCAGAATTTTATTCACGATTTGACCGATAGCTTGTTTGACTGCGTTTGCAGATGGACAGTTTACGGTGGCAACAGATATATTAGCGAGATGAGGTAGATCTGAGTAGGAGCATAACCAACATCCAGATTTCGCAGCAGGATAAGTAGAAAGCAGCGTCGTCAGCTAAAAATTTGAATTTGGAGCAACTAAGAACTGAACCGAAATCTGTCAGCAGATCGGAGCTAATCAATGGAACAAACAGAACGGCTGAAAGTGGTTTCACCATCCAAATCTCCCACCTCGCCAACGTGTTTCTCTGCCGTTGCCACTAGCCGATCTTTATCTGCTTTCTTGGCAATTGATCCAGTGGTAAGAGAATGTGAGATTCCACCGAGAGATGTGCTTTGCACAAGCGGAGCACTACTTGTTGAGCCGATTCGCGACTGTTTTGTACCGCTCTAAAACTGATCAATGCATTGACTCGTACCTTCAGCACAAATTTTTGAAAATCCTCACGTTCGGCCCTTTTGCACGAATCCCATTGCCCTGGAGCATTTCAAAAAAAAAACGGGTTTAATTTTTCGTTGTTTTTTTTTTGAACTGTTTCATACCAATGACCATACAATGTACCCTAAAATCCCATAGATAGGAGCGGTTTAATTTACCGGTGAAAAATGAATTGGAATGAATTGAAATTAAATGCAGTCACCCCTCTAACTTGATAGATGGATAAATAAAAGTCGGAGAAGAAGTTTAGAAGAAGCTCCGCCCCTCAACTCTAAACCCCGCCCACTCAATAAACAATTCATATAGAAATTCCGAGATTCCGTTAAAATCGCTATTTTTCTATATGAAATGTTTATTAAGTGGGCGGGGTTTAGAGTTGAGGGGCGGAGCTTCTTCTAAACTCTTCTCCGATTTTTATTTATCCATCCATCAGGTTAGAGGGGTGACTGCATTCAATTTCAATTCATTCCAATTCATTTTTCACCGGTAAATTAAACCGCTCTTATCTATGGGATTTTAGAATAGCTCTTCTCTCTGTGCAACATATGAGCAAAAAGACGACTACAAGTTCAACTGCATCTTCTGTCAAATTCTCCAAAAATAAAATAACAAAGCTGCGGTGAAAAATATTGCTAGAATGCATCAGACTAAAAAATAGTGCATTTGTTGAAGTTACTTGTTCCTGTCATGATTTTCTCAAGAGTGCAGCGTACTAAAAAAGACATTGATTAAATATAAATCAGTGCTGTAGCTAAGAAGTGACGCACTTAATACCATAGCAATTACTCTGATGTTCACCAAAAGGCTTTTTATGGACAGAACAAAAGAGAACTCTGCAGTTTTGATAAGAAATTAGAAGCAATTTTTCATAATCATTGCTGCGGGATGAACAAAGGCTTTGATTTGTAGTTGGCCGAAGACTTGTTAGAAATTGTTTCTGACTCGCTACAGAAATGGATACTGCAAAAATTTATGGCACTCAGATATTATACGTACCATTCGATTCAACTGGCTTGGCTTCGAGAAGGCGTGGCTTCGTGACCTAATTAAGGTTAGGCAATAATCAGCGAGCACTCGCGAGAGAGAGACGCAGGTGCGTCGCGAGTGCGCGCGGTCTCAATTAGGCCACAAAGCCCCGCCTTCTCGAAGCCAAGCCAGTTGAATCAAAGGTCAGGTGCCTAAACAAGTCAATGAATCTATTAAATTACAGACATTTATTATGAGTAGTATGCAAACTAAACTGCTCAAGATCTAAATGAAAGCAATATTTGTAAGCAATATAGGGTGCATAGGAAGAACAAACAAGTAAGGGATGATATGAAAGCTTGACTGAACGTTACGATGTTTGAGTAGCCAAGCGAAAAAGAAGCAATCGTAAAAACTCGTCTCTGTTCTTGACTGTGGCTATATAAAGTTCAAGATTTACCGTTGGCGTGACTGTTGAGGATAGTTGATCTCCTGATGCGGCCAACGTTCCCTTCAACATATCATGAGTCTGTGACGTTTTCCTCTCTTCCTTCTCCCGCTCTTTTTCTGTTTCCGATGACCAGTCAATATCCTCGGCTTCACCTTCGCTGTCAGATCCATTGTCGCCGCCCTTAAAAAAAATTGAAACTCCAATATACGAATGCCAAGGGAGACGGTCAAGGGGCGCGGTTTCTCCAGAGGTCACCAATAACAGCCCATTTTATAGCTATGCGAGTCTTCCTACGGTACAAAGTGCTCTATCCTACTATTTGAACGTACAAGTTTACAGAGTCAAAGATTGAGCAGCAAAGTGCGAGGGGAGTTGGACATACGGTATATGCCCAACTTCCATCGGCTACGAGACAACATGCTATAAACAAACAGAGTCCAAATCTTGCTTGAAGACCTTATTTTCGGCATGCTTTCTTCAGACACACTACCATAAAGAAACTGTAAAACTTCTTACTACCTACAATGTTACTTTTCCCTATAAACTTCAAAATCGCTTCGCTAAAGTCGTATGGATTAAAGGCACCGTCCACCCAGATTTTCGACTTTCACGTTTTTGTCGTTTCAGGGCCTTCTCATGTCCCTGATTCCGAATATGAAGTCGAGAATGCTCGAAAACTCCGACAATCCCCGTTCCGGAGGACCCACAGGCCGGCTTTCCGGAACGGTGATTGGATGGGCGCGCAAAAATGGGCGGGCATGGATGGGGGGGAGGGCATGGATGGGGGTCCTCGTGCATCGTTGCTATTCCGAAGCGATTTTCTCGCTTCCGAAGCGGCATTTTGCGCCGCGACTTGGGCATTGGATTGATAGGGGACCTTATTATTATAAGCTGCCAAAAACTCAACACCCTCAACTCAGGGTGGACGGTGCCTTTAAGGTTATTGTTCCTGGCGATTCCGATGTATCATTATAGTGATATCGACTTTGGTAGCTCATTTTTATACCCTTGCGCTAGGTACACAGTCTAGATTCAAGAATAGTGCAGCACGGAAGTTGACATTGTGATTACTTGGATACGTCTCGATGAACGCCTTGTGTGATCACGTTCTAAGGAAACCATACTGCGAAAAGTGTTTTGATCATTCCAAAAATGGCGAGGACATCTATACGATGGCAAGAACAAAAAATCTTCGAGGAGAACAAAAAAGTAAAGAAGCACATGCTCACTGAACTGTAAGGCATGCGTCATCTGTTGGATCAAACTCATCTCAAATCTAAACAAATAATACAATTCTGGGGCAAAAACGATTCTCCTCGAAATACCACAAGCGGTGGCGAAACACCCTCTGCTGAAGACATTGGGAACGACAAAAAAATCAAGAGTAATGAACGAAATCGTTTGTTTTGGAATCAACATGCTGAATTTTTTGAGCAAATGACTTCGGCTTTGCTCATGCTTTATCTGAGAAGAAGAAGACTATAGAAAAGAGGGAGTGAATGAAAAGATACGTGACTACCTTACGTAACTATGCAAGAAAGGACTTCGCAATTACTTTATCTCAATTCAGCACAAGAAAATGGCCCCCGTGACATAAGAATTAACTAAAAAAGCAATTTTAAAGTTTCAAGACGGAAGAGATGCTCCACCGGGAAAATTTTTTGAGATTTCACTCTTGATAATGTGTCTGAAGAAATACATCAAAAATAAGGTCTCTAAACAAGATTTGGGCCCTTTTGTTTGTAGCATGTTATCTCGCAGCCGATGGAAGTTGGGCATATACCGTACGTCGGGGAGTTGCGTTGCCAAAGGCAATAACCCTACGAATGAGACTACACAGCAAGGATTTCATTATTCTCAATTCTGAGATCTCCTAAGATGACTACATACCCTAATTTCCGGGGTATAAGGCGCAGTAGCTTTTACCGCGCGCGAGCTGATGATGATGACGTACGCGATGCGCGGCGCCGCGCAAGCAGCCAACAGCAACCTCTTTCATTCAGGTAGCTTTTTGCTCCCTTTCTTTGCTGTTTTCCTCTCAGTAGTGATTTGTTTCAGAACAAATCTCTGCTTTCTCTTCTATTCTTCACGAATGACAAGAATAAAACAAACAGCACCTTTAAAGTATCAGTAGTGTCATTGTAAAGGAGAGCACAGTTTTGGTACCAGTAGCATTATTGGAAACAAAGGAAAGCACAAAAGTAGCACCGGGGATTAACCACAGCAGTCTTGAGTCTTTAGTTTTCTAGATTTAGAGAGCAATCGTTTAGAAAGCGTTTTCGCGCGCCATTGTTCGCTGCGGCGGGTGCGCCTTATACAAGGTGCGCCTTATACCCCGGAAATTAGGGTAATACCTAGACGTAACGACTAGGTAATGGCCTATTATCTCCGTGCGCAACATTCTCGCACAGGTTAATACTGTAACGCCACTTCGCGATAATTACTTATTGCAACCCACACGTAACGAGCGCCCCCCAGGAAAGCAGCCAATGAGACAAATCATAGCTAATTTTTACTCCTAAGCACCACTGTAGAAGTCTAATTTAGATTATCGTACGATAGCTGCTTTGTTTGGGGAGAAAGAGCGCTTCGTGCTCATGAAGCAGACCTCGACAAACTTATTGACCAACCTTCCCAATCACACCTATTAAATGAAAATTGAGAAATAAGATATACACTCTCGAACTACAGAAAAATACAACAAACCCTGTCGTAGATTGCAGGAAGAATCTCTTTAGATCTAGTGAAGAACGGTCGAAGACCAGGCCTGGGATTACTTCCTATAGAGATGTCGTCTGCTGCCATTTCAGGTCCTGCAAACGCCCTCTTTTAGATTATCAACGCACTTGCTGACAAAAGCGAAGGTTGCCTTTTTGGTTTACACATTCGAACCCCATGCAATATTCGTTGTAACAAGGTACAGACTCTCTAGCAAACTTGTATCAGAAATTACGCAAACACGGGAAAGTACCTCTAGGTAACCCTGATTTCACTGCATGTTCAGAACAAGATCTACGAAGTCTACAAATCTCACCAGAGTCACTCATATTTTCCAATTCTTCGAAGAGATCTTGCAACTCTTTGTCGGTGGGGACCATAGCAGCAGAAGCAGATCTTGAAGGGATTCCCTACAATATAACATGTTAGCCAAGCTGAACGATTGCTATGCCTATGCACAGTCTTATACGAATCTAACTTGAGATAAAAATTACTAACCTCTTCTTCAGGAATCTTGAATTTTTTCAGCAGTGTAACGAATCTCTGCCTTATGTTATTCTTTCGAGTGGAACTAGCTTTATGACCGAGCTGATCTGCACGCCTAAAATTCAAAAGATTAATTAGTCTCTCAAACTAGTTTTTGATTTGAACACAACCCTTAAAAATATGCAAAATAAATATAACCTTAGTGATCCGATGCACTTTTAGGCCTCGAACAGAGTTCACGCGATTTGATCGTCGCGATTTGAAGGCACCGTGCACCTAGATTTTCGACTGCCACGTTTTTTTCGTTTCAGAGCCTTCTCATGTTCTGATTCCGAATATGAAGTCGAGAATGCGCGAAAACCCCGACAATCCCCGTTCCGGAAGACCCACAGGCCGGCTTTCCGGAACGGTGATTGGATGGGCGCGCAAAAGTGGGCGGGCATAGATGGGGGTCCTCGTGCATTTTCGCTATTCCGGAGCGATTTTCTCGCTTCCGAAGCGGCACTTTGCGCCGCGACTTGGGCATTGTATTGATAGGGGGCCTACTATTATAAGCTGCCAAAAGCTCACCCTCAACTTAGGGTGGACGGTGCCTTTAATCGCCGCAATTTTCATTCATTTTCATTTTACATTCAAAAGTGTCGACCTGGAAAAGTGTCACAACCGAAATGCAATCTGATCGGCTTGCAATGAACTCGTAACAGTTGTCTTGCAGCGATTGAATCGCGACGATCAAATAGCGTGAACTCTGTCCAAGGTCTTAGGGAATACCGATGCAAAAAGAATAAAAATCAAAAAGTATCCATCGCATACAAATTCTAGTAACTGCGCCTCCAGAACAACCTTCCCAACTTGTAGTAGCTCATGATTGCCTAAGTTTCCTTTGTAATGTTACCTTCGCTCGGTATATAGCTTTGGATAATCATGGAGTCCGACGGAAATAAACTTAGGCCACAATCGAAATGAGTCGCTGCTAGTACGTCGCATTCAAGTTAGTTAGGAATTAGAACCTCGTATAGCTGCTTCACGACTACGTGCATCTCAAAGCTTATAGCAGAGCACGCAGTCCTCAACATCCAGTATTTTTTTGTGGATTTATTGACAATGCATACACTGTAATAAACGACCGATGATGGCGTCTTGTCCATAATTCGGGACGAAATGAGAGCAGTCTTTTAAATTAGCTTCTTGATTCCGCTGATTTTTTTACTCACAAGCCTGTTCTTAAAAGTCGAAGTTCTTGGCAATCTCCACTGCTGTGCTGCATCAAAACAACTTCAGAAGCTCTTCGGCTAAGTAAAAAATCCATTCAAAGGAATCTAGGAAACTCTAGATTGCAAGGATTAGAGTCGATACGACTTCCATTTATTAAGCCCGGGAAACCATACGTGTGACTGTCTGCCTTTTTTATTCTTCCGTATAGCCCACTATACTTGAGCTTTCTGCTCCATATCACACTGACAATACGCGAAATCGATCGTCTGATTCGGGCCAAATATCATTTCGTGTCTCATAAAAGGGTGGAACGGCTCAATAAAGACTGTGAAGTAAAAGTGGCTGAACATGTCCAAGCGATTATAGTCTAGCTAGGATATCAGATGATAAGCAACTTACAAGGGAAAGTTCCCAAGTCAGCTCGACCAATCCAGATGAGTCATATATCATCGTAACGGGCTTGAAACGCTGATTCCAAATCTGCTTTCCTTTTCTGCGGAGCAACTTTCCCAGGGAAGTTATGAGCGTTTAAATGTCCAAATTTGTCATGTTCAAAGTGGCTTAAAATCAGTTGAAAGCTGTAAAACAACACCTAACGAAATTTCATTGTCTGTGTTCCGTCCTTGTAATCAACATACAGGGCTTTTCAACCTGAGAGTCGCAAGTTTCGCTTGCGCGGCTCCTCCAACGCGGCCGCCTCGCTCAGGCCGCGCGCGGCGTTTGCTGCGTATCGCCCGGATTTCGCCAAGCTTCAGTCGACGCGCAGCCAGCGGTACGAACGCTGCGCGGACCTAAGCGTGGCGTCCTAGCGGGGCGGGTGGGACACTCAGGTTGTAAAGCCCTGTACTTGATACAAAACTGACAAGTCACTTTTATGTGTTATTGTACAGGTTTCGCCAATTTTAAGCCATTTAAAACATAACACATTTAGACTTTTAAACGCTCATAACTTCTCTCGGAAGGTGGCTCCGCAGAAAGGGAAAGCAGATTTGGAATCAGCGTTTCAAGCCCGTTACGGTGATATATAACTCATTCGGGTTGGCCGAGCTGACTTGGGAACTCTTCCTCGTTAGTAGTTTTTCATGAGGAAAAAGAACTAACGAAGCTACCTTTTGCTTTTTGTTTTCAATATTTTTGGTGCATACATGTCCGTCTAGTAAAGATTATGCTAATAAAAATTGTAAGGAGACTTTAGTGGTCTATCAAGTATAAGCAACAGATAAGTGTAAGACTGGATGTACACCGCTGTCTCTCATTGCCTAAGAATATTCAAGAGCTACAAATCAAATTACCCCACCTTACGACGCTTCTGCCGCTGCCGGGTTCGTTCAAATCACTGTCTACGGGGATATCTTCATAATCACTGTCGGAATCATCCTAAAAATATTACAAGCGCATGAACTCGAAAACGGAACACATAAGCGATATAAATGAAATGCAACATTAGATCACTGAGTTTTGCACTGAAGCAACGATTGTAAGATACTTGATTTGCCGCAGCGTTTCCTTGCTTTTTTCATGTACTGCTCAAATTTGGCGTACAGATTCAATCTCATACGCGAAACAAACAGGTGGACATTAACGCTATTTGAACGTCACTTCATTCTCTCCACTTCCGATATGACTTTTTGATAAAATCCAAGATTGCGGCTGACTATCAATTCACAAAGATAAGGATGGGCAAAAGGAGATATTAAAAAGTAATGCTAGAGTTGACTTCATCTTGTGGATCAGATAATGCAGCGCAGATCATACAGGGTGTCCCAAAAAATGTATCGAACGTTTGATCGTTAATATCTCTCTTCCCAAGAAGTCTTTTGCCTTGCATCAGGTACCGTTTTGTAGAACTGGCTTCAACTTAGATTTGCATCATAGAACGAATCACCCATCTCTCTTCATTACTGTAGGATTACGGTAGAAACTTGAAACATGTGGTGTCAATGTGGAAAAAGCTTCCATTTCAAAAATTTTCAAAAAAGTGTGAAAACTTGTGTACTGAGGTTTTTGTGGACGCTGAGTTCAATACTCAACTATTCACAAGATTACGAAGCTTTCTAAACGGTGTAACCGCAGTTTTTAGGAACATTGAAAAAATGGCCGCTACCTCTTACCTGACATAACTCTTCAATGAAGCATTATAGTAAATTGGGAACTTTACAGTTGGAACCAACAACTCTAATTAGCCTAGTGTAAAAGTTTTCAGTTTTGTTTTGTTTCTTTTCTGGGGAAAAATATGGCCTTTCATTGCTTAAAACCCTCTTTGAAGTTTCTACCGTAATCCTACAGTAATGAAGAGAGATGGGTGATTCGTTCTATACTGCATATCTAAGTTGAAGTCAGCTCTACAAAACGGTACCTGAAGCAAGGCAAAAGACTTCTTGGGAAGAGAAATATTAACAATCAAACGTTCGATACATTTTTTTGGGACACCCTATATAAAAAAGCGTGTCTAGATTACAATTTGGATTTCAGCAAGCTCAAATATCTGAAGCTAATCAGATAACATCTGAAGATATTTCATATGCAAAGGATCGGTTCACCCTATTCACAGTGGAAAGAAAACAGCATCTGACTCTGTCGTGAACCAGAATTTTCTTACAATTAGATACAGGAGAAATCAAAATCCCAAGAAACAATTGAGCAAATTCATATGACATGACATGACAGTACAGATATTCATACCTCACTCAGTTCACCTTCGATACTTGCTTGCTTTTTACCACTCCTATCCCGTTCAACATCTATTTCGAGTGGTTGAGACTGACAAGTACCCAAATGCAGTCGCCCAATGCTTTGTACTGCAACACTTTGCTTGACTGTCCTCCATGTATACAAGATGTACATTTCAAAGAGAAAACACTAGACTACACAAAAAATTGGGTTTTCTGGCTTCGAACTCGCAACAAATTCGAATAGCCAAACATATCGAATCGATCGATTTCTAGAAATGGGAGGAGGCTTCGTTTTGCTAAGTAAGCGCACCAAGAGAGATGCAGATGAAGAACGTTATGGCTATCTAGCACTCCCATTCCAAATAAGCAAGCAATTAGCTCAAAAGAAAAGAACATTTTCCACTCAACACAGAGGTGTCTAATCACTGAAGAGAAGACCAGTGTTTTGTATAATCAGCGATGAATTTGACTGTCTAGTTCACTTTTTAGGAAACTTATTTACATAAAGCTTTCATGCGGTATCATCAAAGCAAAGACAATCCACACATTGTTTCTCCATATTTGCAAACTTGTGCCGTCAAAATGATCACTTCAGTAAACAAAATGACTCAGAAATAAATTCTCACCTCCACAAGTTTGCTTATCATTCGAATCTGACGACCACAGCGATATCTCTCGCAAGCCTCCGTGTTGAAGAAGCTGAGTCAGATTGACCATTCCTACTGCTATTGTCTAGAAACAATGGATATCTCTACATCAATGTGAACAATACAGTAAAAAGGAAGAGTGCTTTGTAGCGTTGGATGACTCATACCTTGAACGATGAAGGGAATGGTCGGTTCTTGTATTTACGTCGCCTCTGTATAAGAATTTGCAAAGTATTTCCTTTCCTTTTGATGAAATGGGGATACTGAAACAATTTTGAAGCTACGATGCAGAAGGAATCTGTGACAATCAGTAATCACGTACAACGCCGAAGTACAATAAATCGTAATCAAAATTGAATTATTCCGATTAGAATACTCTAAGTATACCAGTCCTTTCCTCAACGGAAGAGCACAAAGCTGTTTTTTAAACAAATTCACAACTAACTAACTAAGACCCTCAAAATACAAATTGAGGTCGATTACATTATAGATACTTTATCAGCTAGTTGATGACTTTTCGGAACGCGAACGATTATAACAGCTTCGACGCAAATGTATGCAGATTTTCCTTTATATGTTTTGCTGCTAAAAATATTACAGTCTGTCATTCAAGATATAATAAACAGAAAATTGAGAGTACTCTGCAAAGTGGTTATACCCTCAAACCATGTGGAGTGACATAAGTTCTATCACCAAGTACAATATGTTCTTGTGATTATTACTACCTTAAATTATTGATCGTTGACTTGTCAAGTGTCACCTGTTGCAAGGCTTTTTAATCCGCACCTGAGATGCAGACTCATGATGAGTGACGTCCAAATGAGATAAAGAAACAGGAGAAACCGATAAAATGAGGCTTGTCAAAATGAGAAGCGCGTGGACAGATTAAGGTGCAACGATAGAAAGCTTTAGTAGAAATCGGCCCTTAGTCGTTGATTAGACGTTGGTTCTCTGCACTGTACCTGGATGGTAAAAGAGATGTCAAGGTCCAAATCTACACGTCCATGAACCGGTGCCACACGGATTTCGTTGCTTCGCAAACTTCTCTTATTCCCCTAAAGAAAGATGACCAAAAGCATGATAAGAAATGCTTGGATACATAGTATAGCTTGCTCACCTCCAGTTTTGCAGTTATAACAATGGACTGAATCTGACTGGACAAAGAGTGTATCACGATGCGATTCAGGCTCAAGGTGCAAACCCTGAATTTTTGTACCGCCTTAGGCTTAGGTCTGAGTATAAAAGGTTCATAAGAAAATCTAACCTCTGCACAACGCTAGAACTGGCTCGATCCATTTCCCAATTCGCGAAGAGCCGCATGGAAACAACTTGTCCTTTCTCCATCATTGTTACAATACCGCGGCACCGCTATTCAAACTTCAGATGTGCCGCTAACACATTCAAGTACTGGAAGACAATTTGGTAGTTATGCGGAGCTCAACATTGTTCAATATGCAAGACATATCGAAGAATGAACACCGCCATAGCGAGAAAAGTATGAGCAAATTGTGAGAGCACGTAGACGGCGCTGAGTAATGCCTGTTAGTCATCGAAGTTAAAAGAGGATAAAATTAACCACTGAAAATGATATAAGAACGTGAGACCGAAATAAGTGGCTGTCTCATAGGCAAAAACTGAATCGACGCCGCAGAGAAACATTCGGAACAGTTTCAGCTATGAACGGGTGTGGTGCGGAAGACGACAATCCCCAATTTTGGGCCTATCAAAAACTCTCCGGTGTCAAAGTGACACCCCGGGGGACTACGGGGGTGGGGGTGGGGGCAGATACATTACTCAAGGCCATAAGTAGAAATCCGTGAAAGTCATTGAGACGGATGATACACAGCCTCCATTTTTCGCCGATTGTCGCCTTCCGCGTGCCCCCCGCGATGAGCATCTGCGACGCTTGCTGTTTAGTGGGCGTGTTGTTGTCTCATTTTTTCAGGACAGCCCTTCGTTTCCTAATTTGATGAAGGCTTCAAATATTCGTGACTCCACGAGCAGTATGCACACTAGCCACATAGACACTGATGAGAAAACGCAACTAGTTAAACTGTGAAGATAGTAGGTCGGAGATTCGGATGAAAGCTCCGCAGCCTCTTCATCAATGTTTTCTCACATTTCCGATAGAAGCCAGAAAATTAGACACATTAGACGTGATAGCCCTACTTTTTGTTTAGCAATTTCCAGGGGTGTGTGGCAAGTTGTGGGAGCTGTAGGGACAGCCGGAAAAGTCCCCGCCTCACGATCGTCTCTCGGCAGACGAGATGATATTAGGTTTGCACATAAGTTTTGCAACTTATTTCGTAACTTTTCTCTTTTTGGATGTGACGCATTCATTTTCAAGCATTATGTAGAATTGATGGTAGGCTACAAACCTGCGCAAACAGTTTGATTTTTGGTTTCGAGCTGGAGAAAATTTGCTCACTTTTCGGAAGCCAGTCAAAACCGGAATTTCGAGGGTCGGAAAACCAAAAATAAAGTCGTATTCAGTCTGACTCAAACATATAACAACAACAACATATAACATATAACAAAATATCGAGCCGAAACTATGCCCAGACTATTGATAGAAAAAACTTTAATCATCTACACAGTTTCGGCTTGATTTGTTTGATACAGACTGAGAACGGCTTCATTTATGGTTTTCCGACCCATGAAATTTCGGATTCGACCAGTTTCCGAAAAATGAGTAAATTTTCTCCATTTCGCTACCGAAAACCAAACTATTTGAGCAGGTTTGTAGCCTAGTATCTACACTATGCCCAAAAATGAGTGCCTTGCAGTCAAAAAGAGAAAAGTTACGAGATATGTTGCAAAACTTATGTGCCAACCTATTACATTGAATAGCCTCGATTGGTTAGGAAGCGGGCCTTGTCATTTTGGCAACGAAGGGTATTTGACGGGCATAAAACTGGGTATTCGCCTTTCGCACATCCTTTAAGATAGTGGCAGAAAATATTAGGTGGTAAACAAACACTTCAAGCTCTCTGGCTGTCATCGGAGTGTGATTCGTTGAGAGAGTGCGATAATTGCTGGAGATTAAAACCTCGTTCTCACCACCTCTAACTTTCGCTAACTTTCATACTTTTTATTTGAGACTTTAAAAAGTGCTTGAATAGCCAGCTGATAAGCCTTTTGCAAAATGATGATTTTTTTGTAGCTCTGCGGCTTGTCTTTCAGAATTTCTTGAAGACATTTTCCGCTTACCAAATTTTATATTTGGCCTATTGAGAACTCGTAGAACATCGGAGAGTAAACATGTTATCATTGGGTAGAGGTACGAACACTTCAGTTCGGCGCCGCTTCTGCGGGCTGCTGGTCCTTTTGTCCTACTGTTGTACATCGTGTTGGGACCAGTAGTGCGCGGAGGCGGTGTCTAGTTGAGTGTTCGTTCCTCCACCCGTTATCACTCAATCAACTTCCCTCTTTCTAAAAGCTGTTTTTTCTTGGCCTAAAGTTTCGACGCAGAACTAGCAGGAATGAGGATGGTGCTTGATGGCCTCTTTTCACAGATGACGCTTTGAGCCATTTTCAGGCCTCAGAGGAAGACGAAAAGCGTCGAAACGTTAGGCCTTGATTGGAATAAAGAACACCTACCAAACCTGTCTGGCACAGCAGTACTGAAGAATGGCAGCGATGTCGAGGATTAAAGGCAGTGTCTCACCAAAATTTAGTTGCCAAAATTTTTGCATTTTGCAAGCCTGTCGGACCCTGTCTAGCACTGTATGGGCTTAAAATCGCACGAAGTTTCCAAAAACCCCGTTTTCTGGAGGCCCCGCGGAGGCAACGTAGACGAGTTGTACCCTCCAACTTCAGCCTCAGCCACAGTGGCAGCAACAGGGTGAGGTGGATGCCAAGTGGAGGAACATGTTCGAACGCGTTAGAAGGGAGACCGAAGGAGTCGTCCGCGCGTACCAACTGGCTCTCCGCGTACCACTTTAAGCGAAATTTTCTCAGCGTAGAGGGGGTCAAATTGAGTGGGACTTGTTGCATTGGCCTATCTAGAGTCCCTATAATAGAATATGAAGATCCCCGCGACCTCAACTTTGGTGAGACACTGCCTTCAAGGAAAGTGGAACTTTTAAACTACAAGAAATCTTAAGAAATAAAAAAAGTGTTCACCGTAACCTGCCAGCGCATTTCCGAATGAAATGACTGTAATGCTTGTTCGCTGTGTAGTCTGTCCAAATGTCGATCATGCCAAGACTGACATGAGTGCGTATCCGCAGCGTCATGGCTTTACCTCACGTCTACGTCACATAAATTTTGAAAACCTCATAATCAACGGGTTGTCGGCGGCTTCGACATTGTTCTCCTTTTTTTTATCTAACTTTTAGATCGCGCCTTGTCAGACTTACATCAGAGACACGATTGTGAAGATAAAGAGTTATAAAAATATTGCTCCGCTTCTCTCCAACAAGTAAAAAGTAAGCGCATCGCTCGGAAGAATGTCCCAAAACTATCTCTACAGTTGCCAAACTGAACTGAAAAAATAATCAAGAGCTTGATGGAAGCTTTGAAATTATGTGTAGGTAAAGGTATTAGCATGCCTATTTAGTAGATACCAGTGCGTCACCTCTGCTTCGCAGAGGCTCGCACTGGCTCTACTATCTATGTGCCTTACTCATTCTCGTAAAATCCTGGTACTGGAACTCGCCGTGCTATGCCGACTACCACGAATGAAATGTAAACAACTACTCATTTAGAAAGCTTTTTCACCCGAGATCGGTGATTTTGCATGGAAAAAACTTTTCGCAGGAAGATAAAGGCAAATTTGAATAGGTTTTTGAAATTGTCATGGTTTGATAGTCGCCATAAAGGCAATAGTCACCGTGAGCTACATCTCTGTGCGAAAATCTTCTCAAATGCTTTTCTAGAACCTTGGCAAATTGACCATTTATGCAAGCAATACTTTTTGGCGCCGTTTTTGTAAAGTAATGGACTTTTGGCCACTTATTTGGGCCTAAGTTCATGGCTTGCACATTTACTTGCCATAAACACCCACCACTTTGCAAAAAGTGGAATTACGGACCCAATTTTGTGGGCCAAATGCAAAGTGGATCCGTTAGACGCGCAATTTTCAAGAGACCCACTCAACGAATCTGCTTGTGCTTTTGCATGTTGGACCTTCATGCCAGTTGCAAGTACTATGCAAAATTTGAGCCCAGGACGTTGGCTGGAACACGCTCTACGAATTTCGTGACAGACAGACATTCAGACACACACACACAAAAAAACGTAAACACCCTTAGCGCGTTATTATAGTAGGATAATAAGCGGCTTAATCTGAAGTTGTGTGGAGTTTGTCCGTTACGAAATTACAGTGAAGAATGATTTACGATACTAAACATCATGTGAGGTTAAGATAGCGAGTATGTTCATTTTTAACTGCGGGTCACGTTGCAATAAACCGAACAATGTTTGAGAGACAAGCTCTCAGAAAGTGAGTTTACCACGGCTCTCGATGCCAGTGCGAACCTCTGCGAAGCAGAGGTGAAGCACTGGTTTAGTAGATGCAGAGATCAAATGATGTCATTCGTTTCATTTTGTGGATGTTCAACCTAGCGGCGGGCGACTTGCATTCATGTCGAAAATGTTAGTTCTTCTGATCCGATATTTGCTCATAATACCTCCCATTTAGGAAGCCAGCGAATACTGGTTCAAACCCTGTAAGTGTCTTGCTGTTATTTTGATAGCTAATGCATATTTCTTACTTTACCGTGGCAATTCAAATAAAAAGGAGAAACATATCTTGATAAAGCGCATTCCTTTAAAAACGACATTCAAACATATACACAGTGATCCACGTGGAGCTTAAAGCCAGAATTCAGAAGATTATAACTATTTAGAAATCGATTAAAAAAACCATACCGATCTTAACTCACTCACGTATGCAGGGTGTCTCAAGATGTGCTTACTGAATTGTTAATAACTCTCATGTAATAAAGTCTTTCAAGAAGCTAGGTACCATTTTATAGAGCTGGCTTCAACGTGGATTAACACTATGAATGCGAATCAAAAGTTTCCCTTCATTTCTGTAGGAATACGGTAGGAACTTTGAGGAGGGTTTTGAGTAAACAAAGGTCATATAACACCCCTAAAATGGGTCCAAAGAAGCTGGAAGCTCCTACACTAGGTTAATCAGAGTCACTGACTCCAAACATGAAACTTGCACTTCACCCGTAACGCATTTTCACAAGTTATGCCAGATATACTACAACGACCAATTTCTGCTTTTCGTCAAAAATCTGAAGGCCATTCAAAAGCTCTACAAACGCGCAAAATTAGTGCACTCAAATCAGCATGTATGAAAACCTTGTTACACACTTTTTTGACTTTTTTGGAAATTCTTCTCCAGACGGCCTTTTCAGGCGCCATATACTGCAAGTTCCTACCGTGCTCCTCCAGTAATGAAGAGAGACTTTTGATTCGCATCATACTGTAAGTCTAAGTTGAAGCGTTCCACAAAAGGGTACCCAAAGCTTCTCAAAAGACATCATTACGAGAGAGTTATTAACAATCAAACAGTGAGCACATCTTTTAAGACACCCTCTATATTCTCTTCAAAAGACATCTAGTCACATGCACAGGTGGTGTATTTCTCCATCACCAGAAAAAAAGCTGTTCGGTTCTACATAAACAATACATTTGCTTCGGAAGCGCAAGCGAACTCTCAACCCAATGTTCTTCGAAAAATGTCGAAGCTACCGACCTTTTAAGGCGACTTTTTAGGCGTTTTTCTCGTACTGTAGCCATAAGATAGAGCAGCTGTACTTATGAATGAGTAATGTCGTGAAAATATGCGTGAGCAGGTTGGACGTTCACTGGCTTTGTTCTATATGAAGACTCATTGTTGCGTATTTGCAATTTTTTATCTTCAAACTTGAGGATGATCAAACTTTGTGCGTTCAACGTTTGGGAGTTGTTGTGAAACCTGATTCGCTCTGTTGGATAACAGTTTCTCACCATTTTCAAACTCATTCTGCCGCGATTCCATAAGAAATATAACTATTTTGCATCAAATTATTGATAATTTTAACGCTGTTCCTTCTAGATCACTGCCCAGCGAAATTCCAAGAGCAAGAGTCTAACGAAATGCCGGTATCTTACAACTTCTCTAAATAACAAGTATTTTTTTTGTGCAGGAATGGTCAGACGCTGAGCTATCCTCAAAACTGCACTCCTATAACATTTTGTCTCTTCCTTCTGATTGTTATTCATGTGGTGTTGGGATTACTAGTATTCTCAGAAGTACTCTGAAAACCAGTGTGTTTTGGTCAATAAATATATTATCAAGTGAAATTTCACATGTTTGTTCTGTTTCTCAGAAAGTACATTGTAGTATTCTTTAAACGAAACGCACGAAAAATACGGAAATGAGGCACTCTGCCTTCTTCTGAGTTAATGGAAAAGACTGATTGTGTTTAGAAGTGTTTGCTCGGGACTTTGTATGAGAATGATCACGCAAGAATAACTCGAAACAATCCCTCGCCATATTAATGCCCTTAGCATGATTTTCTAATCTAGAGAGAGTTTGTCATTGGAATTTCCAATCACTTTTGTTCTATTTTCAAATTCTTTCAAAGTTCTGCAGTTTTTTTACCGGTTATCGGTGTTGTCGCTGCTGTCGCTGCCACTGGTGATAGATGCCAAAACGAGAAAAATAGAAATTGGAATGTTCATCCTATCATCCAATTACTCTCACTTGACAGTATGTAGTAACAGCAGAAACAACGGCAGTGGGGGTGAAAGGTAAAATACAGGCGAAACAGCTAAAGGTTTTTGTTTCTGATGGTCAGGATGGTACTGGCTTGCGATTATCAAATAGCACTGTTATTTTATATCGCACCCAAAGAATAAAGACGATTCTTATCCATCTTACCAACGCAATAGTACTTAGAATAACGGCAAACAAACTCTTTAAACAATGTTCGGTGAAGAATGTCTTCCTCTTTCTGCTTGTTATGCCCTTTTACAGTGGCGTACCCAGGATTTCTGTTCGGGAGGAGGGGGGGGGGGAGGGGGCGAAAAATTTGAGTGAAGGTGCGTGGCATTAGCGACGCACTCCGAAAATTTTTTTGGGATGCTTCCGAAAATTTTTGCGGGCTCGTGGTGACCCCAAAATTTCGCGGGCGTGGCGGCAGCCGCGCCCCCGAAATTTTATTTAAAAGGCTAATTTGAAGTTTTAGAATTTGTTAAAAAATATCACAATTATTAAGTAAAAACAAGTTCTCTGCACATTTTTATAACACATTTAAGCAATTTTCAAAAATTTCGCGACTTATTCTTGGAAGGTGGGGAGCGCCCCCCCCCCCGCTCTCCCTCTCCGCCTTCGGTACGCCACTGCCTTGTAGTATTAGGTTGTACCGAAAGTTCGTTCGCATTATTTTCAAAAATTCATAACTCCTTAAGTTCTTAACAAATCTGTACGATCAAAATTTTGCGTAAAAGAGGAACTCATGCTCTTTGCATGTGTACCTGTAATGTTCGTTAATGTGTACAAATGAAGGAGATAGAAGCTCAAAACCAAAATCACTCAAAATTTGAATTTTTCGTGTAGGGTCATAAAAGATCGGAAACTTGCAACAAAAATCGGAGCAGTCGGTATTGTAGGTTCTTTCACCAGCTCTTTCTGTCGGTGCAAAGTTTGCGCCGATTGAGCGTCTCTATGGAAAGTTACGATTTCCCTGAAAAATGCCAAAATAAATCAAAATCGCCCTTTTGTATTGCTTGCTCGAAAATCACAACTTTTCATAGAGACGCTCAATCGGCGCAAACTTTGCACTGTTAGAAAGAGCTGGTGAAAGAACCTACAATACCGACTGCTCCGATTTTTGTTGCAAGTTTCCGATTTCTTATGACCCTACACGAAAAATCCAAATTTTGAGTGATTTTGGTTTTGAACTTCTATCTCCTTCATTTGTAAACATTAATGAACAATTTAGGTATAAATGCAAAGAGTATGAGTTACTCTCTTAAGCAAAATTTTGATCTTACAAATTTTTCAAGAAGTCAACGAGTTATGATTTTTTGGAATTGGTGCGAACGAACTTTCGGTACAACCTAATAATTCCTTTGATATTCGCTCATATGATCATCAGAATCTCCAACCCATAATTTCTACCCATCTTGAGTTAGGCTACTTTTTGAAATTCCGATTTTCAACTTTTGGACAAGCTTGGATTACAGTTGGATAGAATAAACAAGTTGCAATACAATGAACTATTCTCTTACAATAATTTTATTAAAAGTCTTTACTTTTGCGAAGTCATGAAATAGAACGACTTCGAACACCGACAAAGCTTCGGAATTTGAAGCTTTCAAACACAGCTTGTCACTTAGCGCTGATTTTAGCAAGCAAATGACAAGGGAAGGATACCAACATTAGTCGGCAATTGAAGATGGTATGTATATCAGTAGGTGCGCCTTTGAAAGCTGATTCCAAATCTGCCTTCCTTTTTTTGCGGAATAAGTTTTCGAAAGAAGTTGTGGGCGTTCAAATGTCCAAATTTGTCAAGGCTCTTAGGTAGCCCAAAGTTGGCGAAAAACTGTACGAAAACATCGGGAAGTGAAAAATCATTTTTTATCGAGTATATGGTTTGCAAGGAAGGAATAAAGCCGGTGGAAATCGCATAGGCGTTGTATACGAGTTGTTGTATATATGTATATATATGTATTTTCACTAATTTTATGCCACTCAATGCTTGGCAAATCTGGACATTCAAACGCACATAACGTCTTTCGGAAACTTATTCCCAAAAAAGGAAAGCAGATTTGGAATCGGCGTTCAAGGGAGCACCTAATGATATACATCTCATCTTCAAATGCCAACTAGTGTTGGTATCCTTCCCCCCTGTGACCTTGTTTTGCCACGGGTCTCATTCTACCGATCTACTGCCTTTAAGGAAAAAAGCTTATCAGAAAGAGGGAAATAGCTGCATTGAATGACACTTTGGTTACTCGCCATTTATTGTTCTGTGAGATTGGGGAGCCCAAATATGAATTTGATAGCATTTTGAGAAGCCAGCAGCTACAGCTGCCGAAAAAATGTATTGCATTGCTTGTTTATTCTATCCAACTATATCAGAGACTAGCTGCCGTCCCCGGTCCAGCCCGGGCGGAGGGTTCAAAACCTCATAGTGTCCATTTCAAATAATTTATGGCTTACCACTCCTCTTCCCTCAGTTCATATCATCCCTTCTTTTCCTGCTTCAGCTCCGAGTTGAATTGCAGCGCCGCTGTGGCATTCCGTAGTGAGAATGCCTTCCTTCTTGACCGCCTCGCTCCGTGACACCGCATCCTCCTCACCGCAAAATGTAAATGATCTCTACCGCCCCTTACTACTTAACTTGGAGAAATAAATGATGTAGCTTTCATTTTGCTAGATGTAAGTAAACAAATCAATAAATCGATGGAAGGACCCAGCGAATGGTCGCGAAAAGTAGCCTATCTTCTGCGCCGTGGCTTGTTTATAGGGGAGAGAATTTCAGCTTCTTCGGTTCACATACAAAAAGTCTATAAGCCACAAACATTCTTACAAACAAAGGTACAGTGTTTGTGTTTTATATATATACTAGCCGGCGGTCCCGGTTTCACTCAGGACTCCAGTTTAGCTAAGAAGAAGTTACTTATACTTACGCTTTTGAGCTTCTTCTGCACAAAAAAGGGCCTTGAAACAAATTGCCCGCATCTTCCCGACATTAAGATTAAAATGGGGTTTACCATCCCCTGACTACATGATCATTGCAAAATGATTGGTTAGAGCATGTCAAGCCTCATTTTCCTAGATGTAAGTAAACAAATCAACAAATCAATAGAAGGGTCCAGTAAATCGCCGCGAAAAGTAGCCTATGTTCTGCGCCGGGGTCGAAAACATAAGTGTGCAAAGTTGCAGCTCATTTGGTCCACTGAGAAAGATTTGTATCAAAAACATACTTAAACAAGGACATGAATATTAGAAAGACGAGGAAATTATGCATCGAACGCTGTTTAAAGCGTTTGTCTACCATCATTCTAAGTGTTTTAGCATGGATTCGCGACCTAATATTGAGTTGCATATCTTCTGCACTATCTCTTTTTATGTTATTCAATCCCAGAAGCTTGTTAACGATCTCATTTGGCCACACTAGTGGGAGTAAGATGATAAATATCAAAGTTAATCCATAAATGACTGCGATAGACGAACGGATTTACAATTCCTGCGGCTTCGCAGACACACTAAATCTCGCTCGTTCCTTCCTTCTACATTTTTCTTCTTCAAAACCTGCGAGGTTTCCGATAGATGCGGAGATCCTTCTCCAATAACAGTAATGGTTCCGCTTAAAGAAACTAACGAAGTGCGCCAGAAATTTAGGAATCTATGAAGTGGTAGTTAAACGAAACCATCACATAGCGATGAATTAAAGGCAGCGTCCAGGCAGATCTGGACCTACGGGGCTTTTACGTGGAAAGTACGGGGCCCTAACTAAGGCACTGCCCAGGCGGCAGCTCATATAGTGCTCTAATGGCTGATATATTCCCCTCGAAACTGGCCCCCGCGAACGTATTCGCATAGATTCATGGCAGTTTCGCGCCAGACCACGCTTTGCGCCATGAATCCATGCGAAATACGATCGCGGGGTCCAGTTTCGAGGGGAATATCTCAGCCGTTAGAGCACAAGCTGAGCTGCCGGTTGGGCAGTGGCTTAACTAGGGCCCCAAAATTACTTTCCACGTAAACTCCCCATAGGTCCAGACTTGCTTGGACGCTGCCTTTAAATAAAACGCAACTGTCACGTCCCGTATCTTTACCACCATTCCTGCAAAGAAGGACCGAGAAACTTTTTGGAGCAGGAGAGGGGATGCGACAGAAATCTATCCCTTGAAGAACTTGCGCTGGATAAAATCTCCAAGAATTTTTTTTCGGATAATTCTCAAACTTTTTGAGCGCTCAAGACTATAAAGATTGAGAAAGGGGGAGGGGTGACGAAGTCGTGAAACTTTTTTACACAGCTAAACTGTTTTTAAAACCTTAAAAAATCACTTAGATTAGGCGAGTATCAAGCCAGATATACATTGTACGACCCATAACATATTTTCAATATCTTGGCGACCCATTGTTGATAGATGGTGATTGCACCTCGTCAAACCTTGTATACGAAAAATGCGGGGTTATTAAATATAGTATTTGAAGGCAGCGTCCAGGCTGATCTGGACCTAAGGGATTTTGCGTGGAAAGTACCTTTGGGGCCCTAACTAAGGCACTGCCCAAGCGGCAGCGCAGATAGTGCTCTAAAGGCTGAGATATTCCCCTCGAAACTGGACCCCGCTATCGTATTCGCATGAATTCATGGCAGTTTCGCGCCAGACCACGCTATGCGCCATGAATCCATGCGAAATATTATCGCGGGGTCCAGTTTCGAGGGGAATATCTCAGCCATTAGAGCACAACCTGAGCTGCCGGTTGGCCAGCGGCTTAGTTAGAGCCCCAAAATTACTATCCACGTGAGATCCTCATGTGTCCAGACTTGCCTGGACGCTGCCTTTAATGCGTAGAAGAAGCCAATTACCAAACTGATTTCAAAACTAACAATTGATAGCTGTCTCAATGATCTACCTCACACTCTATATCACAAACAGAAATTTTATTCGAATTTTCTCAAAATTACAACAACCATGGCAAGCACAGTCGTAAACGTTGACGTCAGCCCTACCACCATGAGAAGCTGGGGACCACAAACATATGTTGCACTTGCATCTCTACAATACAGATCTTGAGAGTCTATGCTTTGAATTCATATCTGCTCACATTTTGATTTCGTCTATCTCCTTTTTGCATACTTCTTCTTCATCCGTAACAAGCGGGCCACCAGTGGTGTCTCTTCCTGACGCGAAAGTTTCCGTTGTTGGATCCTCGAATATAGTTTGGTAGCATTTCTTACAAATATGCAGTCAAGTCCAGTTAGTATTTTTTTGACAACTTTCGTGCTGTTACTTCGAAAAAATGTGCAATTTGCATTACACACTATTTGATCGCTAGTATCTGCCTGGAGGGGACGCAGGAGTTCATAACACCTCTTCGCACCAGCATTTGCATTTCAGAAGGCTTCTCGCACCTTCGCGCAAAGGTCAAGCCCCGCCCATCTATCCACTTCTGTAGTAGTCACATTGGGAACCTGCGGGCTGAAAGAAAGGCATTTCCCTTTATTATTGCATGTTATAAGCAAAGACATCTGATATCCCCAAAAAGGCCTTACAGTGCTCAAAGTAAGCACTGAGTGATGTTTTTGGTAGAAAGAAGGCAATTTTCTCTGCCACTGAATATTTTTCATAGTTTTTGTCTCCACATTACCATAGATCAAAACTTGTCGCTTTAACATACGGAGCAATGCTGAACGTCCCAGAGACTTGTTGAGGATATCTAACTATCAGCACTTTTTGATGCCATTTACGACCATACTTGATTTTACTAGCTTTAAACTGCAATCTCTGGAAGCTTGTTTTTCTGTGACCAACGAAAAGCTGAATCTGGAAAATTATCTTGAAGCTCAGAACCCACTTCTTCCCACAAGCAATGAATTCAGGTCTAGATTTCAGTGACTATCGAATTTTTTTTGATTAACGTGAGAACTATCGCATCGATCTAATAAATTTAGTAGGCTGGGTAGACATTTTGCCATTGCAACAAGTGCAAAATTTCAGCGAATATTCAATTTTTTTATTTGAAAAAGTAGTGCCAAACCTCTGCGAAGGAGGAACATTCTTGTCATTCATTATTATGGACACCCGAACATAAGTGGCCACAAAATCCAGTTTCTTTCAGTTTCGAGCACTCATTCAGATTCTATGAAAAATTTGTTAAAAATACTTTTTAGGTTGTAACATAAGCCTTGCTCCAAAAACAGGCCAAAATTGCAAAAAGTCGTATTTTACATATTTCCGTAAAGATTCTATCATTCTGTATTCGATAGAGCAAAGCCAACTCTGCAAGGATTGATTGATTCTTTGATTTGCATAAAATCTACGACACGAAGTTTTAACCAAATATTAGAAATGTGTCCGAAAAATCGAAAAAGTGGGGTCTCCGTCAGGACATCTGCAACTTGCTTGGTAGATACACTTACAATTAGACCTCATGTAAACTTATCTCGGCCAAAAATTGAAAAAACGGAAGTTTCCTTACTTCCGACAAAGCGGTGCCCACACTAATGCGTCATGGTCAAGAGATCGCTCAGTATCCTTATGTTCAAAGGCAATCCTTCCTTATTGACATGAGAACTATGCTTCAAGTCTGCACAACCCGTAATGGGATTAGCCAGTGGGAGGGGCAAATAGGCGGAGCATTTTAAAAGGTGCGAGGGCGCCTAGTAGGTGCTAAGTACCCCTGCAAGGAAAGGCGGCGAGGCTTTGGGAACTCCTGGACCGCCGCCTGTCTGCCTAGCCTTGGTTCTACCAAAGCTGTGCAAGGTACCGCATTGAAGAGCTGACCCTTGAAGGCACCGTTCCCGTCCCAAAACTATATGATAGCGGAGCGCCTAATCAATTGCCGTTGTGGGCCCGCCCTTCGACATTTGTATTATACTTTGTAAGATTTGAAATTTTTCCCGAGTAGTCGGATAACTATAGTCGGATATGCTGAAAGCCAAAAATATCGAATAATCGAATTTCGAATATTTTCAGAAAAAAATATCGAATATCCGTATCGAAAGAACCTTTTCGAAAATTAAAAATGCCGAATAATCAATTATGCCTAATAATTTCAAAGTAAGAAAATTGTCGAACAATTGAATACATTCGAGAAAAAATTCGAATTAACAATTATCTTGCATCGATTATGTCGCATATTCAAACAATTTGATTGAATTAGCACAATGAAGGACTCCGTGTAGTGGGTAACCTGAACAACAAACGATGTTTGTTGATATAGCAATCAAAAATGTGACGCTGTCATGTAGTTATTCGATTACACGAAATTGTCGAATAATTATTAAAAGCAGATATTTGAATGTTCGAACATATTCAAAAATCAAAAATTTCGAATAACCGGGCGAATAATTTGAAGCGATTGGATATATTCAAAATTTCGAAAATTTCGAGTAATCGATTTTCGAATCAATTCTATTCATACTTTATTCGATTACTCGAATATTTCTATTCCAAAGTATGATGGGTAGCCTGAAGATGACATGTTCATAATTGCTTCGGAGTACCCTAAAATCTAGCATATAGGGGCAATGACTCGATCTTGTCATTTGTACTCTTTTGATTCGCCAACAGGTTGGATAATTTGCTTGACCGTGACGAAGTTGCTGAATGGACAGTTTACATGGTCACGACTTTTTCAGACCCCGAAGAAGGCGATATAGCCCGAAACGTCGGTTAGATAAAGAGATATACCAATCTTGTGCAAGCTGAACAAATGAAAGATATATACACTTATGACTTTCTTCGGAGAGTTGTTCCGCACAAAAGAAAGACAGATTTGGAATCATCATCCAATGTTGAACAAAGAGATATAGGTGTCGTGTGGAAAGGCTACTTTGACTAAAAGTTCCCTGTAGGGGCAGACTGCTCGATTTGAACCCGAGAAGCTCCATCCTTTCCCACCAATTTTACATAATCCAGTATGAGATTTTCAGGTGCTGCGGGACGTGGTTGGGGTAGGGGACTATTATATGTCGCCGATAGGCTCCTCCCTCCTCCCTCCCCACCCTCGCGGATATCTGGTACAATTTGTGATGCCTGTAGCGGGAGTAGCTGCGTGCTTTGTCGCAGATGTCCATGTGGGACCAATTCCTTTTGGCGACATATACATAGTCCTCCACTCGGCGGTTGCTTTACAACAAAATTTTGTCATATTCTTCGGAACTTACGCCGTGGATGTTGTGAGAAAAGAGACTTTTAAAAACTGAGCATTACCAAAAGTTTTCGCTATCACGATTTTGAAAAATTAGGCTTTTTTTAATGTCTGTTAGAGCTGCGTGCCACTGCTTTTAGACCCAATATTAAATTTACCATATTTGTTGCTCCGTGCAGCTCATCGGGAGCACCCGTTAGGCACTGCCCTATTTCCAGGGGATGTTTCGCACTGTCCCTGCAATATTATTATTATATCAACTCTTTCGGAGCACAAAACATATGATATTTTTTCTTGGCTAAAAAAGTAATAGAAAAATCCCCGCGCTAAATTATGCAGGACCATGTGCACAGATGAGAATATGGGGCCGACAATACCCTCATCTAAAGTGGCCTGAGTCATAGATCCCATGGCCATAGTAGGGTCAAATCTTACATTTATTCCAACTTGGCCATAGTAGGGAGTCTTATTTATTCCAACTAACTCATTCTGACGAAAATTTTAGCACTGAAATCACTTTTGCCAGCAGAGATATGCAGCTCCGCCAGGAAAACTACAGCTTTTTCATTTCACAAGGTAAACAGCCCTAGAAGGTGCTTTTTGGATCCTTTCAATTTGTTCTATTGAAATATGCCTGCGAGCAATCCACACGTTCGATTAGATCTCTTACTCTTTATTTATAGTGCCGTTTCCCTGGCAAAATGATATCTCACAGCGGTTTGCAATACTCATGGCTTAGAAAGCTTTGCATAAAATCAAAATGTAGGATCGATCAATGACATTCATATTAAAAATGTCTGCAGAAAGTTTTTTCTGGCCTATAGTTAGGACTTTTGGATTCGCGGTGCCTATCCCTATCAGTAAATCTGACAAGTAACCACAGCAAATATAAGGTGCCAATATATAATGTCATTTGTCAAGGCAAAGAGACTGACTTCACCAGTTGATCCATAGAAAACATGGTGACCGGCTTCGATTAAAGTTTGCTATCAAATGATTCACCACTGCAGTCAAATATCAAATTGTTAATTTGTTTTACCAATTCCTCACCTCCTTCCAGCAACGTTAAGGGTGCCTTCATATCGCGACGGCAGCCGCCGCTAGCGGCCCGTAGCAGCCCACAGCAGCCGCCGGCAGCCGCCGCTGACCGCTTTTATCATAGAAGCGCAAAATTATCAAATTCTTACTATTTTAAGTGCAAACACCCACGCTTTCCACCTTCCATGCTTTTTCCTTGCTGTTGTCGCAATTCGATCTCATATATCATACTTGTGACCATTGTTGTTAAAATCTTGTTGCCGTAGATTGGTTGTCCTAGCGGTGCTCAGTTTCCCTCTCGCAGTTGAACCATATTTCGCCAAAGTTTCTTCGCCGTGTAATTTCTTCTCACTTCGGATGCGTCCAGTTTCTGCAAGTATGCTTTTTTGAGTATGGTTCTGCTTCAATCATATCCTCGGCCGGTGCTTATCTTGAATAACTCTGTAATGTATGAGTGTGGAACTGCACATTAGCGGCAATAAGAAGAAAGAAGCATGGAAGATGGAAAGCGTGGGCGGGCGCACTCAAAGTACTAAGAATTTGGTGATTTTGAGCTTCTATGACAAAAGCGGCCAGGGGCAGCGACGGGCTGCTAGCGACGGCTGCCGGCGCAGTATGAAGGCACCCTTAACGGAATTGGCAGATCAAGGTCATCGTAGGAATTTCGTCCTATGAATTGTTTTCTTAACGCTGGTTAGTAAGGTAAGCTGATTTTCATGCTAATTGCGGCGTATACCATTCAGTCCCCCAAAACTGGCATTCTCAACAGCTGGTACCCGCACAAGTGAAGTGTTTAGGGCGCAAAAGGCTACCCACTTCCATAAAAACTTTCTATGATTGTAGTTACAGTTTATCAAACTCTGAATGTCATCACTGACACAGCGCATTTCCAACAAATGGGAATCTGCCCCTTTGAAAAATTGAATTGAAAGTTTGGAAATTTGTCATGTAGTCAAAAATGTGAGAAATGGTGTTGTGTTTGACGTCATTTAGTATGTATTGATGTGGATGCTTCCTTTTGAAACTTCTCAGTTCAGCTTTCATGGAGATCAGTTACGGCAATGGTAAACAAACTAAGCGAACAAAAAATGTAAAGTAAACTCAAAATGTTCGTGAGGAAAAGTGTTATGTTCATTCTAGCAACTATGATTTGGTCATTGATCTCACAATGACAAAATCCAGTACGATTCAGTCACTATGCATTTGTGGACCACTCACAAGATGTAGCTCTAAAGCTCTTTGCTACTGAATAAACGCATAAATATTCTTGGAAATTATTGTGTTACTCAAGGGTAAGTTATTCCATAAACCTCCACTTAAAATCAGACGCAAAGCTATCTTGATGGAGTCTTTGCGCTTTTCTGATAGCGTAATCCGCCTTAGTTAAAGGCAAAGACAATAGCGCGATTGATTTTTTTGAGAACTCTCGCTTCCGTCTCAAAGATGCTGAGCTCAATAAGAAGTTTGACTCTGCTCTCAGTCATATTCTCCGTTATTTCTGCGGGTGTGTGGCCTGAACAAGTGCATCTGGCTTTCCATGGCGATTATTCCACAATGGCTGTGGTCTGGACTACATTCCAGTATGGTAATGAATTATTCTCATGTGTTTCATATCTCAACCAAAAATTAAAAAACCTAGCTTGAGTTAATGCAAATGATTGTTACATAACCGCTCGTTCTTTTGTGAAAAAAAATCATCGCACTCCGCCGGAGTTGGTCAAACTTTGGTTGCATCGCCACTCTTGCTTCGGAGTGACGAATTCTCACTCTAGAAGCACCAACACAGCTCGACGAGATGCATCTTCTGATATAAATTGCCTGTTTGGGCACGAGAGTCGTTCAAATTCAAGGACCCTTCCAAATTTTTGCTTCGTATCTTGGTCGTTGTGCATTGATTTAGCATTTTGAGTAACCCACCGTGAGCAAGAACTAGAACGATCCTTGAAATTTGACTAACTATCGTGTCCAAAGGCACGATCCCACGAGTCCCCCCTCACATAATCGGACATATTCAATCTTTTAAGTTTTCAAACTTTGAAGAAAAAGCATGGAAATCTGAGATTGTGATTCTAAACTCTTTCCAGATAATACACAAGTCATCTACGGAGACGATCCGAACAACTTACTAATCTATGCAACTGATGAAGGTGTAAAGAAATGGATGTCCGGAACCAGCACGCGATACTCACATAGAGCAATGATGAGGAATCTAAAGCCTTCGACTGACTACTGTAAATAAGTTATGAACACTACAATCAACTCATACTTCTTGTATATTGAGCACGCGTTTTCAGATTACCAAATTGGAACTAGGCGATTTTCCTTCAAAACGTTAGCGAAGGATCCTCAGACATATAAGGTAAGTTTTCTAAATCTGGCTTTTCCCTAACCCATTTCAACTTAGGCATGCATATTTGGAGATCTTGGCTATTTTCATGGTAATTCCACCGAAAGTTTGATAAGGAATGGTCTCGCTGGGAAATTCGATTTTATTATTCATCTCGGTAGGTTAATCCAATGCATGGGTTAACTTACCCAGCGAAGCCAAATAGAAAACACTTCAAAAACGTTTTTTGGTAATATCACGGGTCATTTTTTTTTTGCTTAAAAACTCATTAAGGAGACATATCCTATGATTTGCATACGGATAATGGAACAAATGGTGACAAGTACATGAACCAGCTTGAACCATTGCTGTCTAAGGTGAAGAGTTTATCTGGTGACTTTGGAAATCTGACATTTACTCCAGTTTCTGTCTAGGTACCGTACATGGTGATTGCTGGGAATCATGAAGATGATGGGAAAAATTTTACTGACTACCAAGAACGCTTCTGGATGCCCCACAATGGCTATCATGACAATCAGTTTTACAGGTGAGGAGCCTATCAGCTTTCTGTACACTGTACACTAGGATTATTCGAAGTTTAGCTTTGATCTTGGTCCCGTGCATTGGGTTGGTGTCAGCACAGAGTATTATGGATTTTATTATCTTTATGGACAGGGACCAGTGCTGACGCAGTACGCTTGGCTCGAAAATGATCTAAAGGTTAGCTTACTCATACAGAGACACAGAAACGACCAAAAACTCAGAAGACGATTAAAGGAAATGTCTTCTTTGATTGCGTCAATGTAAGGAAGTTCTAATAAAAATGATAAGTACAATTAGATGATTCGGGAATTAGTACAATGTTTGAATAATTTTGTCTACTGTGTTGCTATTTCGCTTGCTGTCACTTCTGTAAATAGGAATCAATAAAAGCATGGTTAGAGTAACATTATTATCGTATAAATACACAAGGTTAAATCCTATCATACGTACAAGAACGAGAACCAAGACATTCTTGAAATGCTTTCTTTCAAACGCTGACAACATTCTTATCCTTTTCTTCCCGCTTTGAGCTAAGCGCGTCTTGAAACCTATACATAGTCTATGTTTTCATGGATTTTGATTAAAAAAAAACAAAACCTTTGGCTTGCGCGTAACGCTATTGCAAAATTTTTTTCCCGAACCCAAGGCGTTTTAAAGGTATACACAATTTGATCGTCGATTTTCTATTGCTCCAATTTATGATTATGTGGACCCCTGATGCATACAGTGGAGCTACTATTTCTGCATTCAAAACTCCACGTGGTGAACAGTACTTCAAGATAATGCTCTTCAGCAGTGACGTTATATCTTGACATGTATTACAACTTTTAAGCTACTTTAGGTTGCGAATCAGAATCGCCAAAAAGCTCCTTGGATTGTGTCGTTCCAACATCGTCCATTTTACTGCAGCAACACAAATTCAGCAGAATGTCAGGCATTTGAGAACAAATTGGTAAGTTCTTTTACTGCCTTACAAGAATATTTAGCGAATAACACTGCTTGAAGATTGTGACAGGGTAGTGACGATTCTGATCTTATAGATCTTATGCAGCTCAGTCATGACTAACTTGCTTTTGCAAATTGAAAGAGCGCCCAGCTCTTTAGTTAGGACCGGAAGATTCGATTCACGTTAAATATTGCAGAATTGAAAATCAAAGGATATTATCGCAAATCTGCGTGATCGCAAGATAAAATTCAATTCTAGGAGGAAAAATTTTGTGTCGCATTCTACATAAGTCGTTTCCTATTCCGATTCAGTTTGACCGGATCTCAATTATGGAATTTTCATCAAAACTTGATACTGAAGTCCTAAGAAGCAAAGCTTTAGAAACTTACACTAAAAGGTTTTCTTTATGTGGCTGTTATCATATCTCCTTCAAAGTCTATCAAGGATACTGGGTACATAGTTGGAGTTAATTATGGTGTCTGTCAATGGTGGGGAGGGGTCCTCCCCAGGGAACGGGTGAGCGAGATTCTTGGAAATTACTTACATGAGTCAAAAAATTGCGCAAGTGACTCCCTTTTTCTGTAATTTTTGGGGTTATGAGGGCGTCAAAATTTTCGGAATTATCTCAAAGAATTTTTCGGATCGCGTCAAAGATGGATGTAAGATTCAGGAGATTACCTGATTGACTGAGAAAGGAATCGGTATGGCGCGTAACAGAAAGGAAAAAAAATTGTTTTAATATATTCAAAGCCTATCGTTATTTGATTAATCGTGATTCTGCAAGTAGTATGTGAAAAAGCTCTACCCGAACGACCAAGCATATTGTCGCATTGACTAGGATGAAAGCTAGAACATGACTTCCTCCTTTTTTCGTGAACTAATTTACAATTACTAAAATCTTGTGAATGTCTATTAGTCGATTGTAAAATTTGTACAAACAAAGTAAGTGCTTTGTGGCATCCCCATTCACCCGTGGCATTCCTAACCTTTACGAAAGAAACTACAGTTTTCGCTACCTTGATAAAATGGCTTTACTCCAAGGAATCAAAGTCTCGTATCAAAACAGGAACTGTTATTGACTCGCTTTTTCTTGAGACTCATATACATACAAGCTGCTTACAAGATGCCTGTTAGGGCTGTGTGAAATCCCACTAGGTGGCGGAAAGAAGTACCGTTTTAGTCAAAGATTTGGCTCAATGTACATTCCATGGTTATCAAATACCAGATTGTGCCACACAAAGCATCTACATGATTTACGTAATAGAGCTCTTTGTGTGGGTCAGACACCATTCCTACGCGTCGTAATTCCTCTTTCGACAAAAAGAGCTGTCCGGGTGGCGAGCATGAGGAATGATAGCTTGTGGGTGTCAATAATATGCGCATCTTTCACTCAATTAAAGCATCATTTTTGTGCTTGGAATCAAACTCAAAATGAATAGATTTGTTTAGAAATTGAAGTGCGAAAAATGCGTTGAAAATCACAAAGAAGGAATGCAATGGAAAGTTTGAGTATGTCTTTTTGCAATGGCATTATTACGCTTATCATCAAGTTCTATACGAAACTTGTTGGGTAAAGCGTTTATTTTTAACTTCAAGCATTTGTTCTGAATCTAGAATTTGCGCTCTGAGGCAAAGGGTAGTTGCCATCGTTCTTCTTGCAGCTGTCCGAGCATAGATAGCTATACAAAAAATCAGTTCCCCAGTTCATTTTTCTGATGTGATAGACCACGTGAGAGCGATTACTGATGCGGTAAAGAGTTTACAAGGAACATTGTTTGTTTGCTACAACTGCACCCAATTGTACTGCAATGTGAGAGTACTGCATTCGCGCAAAAAAGACAGATATATGGACAAAACTTAAACCTGAGTAATCATATTCTCTGCTATTCTTAATTTCTATTCGCTGATTAAAACTTAGAACCGCAATTTGGTGAATGAAAACTTGTTTTCTGACAACACATTCATAAAGGGAATCCGTCAAAAATGCAATTTCATTCTCGCACTGATAGAGGTCTGCTAATGTGCAATACTCTTCGTTGCCGTAAGACCTAGCCATGCCTTCGAGGTCCTAGTAAACAATAAGAAAGTAGAGAAGAAAGGACGACGAGGAAGAAAAACCTTTTGCCGGGAATCCAAAGACTAAGAAACCCCTAGTTGTGTAAAGCAAACATTGCCGTAGTATCGATTTCGTATGCTCTCAGATATAAAGGCAAAAAGCAACGGTACGTTAATAGCCAATTTTGAGTGGTTAAAACATGTGTGCTTTTTAGGTCCGCACTGGATGGCTCGACATGCCCGGACTAGAGCCGCTTTACCTCGAGCAGAGCATGGACTTGTCGTTCTGGGGACACGAGCATTCTTACGAGCGTTTTTACCCTACTGCTGACAAACAATACTGGAGTGATGTAGGTAGGCAATCACGGCTAGAGAAACGGGCGAATCACATATTTAGGAAAATGCCTACACCAATCCCAAAGCTCCTGTCTACATAATCAGTGGATCAGCGGTATGTATCAATGTTCTGAAAAAATTTGAACCTGAAAATACAGTGTTTTTAGGGTTGTCACACACCGGACGCAGAGTTTTCATCAACTCCATGGCCTTTCAGTGCAGCAAGGTCAACAACAACTCTTAAGAAAAACATTATTTATTTGTTCTCACAGTGGTTTTGGCGTTCAGGATCAATGACTACGGTTATACTATTCTCACGGTTTCCAACGCCACACATCTTCATCTTCAACAAATATCCATCGAGAAAGGTGACAAGGTTGTGGACGACATTTGGATCATCAAGAATGCTTCTCATATGCACTCTGCCAGCATAAGGTTACTCTTTTATAGAAAGGAAGAAGACTTCAGTTTCAACATATATAATAGTAAATGGCGGTCTAATAACCGGAGAGGGGAGGGGAAATGGGAGTTCGGGAGCAGGAAGCGCATCAACTTTACCCACAAAATTCTTGTGATTTTCTCACATCTTTGGCGTATTCAATTCTGAAATATCCGGAAAAGGGACGTGTCAGCAACTACGCCATGTAAAAATTGTTTACAAGACTAGTTTGAAGTTTTATCTAGATTTCGAGAAGTTTCAGTGATGTACAATGAAAGGGTACAAGTAGCTTGTGTAGATTTTGAATTTATTAGGACCATATCAAAGTTTACACACCGCGGGTGGGCGCTCATCTCCTCCGACCTGGTCCGCCACTGGAAGCAAAAGTATTTCATCTCTAATACAAAAGCTATGAAAAGGAGGGATTTTTGTCCCTCTTTTTTCATAGTCTCACTCTCTCACCAAAGATATATATCCGCGCAAATGTTTTGAGAAACGACTCGAAACTCTCTTACTTTTTCTTATCTATGACAGATGTCATGTATAGTTATGTAATCCACAAAATTTTGCTATAACAAAATGAAATCATATCCTTTCGTGAAGCTGTCCGTTCTGCGCGATTTCTTAATTAGGAAGAGAAGGTCATGTGGAAGAAAGCAGATGTGAAATCAAGATCTATTGGGCCTTACAGCATTTTGGTTGATAGAAAAATTGAGCATTTCTTTTAATAGCCTGTATCGCCGAGATCTGCAAAACCAGATTACTGCTCAGAGCATCGCTGGATAGCTAATGCTCATTCTAAATAATTTGCTCGCAAAGTTTCTCAATTCTCAAAAATTTGATTCTCGACTCATGACAACCCAACAGCAATTACATAGGCAAGTCATCAAAGTTTCGTCCACTATGAATTTCTTTTTTACTTCAGGAAAACCCATCCTGGCAGAAACTTCCCTGTGATGGAATGTCATCCGAAAAATATGGCGTGTCGATTGTCCCTGCAACAGCTGAATGAGGAGTTATGACGGAAATAAATATGTTAAAGAAGGGAAAAGAGTATGCTCTTGTTGTTTGTACTTCTATCACACCAGTTCCCATGGCCGGGGGCAAGCGTGAGATCCAATTTGTAGCCATGGAACGCTTGGTACACTACGTTTTTCAAATCAGCAAAAAGGAGCGTTTTCAACGAGATAAAATGATGTAAAGCCACACACGTAGGTGGTTTGTAAGCTATAAGCTTTTCAGGTCGCTTTGCATTAGATTATTCCGGATGTTAGTAGATGCTGATATTTTCTGTTTTCCATGAATCCAATTACCAAGGTCTAGCATGCGCAAGAAATCAAAATCATTCCACAAAAATAGGAAGATTTATTGTTATCAAAGCTCAGATTCTTCTTCCCAATGAATCTATATGAATATATAAGTCTATTAAGGTTTTTGAGTTAGCCCTGCATTTTCTAGAATTTCTACATGATTGTAATACGAAACACATGTAGACAGTCATTCATGATACTCGGAATGCACTGATTTACATCAAAAATCTGACAGTTTTTGAGTTGAAATTTATTTGCTATAACTGTTACTAGAAATACTCATCAAATGTGTCAGATTATGCAAATTCCAAATTTTTTTCTATGTACCCTCGAAATTTTTTGTAACGGCTACGAGAACATTTGGTAATGTTCGCGAAACATTTTTGCAGACCCCACTCGACAAATCGCATTCAATATGAGATGTAGTAGAATAGGGCAGACTGCTTTTCATTGAATTTCTCACAAGAAAGCTTTGAAAAGAGTTCGAAAGTACCAACTTTGCTCCATGTGGGGTAGTAAGAATTCGCATTTCTTGATATTCTTCAAAATATTTTCGCTGCAAAAAATTGTAGATGGCAGAATTGCAATACTGCAATATTTCCCTCTTTTCGAATATAGAGTGTACTAAGCCCAATCCTGCTTATTATAAGAGCGAAATGTTCGTAATCACATTGCGCTTATAGTTCTTATGCGAATTAGGACTACAACGGAAGTTCGTGTTTATGCTGATGATATTCAAGTTCATGAATTTAAAAAAAATAAGATCATAATGACCAACTGATAGCACAAGTCCCAGCAAACAATACACATCTTTCAAGAAATCCTTCTTCTGTGTGATCATATAGAGCATGAAGCAAATGGAAAGAATTCCGCACAAGTTTGTTACCCTTTCGAGATACGGAGTTTCAGACTGAGATTTCTATACTGAAAACTTGTATAGAAAACTGTAAAAAAGAGCCCTAAGATGGTATGGACAATATCTATGCATTGTATAATAGTTTTTCTTCGAAACTAGCAATTAAAAGAGGGGTAAAAACGGGTAAAGCTTCTGAAACGACCCAATACATTAATACCTACTTTAAAAATGTAAATGAGATATATAAAAAGGTAACATCGTCAAGCTTTGGAGCTATATTTTTCTTCCTTTTACTAAAATAGAGACCATTTGATTCTGTCGCTCATTTATGATGTCGTTATGGAGTTCTGTGCGAAGTGCGAATAGCAATTCGATTAGAAAAAGTACATTACCATGAAAAGAATCTATAGTGTCGGCAGTTGCCTGCTTATACTTGCTTAGAAGTGCTTTTCTCCTTTGACTATTCGATAAAGTCTAGCCAGAGGACGTGTTATACGTGAGAGCAAATTGAGTTCCATCAAGAGAGCTGCTTAGAACCGGTTATGTGGAACTGATTTGACAAAGAAACAACTCTTGACTATGTGTTGTCAAATTTGGCTCTGAAGAAATAATTGTTTTCTTCGTTCATTCTCATTAGTTTTTTATTGTTTTTCTTTATCTTGCGTCTGTTGCGATTCTGTTCTCCAAGCTATTTATGTTATACTAGAGGCTCCGGCCGGCCGTGTCAAAGCACTATAATAAAGCTCTCAAGCTAGCTTGAACTTTGCAAAAAAATCGATAAAATCGATAAAAGTAGCGGATAATTCTAAGAACTAATATTGCATTCGTAGTCAGCATGCTTGATTACCCCCCTGTGCAAACTCCCAGCCCTATAGCTCAAACTTTGCAAAAAATCGATAAAATCGATAGAATCGATGTCGATCAATGACGAAAACCTCCCCCGCCCCGAAGTGTATGTGTGCCATTGGTCCGGATCTGTTGGGAAATGGAATTTTCCATTCGGAACATACACACTTACAGAAGGACATTCAGCTTTATACATAAGATTATTCCGCGAATTAGGAGGAGAGATTAGGGCATTCTTCTAATACTAATTTGATCAATAGCCGAAACAGTGATGTTGACGATGTCAACTTGTGGGTTTTTCTTGTGTCAATGAGAAGAATGAGTAGACTCATTCATCGTAAATTTCGACTTGATTGCAATGTTCCGCCTCAGTTTATCCGCAAGCCTAATCTTTGTGCCACAAGTGTGATGACATCTCTGCATTTATTGATGGAAAACGCAACTGCCTCACAAAAGGAATGTTTAGTGAGGTCTTCCAGGATGGGATGTTCAATATCTTGAAGATCCGAAACGCCAACTCCATAGCTACTTTGTCTTCTTCATTTGCATATTCTAAATGAGAACTCCGTTTGTTATAGCAAGAAATTGAATGCGCAAGCACGATTTCAGCTTCAATATTTTACTCTGCGCTTGTGTAGCAGGGATAAAATGTCAGGGCTTTCTATGCAGTTACCTTCTTTCATTACTAAAACATTGGAGCTAAAAAATATTAACGACTGGTAATCAGTTTATTGCTTCAATAAGCCCCAACTCCTGAAATGCCCACAACCGTTCTGCAGCGAAGGAAGGCACATTTGGGACCGATTTACATCCTTTCCAAAAAATCCATCTTGGAAGGTTGTTTCGACTAGCCATCCTCCATTAGTATGCATCAGCCCAGCTTGCAGATGCATAATTCTGAAGTGTTTTTGTGCTTTGCTTAACACTTCCTCAAAACTGAAAAAGTCTTATTCTCTCGTTGCACCCGCCATATCAAACTGCCAGTAGTTTTTCTGTTGGCACTCTTCTTTCTCAAATTACATTTGGTAGGCCATAAGCTCCCATGTACAGATGTGGGTTTTCCGGAATCCACCATAATTTCAACTTGCTTTGATTCTACGTTATGTGACGATCCCGATTTCTCATACAGTGCTCATAGAAGAGCCCTATTTTCGGATTGCCGAGGAGCGCAAGGCAAAGCAGCACGTATTCCTTGTAACGACGTCGTTAGAATGACGTCAATTCGTCAGAAGCTGAGAAAACGCTGGTTGGCATGGAGTGCTCGGCTCTACCACCACCTGCTCGGCAACTGAGCCCGCCTTCCCGGCACAACTCCATCCGTGCCTTTAATTGAAATCGATCCTGGCATTGTTTATTGTTACTGTTTGGTTTGCTTTATTACATGTTGTTGGTTCAGCAAAATGACGCCAGCTCACTTGTGCAAGTATCTACACCTATTGGCAACCAGTATGTGCATAGAGAATTACAGAGTTTGATTTTTCTATAGTTAAAAAAAGCTATACATACATACATATATAATCTTACATAGCTAGTAAGAATTTTGTGAACCTGAAAATAGCCATGGCATGCCTACAAGACCTCCGAAATGATGTGCAGATGATTGTTGATTGCCTGTTGTATTATTCTGCTTATTAGCGGTCTTGGCTTTGTTGTTTCTGACTGGAAGAACAAGAACAAATTTGCGGAAGAACTTCGCTGTATTCTGCGTGCATTTCAATAGGATCTTCAACAAACCCTTTTTGTCGCGTAAAAAACGCTAGGTGGAGAGCTCGAAAGAATGCTTCATCTTGTCGCTGTCCATCCATCCGTTAATGTTTCACTGCCTATTACTATTAACATATTGGGCAGGAACGAGAAGTTGTACAAACCACATTTTCCAGTTTTTTTGTGACCTCCTGATGATCCACGGCAACCAACCGTCTCCGTTCCGAAATCGTTTTTTATTCGAAGTCCATGATAACATACTAGAACTGTTGATTATATAGTCCACTAGCTGATGGTCCCGGTCTCACCCGAGACTCTTAGTTTAACAAATGGGGTAGGGGAACGAACTCCGTTAGTTTGAAACTTCTCCACGGACTATTGGTCCTGCAATCACATGCAACACTATTTCGAAAGAATAGTTGCCAGCAAAGGCGGGTTCAAACTGGCGGAGTTCGTTCCCTTACCGACCGGAATGTCATCGGTTCCCAAATTCGTGTAGAGAGGGGGAGGGGTTGCGCACTTCCCTGATTTTCGGGATAAACTTGTCAAACCTCCACGTTAGCATTGTATTTCGTGCTCTCTCGTTGAGCTTATCCTTAAAATTAGTGAAGTCCGCAGCAACCTCCACACGAATCTGGAAGTCGATCGTACTTATACTTTCTAACTTCTAAAATACGCGAAAAGCGCTTTGAGACGAACCCACTGCCTCCTGCCGACCAGTGATTAGAATGAACTTTACTACCCCTGCTTACATGTTCACTGGAAAATGATTGGTTAGAGCACATCAAACTTTCATTTTCCCAGATTTAGGTAAACAAATCAATAAACCAATAGAAGGACCCTGCGAATCGCCGCAAAAAGTAGCCATAAACCACCGCCGGCGTCGAAAACATATGTGTGCGAAGTTTTAGCTAAGTCGGTTCAATGGCTGGCGTTTCTATAACGAACAAACAATTAAACGAACATCCTCACAGACATTCAGTTTTATATAGATATAGATTAGTGCTTAGCATTAGCATGTTTTTAATAGGAACATAACGTCATATTTATTTGTAACATTATGTTTTCAATAAGAACAAATGATGTATCAAAGTCATGAAAATTGCGGTGGGCCCTAAGTCGATTGGGGTTTATCGAAAAACTCAATATTTTGATAAATCCTTTGTGCCTATAAAAAGCATGCTTAGTACTGTTGAAATGAAAATCTGTTGACACTTAAGCATATTTTCATTAAATTTAAAGAAAGAAAAGCGGGTTGTACAACTTCTCGCTCCTGTTCAATATGTTCATAGTAAAGGGTAGTAGAAATACACGGATGCATAGGCAACGAGAAATTTAGATGTCTAGAGCTTTAGGACATGTTTCTTCTAAAGTGCGTTTCCCTCCTCACGGTGCTGTTAGTGCATGCGGCCCTAAGAGAATGTGTTCCTCCTCAAGTGAAAAGAGATAGAATAAAATCATTCGAAAACTTACAAAAACGTGAAAGTAGCGTGAAAGTACTTTCTTGTTTTTGATCCCTCCTTTATCATCTTGAGCATCACAGCTTCCAAATTGTGCTTGAAAACCTCTGATATTTTCATTACGGCAGCGTGTTGGATTGAGACTGACAAGGAACGCATGTCTAGTCGAAGTTTCCTTCTTAGATGTGATGTATACCACACTGAACGCATAAAATTTTGATTCCAAATCTGCCTTCCTTATCTGCAAAACGTTTATAGACGAGGAGTTATGAGCGCTTATTGGAGCAAAAATTTGAATGAGCAAGTGGGACAAAAATAGCCTTGGCAATTTTTCTAGCTCTTCAATAGAGCAGTAGCAACTCATTGAAAATACTCTACGATAAAAAATATGTCACACTTGGTTGCATTATTTGGGGGCTAGTAAGTTTTGAAAGCTCGTTTTATCCTCAATGCACATTGTATTTTTAACTCCAAAACGGTTATAAATCCTCGCCCATGAACGTTCTGCAGATAAGGAAGGCAGGTTTGGAATCAGCGCTTTACGCTATTCAATATGGTATACATCTCATTCAAAAGTACTTCGACTAAACAAGCTTCCTTTGTGAGTCAAGTGGCTTTCGATTAGAAATTCTTTCATTGTGCTTTCCCAGTGAGCTAGCCCTTTCACTTGCGCTTTTTAGAGCAGTTCTTTCGATGTCTTGTGACTGAATCGTGCTGGCAAAAAAAACCACTAGAAAGTTAATAGAGTGTTTTTATGCAATACTCACACCCACATAATTTGCATTCTTTGACATGGTTTGGGTCAGGTAAGGATATGGTTGGAGAGTGCTTATTAAATATGATGTGCATGATTTTGAGGTTGGTAAGTCAAATTCTATTTGGTGGTGTATTTTCGACCAAATCAATCAAGGAATATTGCTTTCTTGACTCGAGTGATTTCAACTTTTATTGGGTTGTAAAGAAAGCTCCCGGACACTTTTGGAAATTTCATTTTTGAACCCATTTTTTCGTGCTCGGCCTTATTTTGACACCAAGTTTTTTTGTACTGTTTAGTACAAAGCCTAAAGTTTAATACGGCTTTTGATTTTTATTGATGCAAGACGTGTTTGATCTGCACATCAAGAAGAAAAATCTTTTCAACCATAAAAGTTTCACAATTTTTCTTCGCGGCCATTTTCTGTGTAGTTCAAAGAATTTCGTTTAAATCGTGGGTGATCGGATTAAAAGCCTGCCAACTTTTGATGCGCAGCTGCACTCGAGTTTTGCGATTTGCGCCTAAAAATTACAAGCTGTCGAACTTGCCTCTGACTGCAAATATTTTCGCAGCCGGCGCCGCTTCTGCGGGGATTTTTCAACCTGGATGATGGATCCAAAAGATGTTCAAGGCATTATCCCAACAACGTTCGCAGTATTTAAAGGTTTGGACCACTCTATGCAGAGCGACAAGACTTGAAAGTCATTTACTCGAAAAATGGTGCATTTTTAGGGGCAAAAAATGATCGATTCTTCAAATTTCTGGAAAAACTTTTTTGCAAGTGGTCGCTCAGAGGCATGAATAGTCTCAATAACAGCCCCAGCAAAATTCTTTATAACTACAGCACTTGAGCTCTTCAGCTTTCATTATGCCTGAGATGATCCTGCACAAATAGGCCACTTTTCTCGACGACTTTCTTCCCTTCTGCGCATGCTAGTGACCGTAGTGAGGTGCTGAAAAGCCAGCAAGGCAAATGTATGTTGTGGACAAAATTTTCTTTGTGATGAAGTTTGTAGGTTCAAAGAATATTCAATCTGCTAATTGTAGCGATTTGAAAAAACTTCTCACAAATGCCCGGAAACTTTCTTTACGTGAATACAATTAATACAATGAATTTTCTATTGATTTTAATCATCTTGAATCTATCTATTTGCAGTAACAAACCGTGGAGGGATAGACAAAGATAACTGAGAAAACATGCAATTTTCGAAGATCGCTTGCAGATTATTCCTTTTTACATGTTGAAAAATGTTTAAAAAATAGTGAAAATGACAAAAATTTCTAAGAAAAACAATACTACTTCAAATGAGGCTAGTTGGCCACGCTCTTTAAAAACTGGAATGCTTTGCGCAATTCTCGCTCAACTTCGAAATTTCGAGGAAACGGTTGATTTGAATGTTTGAAATTTTGCATATCATTACTATTGTTGCAAGCAATGATCCCCCATTTTCCCGTTTATATCAAAACCACTTAGCAAATCAAGTCCTATTTTGTCAGCGCTTTTTAGGGATTTTACCGCTAATTTCACTATTCTAGGAGTACGTAGATCAAATTAATCCCAGATCATCCAGGAAAACACTGATATCTGTCTGATCCAGAGCTTGGCCACATGAAAAAAGCTTGAACCGGATATTATCGTGCCGATCATGTTTCCACCCTCCATGACTGAGTAATTTTAATTTGCTAGCATTCCTCGTCTAACGTATTTGCACTAACTGAAAAACGTGTACAAGGTATAAAATTCCATATCTTATCATTTTAGAAACAGAGAGCTGCTAGCTGTGTGCTTCGAGCACAGTAGCGACCCCCTATGAGATGGGATGCGCACAATCCAGCCAACTCGGACCCGTGACTTCTCCAGCTCCAGCTGCAAAACAAAATGCTCCAGCGCCAGTAACTAATGGTGTGAATAATGTCAGACCAGTTACCGCTCATGTAAGTGGAATGAGAGATTTGGCAGCTCACGCCAGGGCCCTACAGGGTGGATCCAGAACCCTGGAGAAATTCCCCTTTGACCTAGTAAAAATCAACTTTTTTCGGGAGCTGAACTTGCTCTCCTGAGAAGTTCGAGGTGGTTGGTCAATCTCTACTGAAACAGACAAACATGACCATTTACTCTGGTCTGGCACATTATTTCCTAAAACAGCTAATGCTGCTATGCTGGACTCATCTTTTTTTTCAAAAAGTATCTCGAGTCCTACAATTACCATCACACATGCTACGCCCTTTGTTTCCAAATCTTTCCAAATTTTAGCCCAAAAATGCGGAGAATGGAGGTGTTGTTGCCACTACTATGGATGAATTGAACGTAGAGTACACCACTATGCGATTACTGCTTTTAGGTAAGTTTCAGCATTTGATCCTCTCTCAATAATGAACGTAGAGTTGTTCGCAGAAATATTTTTACCATTTGACGAATAACTAGTCAAGAGAAGGCACTTTATCTCTTGAGACCTGATTGATGCTAATTTTGCTCACCAGCTATGTAACTCAGCCCATTTTGGAGAGCAACGGAGCTGCTTTTCACTACTATAGCAAAATTGTAACTTGTCCCAGCGTTGTCGTTTTCATTTCTGTTTTGTAAAAGAAACTCATGGGAAAGCCTGTTTCCATGGTTCTCACGAGTCAAAGAATTGGTATGCTATTAAGTAGTCGCCTTGGGCGATAATTGAAGTACAGAACAAACCGTGAAGTTCCAAAAGTGAACTCTGCACTTTAAAAGTGTTACCTTAAGTAGCCTGTTATTTAGTTCCGCTGAACTGGAAGTTTGCCAAAAATTATTTGTCCTTTTACTAGCACCAAATGCAAGAAGACCTTGGGAATTAATTTGTGCATCATCTTGAACAATCTTTCGCAAACCATCGTTTTCTGCAAAACTTCTTTAAGATTGGGGAAAAGAAGCCTGTGAACTTATTCAGAAAGAAACAAATCAAACTTTTTGGATACTAGCACCAGTACACAAGAAATAATCAAGGAAAGTAAAAAGTGCGGTTTGTGCCCTTCTCCCTCACTCTACCCACGGACAAAAGACAGATTATTGTAATCTAAACCTCTTGTTGAGGGAAAGCAGCTTTAACAGCATCCACAGAAATTTTCGAATTAGTTTTTGTCGTTCTCGAAATTTGAGGCAAAAATCGCATTTTTGAGCGGACTTCATGATCTGTTTCAGTTGAGGGAGGCCTATTATACTTTATATATCAGATAAGCCTGTTTAGCTTTTGAAGTAACCTTCACTATTCAAAATTATTATATGACTTGTTCCAAATAATCAGACTAACTATTTTTACATCTGCCTATCGTTATCTTTCTTCCATTTGCGATTGTAATGGAGGACATATGAGAGCATAGTTTGTAAACGCTTTCTAAAACTACATATTCATTCATTGTGCGCACCATTTTACTTGATTTCATTCCGAAATTATGGACAACATTTTTTACTCAAATTAAGGAGCAGCTGAATCAGGGAAGACCACATTACTCGAACAGATTCGACTCTTATATAAACAGAATTACTCTGAAGCAGAATTTATTCATCGCAAAGCGTTTATATATAATAATATACTCATATCTATACGTAAATTGATCGAGCATATGCAGAACACCGGTACAGCCTACGACGATCCGAATAATGCCGTAAGTAGAGAATTCTGAATCTGGATTTGCATATTCCAGAAGTATACCCGCCTTCTAATCGTATTTTTTTGTCAATATTTAGCGTTACGCTGGAAGAATCATGGGAGAAGAAGATACGCAGTTTTCATGTTTCACAGCTGATATGGCAGATGCAATTCAGCATGTGTGGAAAGACGGCGCCGTCCAAAAACTTTATTTGAGGAGAAGCGAAATCAATCTGAATGACAGCACAAAGTAGTAAGTGATCTGCTTCATCTTCCACTTCTTTGAAAATCTTGCCAAGAACACGCAGAGATCCACACCAATCTCCCGCATAAGGTTTGAGACCAAAATTCAAAATATTCGATTTCCAGACTGATCTTCATCAGAAAAATTCGTGCTGGACCCTATAATTCACTCTGAACATAAGGCTCTCTTGTTGATAAATGTGTCTAAATCTTTCTTTATTTTGTGCCCATGTTAACCAACGATCATTAGTCACGACGGTTGCCAGACTCATTGATTTTAAACAGCCCAGCAATGGAAAAGTCTGAGTAGGCCAGCGCTAAAAGCTGGACGCTATTATAAATCGGTTGCTTATTCGGCCGCTACTGCATTTTTGGCCCTCAATTTTTTTGTAAAATTATTCTTAAAGTTCAAAGAGCTCCAACATCTACCTGTCGATCTATTTCGAAATAAATGGCCATTCTTCTTTTGCCTTCAAGCAGAAAAGTCTATTCACTTCAACAAATACTTGGTCTGAGGACTTCAAGCACTTTTTCTCTCGAATACGCGTCGTGAAATCCGTTGAGCTTCTCGGTAAATGAGGTAAAGGGCGCTTCAATAAGCTTTCCGTAACCTTCGACGCCATAGGGTTCTAAGGGGTGGACGACTATATGTCGCCGAATTTGGAAGAGTCACGCGCGAATTCCCTGCGGGAATGCATGTCCGCGCATGTAGAAGGGTGCGTATTTGTCGCAAATGACCGCGGGGACCGCCCTTTTTCGGCGACATATAGTCCTCCACCCGGTTCTCAGGCTTTTGCACCTCACTCAGCTTTCAAAACCCAGAATTTGTGTGATGTGGGCAGTAGGTCGGCTGTACAACTATAAAATTATGTACATAGTTAGGAAAACTCTTTCGCCCGGCGTTCTGGTTTCATCGCAGTTGTTAAAAAAAGGAAGTTAATTGAAGTGCCCTGCACAATCATAGCCTAAGACAACCACTACAAACAGGAAATTGCTTAAGACTCCGAAATCTTATTTGCTCTTATAATGCCGTATTCTTTCAACATTCTCTTCCCTTTCTCACCGACATAGAGATACGTATTTTTCTGTACACATGTTAGAGTGGAACTGCAGCCTGTGGATTGTAGTCCGATAACTTGTCACATTTTGATAAAATGTGACACTGAATACAATTTAATTTACTGCAAAAACAAGACTTCCTGAAACTCTACCTATCGTTTAGTTTTTTGGAGAACTTCGAAAGTATCAACAAGCTGGATTTCAAGCCATCTGCTCGTGACTTGATAATGAGCTATGTTCCAACTGTGGGGGTGCAGAATGTGATTTTCAGCTTTGGCAAACATGTCTTCCAGTAAGTTCTTCGTGTTTTTCTTTCCTTTAATGACCAAGTCTTAGAAGTTTAATTGTAAGTAAAAATGCTTACGAAAACCTTGCCTCACAAGAACGTAAGCTTTACAGATTAGAGCGTCTCTATCTTGCATTTTGCTGAAATGCTACTTTGAAACGCTTACATTATAACTTCAGATTGTTTGATATTGGAGGACAACGCATTGACCGGAGAAAATGGGCCACTATGTATGACGGCATAGATGCTATACTTTTTTGTATCGCCATATCGGAATACGATCAAACGATGGTGGAAGATCCAACAGCGGTGCCGTTTTTGTGTTTGGATCTAAAACATTGTTCCAAAGTCATAACCTTGAACCATAACGCGAATGGGTGTGAAATAGACGATTAATCTCGTTTATACAGAGAATGAAAGCTCGGGTAGAAAGGGAACAAATTTCCATTTACAGTCCTTGACGCAGTAGAAGGTGCGTATGACTAAAGCCCTCCCATTCCTCCCACCCCCCCCCCCCCCTCTGTTTTGATGAATGCCTTGCTGCTCTACATTTTATTGGTTGGTACAAGATAACAGAATCCCAGGACTCGCATTGAAACGGGGTATTCTTCGATTCTCAAGGTGTTCGTTTCTGAAGTTGTAGTACCCACAAAACTAAGGAAACCTGTTTTTCGACATAGTCACAGAGACGATTCTACTTGGGCGCTTCACTTACTCAGACAGTCGAGGGATACCTCCGGAGCGAAAATGGGATGGTCCCTGGCTTTTCCCTGTAGGGGTTTGCCACTTATGCTCCTGAGCCCTCCCATTTCACCCATTTTGGTGCTCCGGGAGCTCCTCCAAATCTGGCGCACCCCCGGAGCAGAGATTTGCGAGCCCCGGGGAGGGGTCCCATTCACCTTCTAGGGCCGTATGCACTAACATCCCTGCGGCGAGGGGAGCGGCATCCCCCATTATGAAGGGGTCGCGTGCGGACGCCGCTACGACTTTTACATCATTGGGGACGTCGCTCCCCTCGCCGCAGGGATGTTAGTGCATTCGGGCCCTAGTGACGTTACGGTGACGTTACGCGCAGAGACTGGGCCGATACTATGACGTCGTAAGTTTTATGACAATCCACGGAACGCTTGAGCGCAGTCTTCTGAAGATCAGCTGACACAAGCAACATCTAGCTAAACCTCGCAGCACGGATATAAGAAGATTGTCCCGTCTTCGTGATAAAGCGGGATACGTCGCGAAGGCGAAACATCGATGGGCTGGGGGCCACCACGAGAACAGCAGACGAAAGATGGATCTCGAAGGCACTGTCCGGGCAGATCCCAATACACTGAAGAAGCAGGCTCCCCATGCAAGCTATAGCCCGACTGCGAGTGCAGTATACTGCCTCTGGAGCAAGCATACCTTCGATAGTCAAGAGACAGAGGCTAGAAAGTGATAGTTGTTTGAGTTCCTGCCCCCTATAAAAAGTGAAGGTTGTTTCAGAAAAATAGACGAAAATTTAGAGATACAAAATAAAATAGGAAACTCAGAAAATTCATGTAAAGCAGAGGTTAGCACATCACCAAATCTGAAACCTTAACTTGGTGGTTTCCTACGCAGAGTTTCGTCTCCAGGATTGCCGGTTAAATTGGGTGGCAACAACAACAAAGTTCTTTTCCAGTCAAAAAAACGCTGTTTAGCTGTGGCGTTAGTTGGGAGACCGAAAGAAGAAGAACTTGTCAACAACTGAATTGAACGTGTTGAACATGTCTGTAAAGTTGTGTTGCACCGACGCCAATCTGATTTTTGATGCGTCCTTTAAGTTTTCACCCCCGCATAGTCGTTTCGTACGCTGCGACGTTGTCTGGATTCTTCCGTTCATCATGCTGAGCTAGTAGCGTTCAAGCTGGAAAAAATTCGTTGCAAAAGCACAGAAAGAGAACAAGGTAAAGAAAAACGCACTTTTTTGTATTTTTCACAAAAAAACCGGCATAAGAAAGAAGTAAGCTCGGCGACGTTGTCTACATCATAGACAGAAACAAGACCTATCGAATACACAAAAAAACTGAGTGAAAAAAGTTAAACTGAAGAAAAAACAAGAGGTTTTCGAAAACGCCGCTTTTCGAGGATTTCTCGTTTAAATCCTAAAAAGAAGTTCCGCGACGTTGTCAGCGTGAAAATAGAGATCAAGAGCTTTGATATGATATATAGATTATCGAAATTGGGCTCCGAACAACGAAGAAAAGGGTACCAGAGCCAAATGCTCCGCGCCCCGCATTTGAGGTAGCGAGGCAGCGCGCAGCGCGCGGAGACGCAGACGAGCAGCGGAGACAGACCAGAGCCGACGGGGCATTTGGCTCTGGTCGTGGATCTTCGCGGGGTCTCAACGAAACCCTGCAACATTATATATCGTTGTGATCCTCATGAGACGGCCAGCAGCACTGACAACGTCGCGGGTCTTGAAAATCATTCCATAACGAGATAGACCAGCATTCATATGGCGACTCTTTGCGCAAATTTGAGCGCAGTTTTTCGTTTTTATTGAACTCTGGCGGCTTTAATGAACTTCCAACATTCAACCGCAGTTCAGAGAAAGGTTAATTGAGAAATTTTGCCCTAGATTTTAATTGAATTTTCAAATAAAAACCTTCTTCTCAACAAAAAAGGCCATAAAAACGCAATCCTTCGGTTTTTTTGAGCTTCTTTTGAATGTCACTGCTATATTTGCCTCATTTAAATTTATCCCTATACGGTTATGTCATTAGTTATGTCATAATTTCCGGGGCTTCGCCCCGGATGACTTCTGTACTTCTCCCCAGGTGAAGGTTGTGTTCTATCATGACGCTCAAAGTGAAGGTTATCAGAGTACATGGCTCTATGTATCGAAGGTATGGGAGCAAGAAAACAGACTCAGAAGTGTGAACAGACTAGGCCCCCGACTATCGTTCTTATCGCAGGAAAGTGCCAGGACACGGCCGTTGCAACGCTGTTATTGGCTGCGCCGTGCCCGGCGCCGTTTTCGGCTGCGTTAAGGACAGTACTGAATCGGGGGTCAAATGTGTTTGCCTTCTGAAGCTGTTTTCTCGCTCCAGAGCAGCATTTTGCACTCGCATTCGGGCTATGACTTGCATGGGGAGCCCAGTCTGGTAATGCGTTGGAATTAGGTGTTCCCGAATCTGCTCGGATACTGCCTCTAAGGCACCGTCCACCCAAATTCTTAACTTCCATATTTTGTCGTTTCGGGCCTTCTTATGTCCGTGATTCCAAATATCAAGTCGAGAATCAGCGAAAACCCCGACAATCCCCGTTTCGCAGAACTCATACTCAGACAATTCACCGGAACTTCCGCAGGACAAGCCAAAAATGCAGAAGTTCCGCAGGACTTTGTTCACTGTTGCAAAAATGAAAACGTTGAAAATCGGGACTTCCGCGAGATTTTCATGCCAAACAGTTGAAATCCGGAACTTCCGCAGGACCTTCTTCAAAATCCTGCGGAAGTTCCGAAAAATGCCAGAGGTTCCGCAGCACCTTGGTCTGCCAGAACTTCCGCAGGACTTTGAATGTGTTGTCTCGTATGATGTGGCCTCGCCAACATCTAGAGTGCATTATTGAACGTGCCAGTCGTAGTGCAGAGGGTAGTAGGTGAGTCTCACAGTCAATGAAGTGAGGTTCAAATCTCGCTTCGGT